TATAGCATTGCTGAAACTAAGCTAAAGGCTCTTTTGCGTGCTGATAACCAATTGTATTTTTTAGGATTAACTCTACAAGAAACCTTAATTTATTTGGCAACTCCCTAATATTGCCAAGATTCTCAGTTAATTAATGTTGACTGAGAGAATACACTCCACTACCTTTTCAAAAGTTTGAGGAATGACTATTCAAATCCCTTGAATGCCTGATGCACCTACATGGCGTGTTTAGTGGGATCACAAAGTGTTGCCACCTACGTATCCCAATGCAAGTACTCCTATCAAAATAGTTTTTAAAGAATGCAAATCGAGAACTCAAACAGGCTTTCAATAATTCATGAAGCTACAGTTGGTCACCCCTTAAATTAACAAAGGTTGCGTGCTTACCTATTTGTCCAATCTCAAAAACGCTAAGCAAATTCATCATGACCCTTTTCATTATTAAATACCAAGCGAAGTCTTGCAACCGGAAGCACTGAATTTACGTAATTATCATTAAATGCACTGGGGAATAGTTGACATCCATTATCAATGGTATGTTGTAGGCTAGCTGACCTACCCAGTCCCTCACCCCGTGTTTGTGCAGGCTTTAGAATTAACGCCTACTGCTTGCAATTAGCTATTAACATTTGATAAAACTTTGTGAATATGGTTAGAATATTTGTCCCATTGTACTTATTTTATGTTCTGAATACAGATACATGACCCGTCATTCCCTGTGAGAGGGTTCCTCTCCTGCTGAGGTTAGCTAGCCATGATGGGATATTCTACTTTTCTCCCTCTTTAATAGCCCTTTACTAGTCTGAAAAGTCAACCAATTCCCATTCAGCCACGCTAATTGCTGCCAACAAATTGTAGTTAAGAGTAAGAAGACTGCGCCTATTTCAATGGAATTTTGAACAGTCTGAATTCCACAATCCCCACTTCTGCTCCTGCAAAAATGTACTTTAAATGCTATTTCTCTACAAATTTCAAGCTATGTCCACAATCACCTCGTTTGCCATGAACTGGTTACCAAAGTTAGCCGCCTATCAAACGCAACATATTCGACAGCTTTTTATCGCAAACATAGTACAATTTTTCTTAATGAACTTTACCAAGTTGATTTATGATACCGTCGTTGTTGTTGATCTCACTCTCTACGCATACGAAACTATTTATTACATTTACTCACATTTTGCCTTTTCACCCTGCATTCCGAGCTAGGTTAGCCTAGCACGTTGAAGTAATGGTAAAACTCGAATGCAAACCTACATGCTTTCAGACGCTGTAAAAGTCACTTATGTTCTCATCGACTAGATGCATTTCTTTATTAATAATGAAATAAAGTTGATAAAAGTTTACTATTTTGTTTGGCAAGTACCTTTTAATAGTTAATGTAGAATTAAAAAAACACCCATTAAACTATATTCGTTTTTATGCCCAAAATGGAAAGGCCTTGCCCATCATTGGTTGATGTTCGAGAAGAGTATCTCACCAAAAGGATAAAGTTCAAATCAGGATTGCGGGGTTTCTCGTCGTCCGCAATGCCATTTTCTGTCATTATTTGTCTCATTAATGTAGAAAACATTTTTGGCGAACATGCTTTTCGTTAAAGTAAATAAGACTTCCTTCCACGTCATCTACAAACCCTCTGTAAGAACTTTACTACATTTCTCCCAATTCAGCTCCACTTTTTCCGTTTCCTTTATCTAGAAACTTTTTAACAAGTTTTACTTGACACATTATGGGGGTACATTATAAGCCCGCTATGCTCCGCTAATTATTTAAACGTCTACATTAAAGTAATCCATTAACTGTTTACTTAAACTTCTGTTTCGGTAGAGGGGCCACTTTGGGTCTTCGCCTCTGTGCCTTCGCCGGGTGGGCTGGCCTTCGAGGCACGCCAGTAGCCCCCAGCTTCTCCGTATGCTGAATAAGTATATCGTGTCCGAGTATTGTGACCTTTTTAGCCTCAGTGAAGTCTCGGGGTGCTGCATTGGTGGAAGCAGAAAGCAAACCTGATCTTAGAGGGCATTTATCCTGATTTCTACTGATGGATGACAAATCTTGACGGGGCGGAAGAGGTACATATTGCTGTGTATGGCTGAATCAATGCGCCCCCTAACAGCACCGTGTTCTGCAGGAAAGCCATTAACAACGAAAGCGACGCTAGCCGTAAATCATCTCGAAAAGTTTTGTTACAGAGTTGCCTACCTTACCTGTATTAGGGTATTAAATATATGTACACGCGATTTCCTCTCCAATTCTTTACTTGCTGGATATAACCCAGATAGATATGGCTGGGCAGCCCTGAAGTGAGGAAAAAGTGGCAAGGAGAAATAGAAGCGAAACCCTACCCCCAAGGAACTATAGCCAGTGTCACTATGACCAGCTATGGACACGCGTGATGACCAGCATATTACCCCGTCCTTGAATCCAGTTCCCATACAAGATGGAACTGCAGATCTAGTCGAATTGCCAAAAGGGATTAATGACGCTGAGGTCATGTCCTCAGTTGTGTGGAAATTCGATGACTGGCACAGTTGGCTCTTTGGTGTTCCCTTACAGCACCGACTACTTTGTGATGGCTGGCGCGGTAGGCTGACCAAGGAGAGCGCCAGAGATGGCGCTCAAAAGAAAAGGAAGAGGTGGGGGGCATGCAAAACATTACTTGTTTGTTTGACTCTCAATTTTGGAAAAGGGGCACTGTGGGCCACCGCCACTGTACCTCTGCCGAGTGGGCTGGCGTTTTGGCCATGTCAGCAGCCCCAAGCCCCACTCATTGTCATTGGTGCATGTTCTGCCCAAGAATTATGTCTTCTTTTGTATCAAGGATAGCCTTGAAACGCCACAGTAATTACGCACAATTTCAATATCAAATTTTTACTTCAATTTCAAACAGAAACATCGTCACTTTTAACAGCAGAACCTGGAAACACCTCTATAGTAGGGGTTGTTTTAGTGACAAAATAATATATCCCTAATCAACGCTCACTGTTACTATTGTACTATTTGGATGCCTTATGGACTTGTAATGTGTTTACACTATCTTCAATTACGTTATGCTTTGCGTTGAACTATGGCCTACCGCCTTAGCTCCATGAAGCTACTCCACAAGTTGTTTAGGATTGTAATATTATTGTCACTCAGAAGAATGCCCTTTGATAGTTTCATGACTTGGAAGATGATGCCTCGTTCATTTCAACCCAAGAACATCTATCTCTGCTCCTAAGGAAGAAGTGGGCTAGAAACCTATATAGCAGTGAAAGTTGAATTACAATGAGGGGCTGTCCATTTTCCTAACTGAGGTCATCACTAAGCCATTTTTGCTTTTGGACTTCCTTTATACTAGCGTTTTGATAAAATTTGGAAAATCTCCAAAAAACATTCACTTCAGCTGCATTGATGCTTTAATGCTTAGAACTGGAAGCGGAGTAAAATGAATTGAAGCTGCAAAAGTTTCTGGCTAGTTGAGCATCATACGACAGACACATTTCATGGGGGAAAGCAGCAACGTTGTCAGCACTTTAAATGTCCAGCTGAAAATAAAATCATATGACTTCACGAAATAGTGCTTACCCGGTCGACGTTTGAGGTAAATTGACGTCGAACTGTTTACATCCCAGTATGCTTGGCAAAGCTGATGACGATATGGGCGGCACGAAGAAACCAGCAATCTAACGCTGTGATTAAGGTGATGCTGGATACGTCGCCACCACTTCCGACGTTAATGGATTTCATAACTGCCTGGACCACCCCCTTTAGCCCTTCTTGTGCGCTCCTTTTCAAAGGGGTTCCCAGATATTTGGACCACTTTCCATCCTGACCTATTTAGTTTTGCTATTCGAATAACATGGCATTCCACGCTTCCCACAGTCCCTGCTGAGTTCATTTTCAGTAGCGTTATCGAACACTCGATTTCATAAATGAATTTGGATCTGCGTAACTTACATAATTAGCTCAACCTGTCAGGGAAATTAATTGTCAGCAGCATAATTGGCCACTTTAGCTATTCTAATTCATAAAGCTCTTACAGCATGCTAGTCGTCAAAAGATTCCCAAGTTAATAAAACGTAGTTCGATCTACTTCAAGCAGGACGTACGCACTCTACTCGTTGAAAAACGCATAAAGAATGCATCGTTTATTGTATGGATTTCTGTTTGCTCGCTGACCAAAATAGATACACAAATCACCCGATACAGTAGGCACGTAATTAATGCAAATAACCTATCGTCTTCCCTTAGTCCTCTAATGACAACAAAGTAAAACGGGTCACCGACCGTCTTTAAGCAAATTTAACACCTCGGCCACTTCCACCAAGGCATACTTGCCAGTGGCACTATTTCTTTCGTTCATGCGTCAATCAGCATAAGGCGTGCAGGAAAATATTACGTCGACAAATCCAGACGCTTATTCTCCGGTTTGCGCCCACTTCATTGACAAAAGCTAGCAGTGTGAAAAAAAGAACTGTAGTTTGCTTGTGTGTGCAAAAAACGCCGCCGGATGCCGACCACACAAGAAACACTCATTGCTTCCACGCACCAGTACTTTGCATCAGACTGCCAGCCAAACTAAGCATTCAAAGATCTTTTTCGACACAATGACTAAGATCGAGTCTCCCTGTACCCAAGGTGGCTACATTAATCGTGCCGTGTTGGCATCCTACATGTTTAATCGTGAAACGAACTAATCGCATTAAAACTATCCAAAAGTGAACTACATTTCGCTTTATTAAATGGTAAAACTTCGGTTCTCTGAAAAACCTATGCACTTTCCAAATCAGATAATTTCAGTCCAATCTAGCATAAAATTTTGGTGATTCGACCTCTTCCACTGTAAAGCACAGTCAGATGGTATTTTTAAATAATGATTTATGCAATCATCTTGTGTATTGTATTCGTGTACAAACGCTTTTTTGCTAAGCATAAAAATAGATATGACTTTTCCTCGTTTGAGTTGAAGGCAGTAACAGCCGTCCCATGGGAGCATTCTGGTCGCCTGTTTCCTTACTCTGGGCTTATGCCAGAAAAATTGATTCGATTTGCGAGAAACTCATCCAGACAAATACAGGGGTCTTCAATTCCGCAATCTGTGCTACCACTGCATCAAAACCAAAATAAGTAATATACGAGTTTCTTCGACCGAACTGATTCTTCTGCCACCTGCACCCATGCTAATTACAAAGATATCAATTTATTTTAGCAAATGATACTTGGTAAAAATAATGAAACCTCGCAATTCCGACAGTTGGTCCCACATAGTAACAGTAGTCAATAAAAAATGGTTCAACACTATTCGGGAATCCTGCCATGACCAGTGTTATGCAACTGACCTAGTGGGTCCAATTACAGACACGATAAACTACTTTTCATTGCAATTGTAAATAGCATTAAAATGTACAAAACCCGCCTTTTTACAGTAGTCTACGTGAAAGCCCAAACGCATGCTTTTACATTCAAAGCAATACAGCAACGGAAGAGACTAGAACAGCACCAACAAAGCCAATCGCACATCAGTGCTAGGAGCTGCCGATGAAGACTACCGCAGCAAAGTGCTGTGCCGACGCAAACTATCACCTGAAATTCCTGGCGTTTTAAATCGTTCTTTTCACTCACTGCAAACTCCGAAAACGACTCGAAAACTCTACAGTGATGATTAGTAGTAGCTAACGGCCTACTATTACCTATTAACGCAGACCTAACGGTTTAAAATACTCCAATAAAAAATACATGTGATTAACATATTCGATATACATGCAAAGACCAGAACTTTGATCGTCTAAAGGACCACAGTTTTAACTTTGATAAGCGAATTCTACTATAGGATTTCAGTACAATATTTTACGGTTCGCATGCACGCCTAAAAACAGGCTACGAGGGCAGTGAAAAACACTTAGATCCACAAACCTCAGTTTTCAAAATGAACTATTCCAATAGAAAAAAAATTAGTACCAAGACAAAACCTAGCCTTCAGCGTTACTAAGTTCACTGCACTAACGACTACTTTTGTAGACACCGTAAAACCACTATGCAGATCATAACAACGTTTTAGAAATTGATTATACACAGACATTTGAGGCTGCAAACTGTGTAACAACCTAAATTACTGAATTTGGAACAGTTTCAATCATTTAAACGCTAACTGTAAGCACTAATGATACCAAATCTAAATGATATGTAACCGGTTCAATAAAGAGCATAAAAGCATAGATAAGGAATAAGCGTATATTGAAGAAAGTGGAGCGGAAGAAAATCTTACAAGAGTAAATGTCCGCTTTCCGGTGTGCAAAAGAGGGAAGCACACCCCAGCCAGTGATATATTCAAGGTCGGAGTCAGAGTAGAGGGCAATGCTAACTTGCAACACACAGAGATAGACGCCCTTCAGCCGGCGGCCCCAGTCGGCTGTTCAAGAAAAGGTCAACATTAATAAAACTTCGATCAATCCCGATAAATGAACATAAACGACCTTCTTTCAACCATTCCTGGATTTTCCCAGTTGATTGGTCAAAGGAACCCTATAATCGAAGGCATTTGAGCATCTCCGACCGATTTTTCTGGATGCCTATTTCATGAAGCCAAAGTAAACCCAAAAGTTCCCTATTGTTCAAAATAAGCGAAGCACGATCCCAACGTTACTTTACAAAGGGGTAACCCAAATTTACGAACCAAATTTCTCTAAAACCCAAATGGTTATTGAATGCAGCCTTGATAAAGAGCCAAGTGCATCGGAGCTAGCATCCTAAAGAAATCTAAGGCGTGATTTGCTTGCATAAACTCCAAGATGGTACCTATCATCAGTATACAAAGTGAACAAGCTTGAACCAAAGAACGCCCAACTAAAAACTACCATTTTCATTAGGCTGACGGTGTGATAAGTCACCCATTTACATCAATGCGCTTTGCAAGCTAACAACATTAATGTTGCTACTGAATACAGTGATGCGAGTTTTGCTGTCTAACAATTCAAGGACTGAAACCATTAACCGCAATAGCGCGCCATACTTAAAACTTACTCTAATGATTGTGAATGGCGCATCGTGAATGAAGACTTCAAGCAGTCCCTTGAAAATCATATACCCAAAACCACCGTGGGCTGGAGACCGAGCGGGAAGAAATTCCTGGGGAAGCTGGACCACCTGCGAGAGACTGCGTGCCTCGTCTGTACAACAGCAGAATAAGTACTAGCAATAAAAATCGCATGAATAAAATAAATCCAAACTTCTAAGGCATCGATACCCTTAATTGAGCGACTAATACTAGTGTATCAAGGTCTGGTCCCGAACCCGCCTACAATGGGAACATAGTTAAGAATGAATACATGCCATTAATGGTAATGGTTTCAAGATTTTAAAACTGTAAGTACTGTACAAGTTGGGATAAGCCCGCTTCGGTAAGGGAGGGAAATCGAATGCGTTTAAGTTAGTGAGACGAGTAGCGATAGCCACTATCGAGCACGATTTTTCGAGCTGCTTGAGTCGGTAATTCGCTGTCCACCGACATAACGAGAGGATGATCTGGAAGTTTTTCTATCAAGATCATTGCGACTGGACCGGTGGGGAGAAATCCGACCGCGCGACGTATGCTTGGGAGGTGATCTATCGGAGCGACTTGATGTGGACGAATAGCTTGATGGTGATCGCGATCTATGCCGTCGCCGATACTTACCATCGTTGTAAGGGCTTCTGGACCGTTTCCTGTGACTTTCACGATGACGAGACTTGGACATAGAACTTTTGCGTACACCCGAAAGTCTAACTGGTGAAAGTGAATCCTCACTATAGCTAGTGACTGATGCGCTAGTCGAGGAATGTCTGCGCCTTCGGACTTTGGATTTGTTGTGCCGAGATACCGGACTACGCGAACGAGTACGGGTTTTGTTAATTTTCCTCGATTTTGAATCCATTTCACTGTACGCGTTCGGTCGACGCCTTTCTGGCAGACGAAGACTAAATTTTAAAAACAAACATGGACGAGACGTTGCCAGCAAAGGCAATAAATTATCGGAGCAAGAAACATACTTCAGAACCTTGGGATCCTTGGTATCAGTCACGGTGACACCATTTGCCTTATCCGAAGGATGCTTAACTGATTCCGGCGGCGCAGATACCTCAGGCTGAATCGTCTCTGAGGCTGATGCTGTAGGAGAACTTTTGCTTTTAATACCATTGGGGACAGCACGCTCTGACTTTGATCCAGGACTTTCTGTGCTTAAAGCTTCCGTATTTTTACTATTGGCAGCAGCTACAGCGGCGGCAGCTGCCACAGCTGCAGCAGCTTCCCTTTCTTCGGCTTGTCTTTTCCGCACTTCAGCTAAACGCGACTCTAGAGCGCTAATGCTTGGCTTTTCCCTAGCATACAAACGCTGAAGACATAATGCGATTTCGTGCACAGACTCGTCGTCAACATTAAACATTTCCCACCATGGAGGATGTCGAGGAAGAGGGATCCCCAGGCGTCTAGCAGCGAGGAAAATACACGCGCAGGCCACCGCTTCGGGGGTGTGACGCACGAAGACGTCCGTCCGCAGCACATCATTCATACAATTCCTAAAACGTAAAGGGAGGAAAATAATATTAATCGTAGGAACGGACGTTTCTGTCCGAAGAAATCCTTATTGCCGAATTACTTACCATGATGTTTGGACAAGTTCCTTGTTGTTCTCGAACGAGAGCGATCTGAGATACATTATAATAAGCTATGGAATTTTACGCGTTAGCATTTGCCTTACTTTATGTGGATGTTTTCCGTGAACACAAAACCCCAATTCTTTTAAAACACGACGTTCCGCTTTAATGATGTGTCTCTTCAAGTTGACGTAGGCTTGATCGAACAATACAGGAGTGAATTGCCTGAAACTGATATTATAAACAATCTTAATACCAACCTTGCCTCTCGAGCTTGTTTCATGTGATGGAATACATTAATGACCTCACGAATCCGTCTGGGACACTCTTCTATCTTTGCAGCTAAGAATATGCACGCCATTGCGTAATGCTAATACAGTGACGTAAAAATACGACACTACCTCGTAGACGTATCTTACAAAGGACTTTGAGTAAAAATATCGTTGGTAAAGGACCTGAGCAGTTGCCATAGCCACCTGAGGAAGCCTTAGAAGTGTCCCAGCGTCCTGAATAAGTTCGCAACCAATATAGCGAAGATCAAATTCAGTTTCCGCGTCGAGCCCATCTAGGTTGGATGGCGTAGGGAATAGCTTTTCTGGTGGAATAACGTAGTTGTCGATGGACAAATGGACTCCGGCGTACACCCACTCGGAACTCGCCATCTTCAATACTTCACAACTACCGCCTTAACAGAGATGCAGAGCAGAACAATTCGGGTTAAAAGAACACATTTTTAACTAGCAGTTTATTTGTTAATCCAAACAAATTTCAATTAGGCAATACTTTTCGCCAAAAAACGTGAAAAGAGGTTTAGCATTTTTTTTGCTTTTCCAACACTGCTTTTATAGAAAACTCCTAACGATGGAATATTTTCGCTTCACCGAAGGCAGATTTGTCCATAATTTGTAGATGATTTACACGTCAACGTTATTTTTAACCTTTTGTGAACGCAAATGTGCCGCTTTAATCAGTTGTCTAGTTTAATGCATTTGGTCATATGTGGTCATTGTTTCTCCAATCCGTCGCATCCTACAAAACAAAGTGAATATCTGGCTTGGAAGAAGTAGTTTCGTTGTAATACCTATGTTTTATAATGTTTTTTTCAGAGAGGATGAGGCGGGACTACGAATCGAACCTCGTAACCGAGAGGTCAGCGTCCTGAAACCCGGTTACGTGTCCACATTCCCCTAAATTCTGTACTGGCTTCCCCCATTTACGTACCCTAATAAACAGGTCAAAGTCAAATTAACCTGGGTGCTCTAAGCGTATGAGGACCAGGGGCGAAGAGACCTACGAGCCTCATCCTACAATCACCTTGGCTAAAAATATTTTTAGGTTAAATTTTTTGGCTCATTGCCTAAGAAATTTCGAATTGTAGTTTTGTCATTTTGACTTTTTGGTAATTCCGTTTCGACGGCTTTGTGATATAATACCCTGATACTATCCTTAAGCCGAAATGGTACATAACATTCGAGCAGAGAATAACATATGTTCAAGACGACAAGTGATCTTTTATTAAAACTGACAGTTAAATAAGCAATTAACGCATTACATTAATAAATATCGGCTATTCTTTTAAAATTTGACCAAGGCTCGGTCTCATGTAATACCTGTGTTGTTTTAATGGATTTTTCAGAGAGCAGGCTATCAGGAAATACAAATCTGGTGACGGGATCGCCCTCTCCTGTGGCTAGTGATTGCGGTTCTCCCTCTTCTTAAACGTTTTACTTTCCCTCTCGACCTTTTCCTCTTTAATAAATGTGTCCAAATTGAATCAACCGGGCTCTTCTAAGAACGCTAGGAACAGGGAAGTGGAGACTGACGAGTCCCGCCCTACACTCATTTGTGCCAACGTATTTTCCTGCGACACTGACAGACACACTTCGCGAAAGTACGAATTTTAGAAGCTATTTTGAACTGCAACTATAGGTCTGTGGAACTGAGTCTGTGCACAGCTTTAGGTTTAGACGTATGAGATTAGGATCCAATTGACAAAAGACATTCTTCCTTATTTGTCGCAAAGTCAAGCACGGTATGGCTACAGTCCTGCATGATGCGGATCTGCCTAATTTTGTAGCATTAATGCCGTTGGGTCAAAAGGCCTCAAGATTGTGCTTCAAATTTGACCCTACACATCGTCATATTTTAAGGCTGCTGACGTTATTTTGTGTGTTTCACCGGCTATTTTCGTGCCTAATTGTTAAAAAGGCACTTGTACTTTGTTTTTTAAGGCAATATTTCAATGATAAATGTGTTACTATAGCTAGAAATTCTTGATTCCAAGTCACTTAGAAAGTCATAATGTAGTGTCCCGAAACCTTTCTGAAGACGAAAGTGGGCATAATACTCGGGCAGAATATTTAGCACAGAGAGAGTGTTTGATCTACAGGCATGTCCCGAAGGCCAGCCCACCCGGCGTGGTACAAAAGCCAAGTCAAAAGTGGCTCATTACAAAAACAGGGAGATATACAATTATCGCGTTACAATATTGGAGCGTGCCAACTAGAACAAATGCTCTTCTTTTTTGACAACTATCCTAAAAAGATCTTTTCCGCAAACTCTACAGCAATTCTTTAATACGTCCAAACGTTAAGCATTTCAGCATCAAGTTAAAAATTAATGCTATGAGGTGACTTCCAGACCAGGAAGAACATTTGATATCGATGCCAACGATGAACCTTGCCGCAGTCGCTTAGCCTGTTTGTAATTATTGGATATTTTTTTTACCCTATGCAAAACTACGAGAGCATTAGAATACCTGAAACCTGCATTTGCCAGGCGGCAAGGTCTCCGACATGTGCTAGTGCTCTGCCGCGCAATTTGGGGGTTAATAATACATGTTCCGCTATGCCGTTGCCACTATCTACTAATTAACACAGCGCAAAGTAAAAGAATTTTACAGGCTAATTTTGAGCCATGTTTTGTGCGGGAATCATCCAGGGGTGAATAATGGCCAAGGTTATACTTATCGTGGGTAAAGACAATCCCCCCAAAAAAAAATTAAAAATCATTTTAATAGGTATGCAGAAGCTACCAAGGTAAAGCCAAACGATTTTGTGGCTGTTTCTTCCATTCAAATCCAAATACAGTGGTTTTAAATAACTGAATAATCTTGGCCTTACAGAGCGCGGGTAGCAAAAAAGTAGTAAAGTTTTTTTCCACCCTCCTAGAAGAGGCTTAAAAAGTTTTCTATAAATGCACACAGGTAATCAAAGTATATTGTCTTATCAAAATCATCTAAATTCTATTTATGCTAGTTTTTTATTTCATAGTTGTTTTGCAATAGCAATATTTTAAAAGGCTGGCGATATTGGCACATACGAGTTTTTTATCGTTAATATTCTTGTTTGAATCGGTTTACTTGCGCGGACGTATTTGAATTCCGAAATTCCTCCCACGAGTACTTTGTCGTTATGGCGGATGCAGATTTAGATGCGAAGGTGCTCCGACAGGTGGAGGTACTTTGCATTTGAGACAAATTTACAACTTAGTACTACTTCGGTGACATAAATCTTCCCAAGGACACCTTCATGAAGAAAACCTTGGAAGAAAACGGTGGCTGTATGCCAATTTTTAGCTTATCTGCTTTAGGGATGCCCTTTGACATTTTGCTAAAATTTAAAAGACTCAAGCAACTGTCCACTGATATTGATGTTATAAAAAATGCGCTGATGAAGTCAGGTTTAGTTGAAGTAGGAGAAAATGGTGTTCGTCGTGTTCCATCCAATCCGGCTCCAGAAACCCTCTCTGAGGCTCTCACAATTCATGGAGATAGAGCTCTCTATGTGAAAGGATTCCCTACTACCTTATCACTTGATGAAATAATTTCATGGCTTGAGAATATTGCCGGAGAGACGTACGATGTATTTTGCAAACGTTTTCCAAATAAGGTGTTTAAGGTAAACTGACCGTTTAATGTCAAGCCGGATTTGCTTTAGGGAAGTATTTACGTCACGTTTAAGGAAAAGGAGGCTGCTGACAAGTTCATGACCTCTCCGGATTGTGCTGAGTTTAAGGGGAACCCTCTTCTTCGCAAGTGGTAGTAAGTTTAATACGTAGTAAATAGTGTCGCGTGCGTGGGATTTCCTATGCTTTTTATCGTGTCGCATGAATAAAATCGACTGTATCACCGACGTACGCTATTTAGCAAAGACTACTTGGAGGACAAGATAAAGGCGAAACAGGCACGAATTGAAGAGAAGAATAAAAAAAATGACCGTAAGAGGGCTGAGATTGTTTCCAAGATGACAGCTGGTGCCCTTATTGAGTTTACGGGCCTTCCCCCCCAAGGTAAGTTTTCTTCATCTTACTGAAGGTTGTGTGAGTCGCTACTAATTAATGTATCGTCCTAGTTATTGACATGGTTTTAATGCATTTCCTGTGTATTTCCTCTGACCTCACACAGACCTAAGACGTATGTCCTCAGTTTCATCTCCTACGGTCAGGCCGGAGGATAGTCTTACCCATTACTGTTTATTGCTTTTTGTTATATGCATTTAACGAGTCTTACCAGTCATTCTGCCTTTATCAGCAACAATCTAACTTTCTTCGTGTTGAATTAAGTGCCTAGGGCAGATAAATCAAAATCGGAGAAACCCACTGATGAACCTGATGACAAGACGGCCGGGGAATTCGATGAAAGTGAGATGGAAAAGGATTTGGAATGCAAAGTAGATGCTTCAGTTTGTGAAAAAGGTGATGGAAATCGACAGACAGTCTCGCATCTCAAATCATGGATAAGTGAAAAGGTACTTTGCTGTTTACACAGAGGTTTGGTTCATTCACACATACTTGTAGTTGGACGCCAGCATTCCTGTTGCTTGGATTGACGTCGACTCCTCGGGAAATAAGGCGATAATCCGTTTTAAAGAGGCTAATTCTGCTTTGTCGGCTCTTGAAAAACTTACAAAAGCATTTGAAGGAGGCATAATTGTGTACAATGACTCCCAAATTAGTGCTAGATTGATTGAAGGTGATTTGGCGTTTTAATCATTTTGGCCACCAAGTTAGTCGATATGGTTGCAACCTTATTTTTTAATGAAATTGCATAGCGTTCTGTTGGTTTTTGCATTCATTTATTTTCTCAAATTTAGGTGACGAGGAAATTGACATTTGGAGAAAAATCCTGACTACCATGAAGTCCAAAAAGCGAAAGGCGGGACGATCCAATGTACGTTAACCGAAATTGCTACGTAACCTAATTAAATTAACTGGAAGTATTGCTAGTGTGCTGAGGTTGTTCCTTCTGTAACATACTGTTTCAGTATGCTCTGACTTTGCTGGATAAGAGCATCAAGGTAGATTCGGGATTGATTTGGTAATTGTGTTATGCTAATCTGGTATAAGATTTTTCTAATGTTTTCAAGACTACAATGTTTGAACAATAGGTATTGTGTGTTCGTAATATAAATTAGTGAGTCTCAAAAACTGTCGCTGCCACAACGGTTGCTCTGCTCCTGGCTGTACTGCTCTGTTTGTGGTTCACTAAAAACCTTATTGTCATGGCCTTTTTTGCCCTCGTATCGAACTGTAGTGTGACGCGCAAAGCCCTCGGTGGTAGTCTGCAGTATTCCGTTTAAACTTGATTATACTGCTTTTTTTTCTAGGGTGGGAAGTTCGGGAGCAAACGTCGTCGTCACAATTAAGTTTGTACACAATGTTGAAATTTCTTTTAGATATTCAATAAAAATATGTGAAATCGTATTAATTTTTATTTTTTTCTATCGTCTCATGCCTGTACCTGCAGCGTGTCTTGGAGCGCTTGTCGTTAACATAGCTACATGTTCAACCGAGTGTTCTTCACAAGGGTGATTTGTTATATGCTTTTTTCTCATTTACTTAGGCATCGAGAAATCTGGGTCGAAGGCCCCAAAAAACCACTGTGTATGTGGATGGCAGGATATCTGCCGTAGATTCTGTCAATTCCAATGCTAGGAGACGTCGTTCGAATCGGCGTCATCCAGCCGGCTCCGCTAGACAAAGAAGCGATAGTCGGAAGCGCAACTTACAGAACGCCATTCGGGATATATACCAGTTCATTAGGAAACGTCGTTTATTAGCTAGATGGAATCGCGTGGGTTTTTTGTATCGCAGGAATGATGCCCTCATTGATAAGCAGCTTAAGGAGGCTGCAAATTGTAATTGGAAGAATCTAAGTGTGTCTGGCAGTGGAGTTTCTTCAAACACGCTACTGCTGGCGGCACCAGTCGAGATACCTCAGTTGTACAGTCAGTTGGGACGATTCGAAGCTAAAATAAACGGATATATCGCTCGCGTTGGTGTATCTATCATTCCTCCTGTAGGTTTTACCTCAGAAAAGTTATTAACATTGGTTTTGCCAACTTGTCATTTGTAAAAGTTAGTGTGGCTCTTAGGCCACTAAGTTTTGAACACGCCTTTACTTTCATGTGACTAACTCAAATTGCCATACCTGCTGTCTCGGTAAACGCAACTTACGTAAAGAGGTCTCCGAGTTGCCAGCATGCTTATTTTGATGACCCCTATCAGTAAAAAATGCTTCAACGCTTCACTGCACATAAATTTTATTGTATTGCTGCGATACTGTTCGTTTACTAAATACATTGTGCTTAGTGATAAAAAACCTCGATTACATTAAATTAAGGAAGCTTGCCTTTAATGCACTAATTTTTGCATTTTTGGGTTGTGATCACGAAATAATGGCCATCATTTATGAATCAGGTGGATCCCGTTCCTGCGATGTCCAGTTGGGCGCCCGTGCAGCTGAATTATTCTGTAGAGGACGAGCCTGTACTTAACCATTTACCCTATATGGGAGAAGAACAGGCTCAAGATGATGTCTTTTTGGAGGAACTACTCAACAACTACGATGGGCGTCTACATGGGAATTTTCCTTTTGACTTTGAATCGCATCTAACTGTGGAGTTGGTTGACACAGTGCATTCCAAATGGGAAACCTTACCCAATACTGAAGTTGTTGAGAGTCCAAAGTCCTTCCATTGTGACCGTGAGGGGGATTGTCAGGAGAAGGTGGACAATAGGCCCTGTGGACAAGTTGCGGTTAAAAACCATAACGTAATTTAAAGGCCGATGTGCAGCAATTGTTTCAACCATTTCGCAGTAAAAGTGTTCCAAGTATTTATGATTAATGACACTGCTGCAGTATCATTAGCGCGTTCAAATTGTGCTCCCATATTTTGCATTTTGTCATCGCTGAAAATGCTTGTTCTCTATAGGAATTTCAACAGGAGGACTATGCGAATGAAGATAGTGCCGTCTCTTACAAGTCGAAATTGTCCACTTTTTCTTCAAATCCCTCTAAATGCCCTTCGAGTCCTCCGAAGAATTCGGCCGCAGCAGCAGATACTTCTACTGAAGCTAACGTTTCGCGGGTTTCATCGGATTCAGGCATCTCGGATTCCGTTTTCAAGGTATAGTAATGTTGTTTTTGATTACCATTGACAGGCAACATGGATCAGCTAATATATTTGCTGTTTTTTGTTGTTTCTTAGGCGATTGCTTTGACATTCGGATCTATGGAAGATTCAAACAAACTTCAGGTTCATTACTGCGAAATGAAAAATGCCGGAAATAATTCGATTGTGAGTAATCTTCTTTGCCATTTTAACGTGCAGCTTGACTTTGGTGGGGGATTAGAACTTTCCACTTTCAATCAGTATTCTCGTTGAATTGGATATTCACTGTGCCTCCTGCATGATAACCTTGTGGGAACAACTTTTGGTGTTGTTTGTTTTTTATTTAGCTTTTTGTGGGGAGAAAGTAAATCAAGGTCTTCCCCTTAAAGTAGTCACCTTAATACTCCTGGTTTAGACACCCGAGACTGGTACGCCATCATGTCCAAACTTGGATGATCCTGTTGAGGTAAGGGAAGTTTGTGATCGAGAGCAAAAAAAGCCTTCCCGTCATGATGCACTGCACACCTTTCGAGCTCTCTTCTGTCGCCGTTGCTTCAAGTACGACTGCGCACTTCATCCCTACAAGTCAACACAGACTATGTGGAGTCACCGGTGGCCTGTGAAGTCGTGGGCGTGCTCGAGTAAGTCGTTGTCTCATTTGCACTTTTATAGACTTTGAAACACTTCCTTATCGTAGCTTTATTTCAAATTGTTTCAGAGATGACATTTTCAATCAAATGGTGTCTGTGCTCCCCCTTTTGCAGACCTTCCGCTGTGCGGTCCCGATTGTATTCGCACACTTCGTGGTGCAGGTGCAGAAAACGTAGGAAAGGAATGCAAAGTTAGGGAAGGCGAGAAGGAACCGGAGTGGGAAATCTCGGAGCAGACTCTTTTTGAAGTCCTTGCCCCTATTTACGTTCCTTTCGGTCAACCAAGCTTCCAAAACTATAATTGGTGTTGCGTTCTTTCGGGTTTTATTAAAACTCGGACTTGTAAGGAGGTGAGGTTCCCGGTTCTCCTAATGTGAGACCTGTACACACATCTCTTTATTAAACTTCTGGCCTATGGCTATGTTAAGTATCTTAAACCATGCATGTCAAAATTCGCTTTTGGGCGGTTGTCCATCAGCTGAAATAACTTGTCATTCGCGAGCAGGAATAATGCTTTCGAATACTAGCCTGTTTTTTTTTCCAATTAGGTCCTCCGTTATTGCGAGTGTAAGATATCAAAAGATCCGTTTGTTTTGTTCGGGCATGATGCGGGTCAATCACGCCTTGTTAATCAGTACAATGATGAGATTTCCATTCCAAATATCCGCAATGGGAAGCGAATTTTTGGCGACACAAACTCCGATTTCGATGAACTGATCTCGGATGACGAGGATGGAGTGGGAGCGAATGGTGATTTCATTGGATTCCTGGTTGGAGGAAAAAAAAGGCGAAAGAAGGCCAAACGATCGCGCATCTCCCTTGTGAAACATCCTTTGGCCTCGCGTCGTCCCGGTAGGTCTTGTCGTTTTATCTTTTCAGATCTCCATCTCTATCCTTGACCCATTGCGGCAGCTGTCTGGAATTCTTCGACAATCCATCCATTTGTTCTGATCCATTGCCTATTTTTCTTGCCAATGGTAATACCTTTTAAAACTGGAACATGTGTGGCATAGGCTTTTGATTTGATACGATGTGCGTCACGATATGTAAAGACCAACTTTTGAAATTTGCTCTTCTGTCTCAGGTCCCGTGAACGAGGCTAGTGGCTTGCCTCCCGGTCACGTGGGTAAGGCAGAACTGGCAACTGGGTGCCTTTCCAATTACTTTCAGCCCTGTGACCATCCTGGCTCCAGGTGTAATGAATCCTGCAGCTGCAAAAAAGCCGGCAACTTTTGTGAAAAATTTTGTCAGTGCTCAGTCGATTGTTCCAATCGGTGAGTCCGGAGTGTATGAAGTGAATTTTTACTAAACTGGTCAAACTCGATAGCCGTGTGGGCGTTTGCTATCACTTGAGCTGGCACGTCACAAGTAAAATAGGTAAAGCAAGCAATTTCCTACTAGATCGCTCCAGCGTTTGTGCTGTGTCAGCCTCTCTTCGTCGGGGTCAGACGAAGTTTTATCACGATTCGTTACCTTAAGCAAACATGACTTTACCAGTACGCTTAGATCGCAGACTCCAGAAATGTGACTTACTTTATTGTAATGTTTGTACCCCAACATAGCTTTACGGGTTGCCGATGTCGCGGCCAATGCAACTCACGCGTGTGTCCTTGCGTGTTGGCCATTCGTGAATGCGACCCTGACATCTGTCATTCGTGTGGTGCAGGCACATCCAAGCCACCTTTGGTAGCGGCCCAGGAGGCCGGTCTGAGTGTCGACGATAATGGCAATAGCAATTCGAGTCTGACCCACGCAACCACCTGTCGCAATGTTGCCATTCAAAGGGGTCTGCGCAAACATCTCCTCATGGCGAGCTCTGATGTTGCTGGGTTCGCTCTTCTCTTACCTCATTTTTAGACATCTCTATTCTTCTATTTAATTCATAATTACTATTGCCCATCGTTCTTTTACAATTCAGGTTTTGTTCCCTATAGGTGGGGTATTTTTATGAAGGATGGCGCGGAAAAAAATGAGTTTATCTATGAGTACTGCGGGGAGATTATCAGTCAAGACGAGGCGGAGCGACGAGGCAAGATCTACGATCGCACCATGTGCAGTTTCCTGTTTAACCTTAATCGTCAATTTGCCGTTGATGCTATGCGCAAGGGAAACAAAATTAGATTTGCTAATCACTCCATTAATCCTAATTGTTATGCTAAGGTTAGTTTTCTACTGCTCTCTTGTTTTTGTCTTAGTCGTGGTCGCAAATTTTTTTAATGTCATGTGATATAAGCGTGTTGAAGACCTTACTACAAATTGCTGGTTCATGAACCTAGAGTCTGTTTTTGTTTTATTCTTTAGTTTTTGATAACTTCTATTATCAGACACTCGACTTGATGGTTTGGTTGACTGTTCGTGTGTTAGGTCTTGATGGTGAACGGAGATCATCGCATCGGCATCTTTGCAAAACGAGCCGTCCAGCCGGGTGAGGAGCTCTTCTTCGACTACCGATATGGTCCCACGCATCAACTGAAATACGTGGGCATCGAGCGGGACGATGAAATGGCGGTAGCCACGCAAGCTGCAGCCGTCGCTCTCATCGATGGCGGCATCAGTTCAGGTTTTGCGCCCTATGCTACCAACAGCTAACAGTGCTATGCCTATTCAACGTGCATTTTCCTAAGGCAAATCCCCCTTTTAATGATGGCCCATGTCGGCTAACACCAAGTTCATTAGCAATCGGCTGGGTTGCCCCTTACTCTAACACTTATTTCCGTAACTCCTGGGGTGGTTTCAAGACTCGCAACTGGCGACTAATCCCTCGACCCATTCAATGCTCCGACATAAGTAATATTATCATCATCTATCTAAAACCTTGATCAATATCCACATCATAGTGAATCCACTGAGTAGGGGCTCTGTCAGTCATTGCAGTACTTTGCGTGATTTCCAATCATGCGCTTTCTCCTTTAGATCATCGAAGAACTTACGGAGGCTGCTTTTCGCGTATCCGCTTTTTGTGTACGCTAAATAAAGGTCTGGCCGCACTAGGGGACCTTCTGTCTTAGCAATATGTTGAGTCTATCCTAAGGTAAGGTTACTATTGGTAATGCACACGCAACTGTCAAATTAGCCCCGTTAAGAGCTGCAAATCGTAATTAGGCTCAGCCCGATAAAAGTCAACGCTGAAACAGCCAGTGTTTGATAGGTCCTATTGAGACAATCAAGCGGTACAGAGCAAGGGTAAGGGTTGTGAGCATCGCAATAGATCCAATAGCAGTAACTGGCCTGGTGGCACTGTTGGGACGTGTTACGGGTACCAAACTGGGAATAGCTGGTGCACAGTGATACGAACGTGAATATACCTGAGTGACTCAGAGCTGTTTGAGGGGGGGATTCGTGGTGCGGGGTGCCAATTCAGGGTTCGCGGGGATGCTCTTCAATGGAGTCCGATCGGTGTCCGTTGGTTCACTTCCGGTGTTGTTTTCGTCGACAGCTTCGTCCAGATCCTCAACCTCCACTTCACATTCATCCTCCTCATCTTCGTCTTCATCCTCCGTTTCATCATCTTCCTCACCTAAATCTTCCTCGCCGACATCCTCCACATCTGCCTCAACGTCCTCCTCCTCCTCTTCGCCCTCTTGTTCATCTTTCTCCTCACTCTTAGAATCCATCACTTCTAGCATATCTACATCTTCTTCCTTTTGCTCTGGCTCAGGACAACCATCAAGTAAGCCATCGCCCCAATCAATAGGGAATCGAGTAACACGGGGGTCCGAGGCAATAATAGACCTTTTCAGCTAAAAAGTGAGGGGCCGTGAACTAGAGGTTACCTCATCCAGTAGAGGCTCCGCGGGAGGTTCATTTCGAAGTTCCTCCGATTTGTACTCATTATTTACGTAGTATCCTATACGGATAAACTCCTGTTCATGATATAGAGCCTGTATTAGCACAACAGTGACCCCAACAAGGTCTTCGGGGAGAATTTTCTTTGGGTCAGGAGCGTCGACCTAAGCATACTGGATTTGTGTGCGCATATTACCTCGAAAACAAATTGATGTCTACCAACAGGGACAGGGCCAACCAGTATTGAATCCAAGGTTTGATCCAAAGAGGAGTTGTAGGCACTACCAACATATACAACTTTCCACTCCAAGTCTACACAATACATATTCAAGGCTGTTTTGAGTTACCATCTTCTAGAGGCTCATGACACTCAAACGTTATTCTAAACTTAAAATTGTCAAAAAATGTGGCTGGGTTATCCAGAACTTCGACGTCGCAGACGTTCACCTTCGCCATTGTGCAGCACAATATGCACTGCGAAGCACACAAAATCTCAGCAAAAGAAATTCAAAGTTGCTCTTGTAGTTGATTGGTAAGTCTTCTACCAACCAATTGTAGGCAATACACAATAGCAAAATATTTTTGTAATAAGGATATGACTTCCATGTGGGCAAGCAATTTTGATCCAACCTAGGCCGGTTAAGTTAAAGCAAAAATATATGCTTAAAGTATCTTGAATTCACATTACAAAAAATGTGATCATTATTTTTGTCCTTAGCACATTTGCCCTTAGTCCAAAAATAATTAATGTTTTTACCTTTGGCTACTCAATGGCGAAAAAAAAGGTTTAAGACTTAAGGGCTTATTATTGTTTCGTGCTTAACTGGCCTTAATAGAGTAGGCACAGCAGTTCCCGAGGTTATTAACTGCAATTTGTTAAGGTCAGCCTTCCAACCCTGTTGTGGGTTGAAGATGCATGGTAATGTAATACGATAATGGTTAATCCCTCGGTACTGGTGGGGCGACACTTTTGTGCTTTGAACTAGCCCCCTTGTACCTCGCTGGGTAGGCTGGCCTTTTGAGCCATGCCAATAGCCCAGACACCTTCTCTGCGCTGAATCTGTATTCTGCCCGAGTACTTTGTCTTCTTTTGCCTTCAGGGAGCCTCGATACGCTACGGAAATTTGATCTATTATTTAGCTATGTATCGGGCTACATAGGCATCATAACCTTCGAAGATTGTGTAGCATCCCGGGACTCCCTGAAGACGAAAGAAGACACAATACTCGGGCAGAATATATATATTTAGCACGAAGAAGGTGTCTGGGCTATTGGCATGGCCCAAAAGGCCAGCCCACCCAGCAAGGTACAAGGGGGCTAATTCGAAGTACAAAAGTGGCGCCTCACTAGAACCGAGGGATAAACCACCATCGTATTACAATTGTGCCTGCACTCCATAACCGCCAATTTGGTCATGTTAATAGTCTCAAAACTCTTCTGTATGTGTGGGTTTCGTTACCTGGCGTGACGACTTGTCTCGTTACTCATTTATGCTCTAAAATGAGCAGTCTCATCTTAGGTGAATTATAGTTTGGACCGATGTGTTGCTACTATTTAAGTGTAAAATTTGAACTACTAGAGTGACATTGCACACCACTCTAAGACGTGCGGATTGCCGAGGGGTGCCTGCTTTAGAATGTTAACGACAAAATTTACTAGGATTCGAATCTGATGCGTCGTTTGTTGGGAGGATTCTATTGTATTTTCCTACTCTAGGAACAGTGAAATCGAATATTTGTAAGACATTTAATATCATACATGCATTCAATTCGCGCATCGAAGTACTTTAGAACAATGGGCAATTTAACAGAGTTGCATAGGTGTTATAGATTTAAAATGCGACAGCTTTGGCGTTTAGCTTTTCAAACTCGGCCTGCAGTACCTTGAAAGGGGTGGATTGATTAGATTTGGGCATTCGTTATTAGTCACGTCATGAATAGGTTACAGTGATAGGCGTTTTACTCGTTCCTAGTACACATAATCAGGGGTAAACAACAGCTGTTTTCTTGACGCTTTTTGCCTAACCGATGCAATTCGACAAGCAGTAAATCCACTAAACTCTTTTTCCATTAGATCTAGCATGGAACTTATGTTACGCCAGGTTATTTAGGCAAAAACTTCAAATTTTTGGCTTTTCAAATTTAAAACAAAGATTCGCTTATTGTTCGCATAATATATCCCATTTTTACAAAAGACTTGACCACCACACATTTCCACTCGGGTTTAAAGTCATTCTGCCCCTATTGGTTCTTATTTCGTGTAGGAGCCTGATTGGTTTCTTACAACTCCATTCATTCGTTAGCGTTTTCTCAAGCACTGTTGGCTACGTGTCTCAACTTTGAGAATTCTCGTGTTCAGAAAGTGTACCTGTATATGCTGGAGGCCATGATCCTTTTGCCCTTATTAGCGATTATAATATTGGTGCCCATGACACCTACTGTCATGGTCCTGTGGATATTATTGCGATTGATTGGCTTTTTCCTTCCGCTTACTGCTTATCACACCTTTGATGATAAGCTCTTCTCATGGTACCAGCGATGTGTTTTACTTTTTTTCGAAGCTTTTGTGACGCGGAAAGTAACTACGTCCTCTTGATTCTTACAGTGGTTTAGATCTACTTCTATGGAGATCATGATTTTACCAAACGCAAGGAAAACGTACTTTTTATGTGTAATCATCAATCGACAGGTATGTGGAATTTTTTTCCAATTTGCCTCCAGTTGATTGGATTATTTGTAATATGGTAATCGCCAGGCAGGGTGGGATTGGTCGTCTCCGGTACATTCTATTGAACATATTCAAATACATTCCACTCTTTGGATATTACGTCTACCAGGTCTGATTCCCATACTTTTTTCTCTTCCTCATCCCATGCGTAAATAATTCGGTCTTTCACTAAGCAGTTAATTAAGACGCTTAGAAATACCATACCTTACTTCTAATGTATTCAGTCATGTCTCATTTCTCACAGTTTAGTGGCTTTTTTGTTGCGTATCCTAACAATCGATAGACGTTTTACTTCATTCTCCCCTACAGCACTGCTTCATTTTCGTAAACCGCGATAATTTTGAGGCACACAAGGCTGTTGCAACAATGGATTATGTGACAAAGAACGGTCTCTCAGTGAGTTACTTGAGTTTTTAAGCTAGTCTCTCCAACCACTATATATGACTTTTACTTTGTCATTATTTTTCTTTTTTAAAACACGTCAGTGGCTAGAGGTTGATTATGTAACTGTCTTGTTCATCGTTTTGTTGGGATTTTGGTTTTCTTGATTCCCAATATCTGGGTTACTAAGATACGCTATCATATTTTAATGCGCATTTTGCATTTGTTTTGTAACTTAACGAGTTTTTAAAGACATGTTTAATGTAATGGACGTCAGGAGGTGTTCTTATCTATTTACTCCCGCTTGTTTGCGCCATAATTCGTTGATTGCTTTATTTTCCACCTTTCACTAGACATTGGGGTGCTTTCTGGATACATGTAACACACCTTTTATCAGTTCTGGTTCTAAAGCGACCATATTATGTCTTAGTTGTCCTCCCAGTTTCTTTATTGATGCTTTTTTTGATTGTGTTGCTAGAACAGCTTACTTAGGTCGCGTCCTTAAGTTATTAGAATGCTCTTACCTTCTAAGTTGTACGATTTGGCTAGATTTACTTACATCTGGGCCGTGTAATTTGTCGTGTGGATTATTTCTTTTAGGTTGTGCACTTTTTCCCTTCAGAATACTCTTCTTGAGTTAGTTGTGTGCTTAATTTGGTCACGCTACCTTCGCTTCGCGCTTTTGCGATAGCTTATTAGATTTACAAAAGCACTACCGAAAATTTTATCGGTATTTTCTTGTATTTATAAGCTGGTCACATCGGTTAATTCATCTCACCTCCCTTCAAATAATTTTTTAGGCTTCAGTTTCCTTAGCAACAGCAGCACATTTTTTTACAGTTGGACGATCTCTTGACGATATTGTGTGACCTAGAGCTTGCGCTCAATAGCCTTTTAAAAGATCCGTTTGAGACTTCAACTTCTTTCAGCGCTCGTTATCCTCTTGTTTGCGTAGTGTTGGATTGTTGCCTTTCCGGAAGTTGATCGTTTCAACCCGAAGAAACCGAAGGTCATAGAAGAGAGTCGCGCCTTCGCTAAATCGAAAAGTAAGTAATCCCTTCTAAATCCTTACCAATCCCATAAGTCGTTTGGCATGCTACCTTAGCTCTGATTATCTCGTATTTGCCATTTATTAACGGATTACTATGCGTTGCTACTTACTCTTGGTGAGCCTGGCGTTCCATTACTACCCATCAAGTTGACATTGTGCCTCTCCGTTCGTGCCGTTGTATCAAACCAATGGATACTTGGAACAATTTTGGTGATTAAATTGTGCTTAGCGGGTCGTATGTGAAATACGGATTGTCTGCCATTTTCGTAAATTTGGGACTTCCGTGAACACTGCCGTCTTCATTTTACTTGCCGTTTGATTATATTCACTTCTAACCTGATTTGCAGTCAAAGTATGCCTACTCACCGGCTGTTTATGTACTTTTAATTTCATGGTTGGGAAAATTGCTTTAGTCAAATTGATTTGTCACCATTCCTAAAGTGGTTGCTACTTCGATTCCTTACAGGGACGCTATTGGATGGTCATAATGTGACGCCGGATTCACCACTGATATGGGTTAGGGGTGTACTTTAACAGGTCTTGTTACATTTCTGCAAAGCTCTAGTCACCCTATCGTTGACGTCTTTGGCAGGTGATTTCAATGGCTTGGTGGAGCACATCTATTAACAGAATTTCCGGTCGCTCTGAACTTGGGACTTCTTCCCCAAATCATATTCAATTGTTGAATGCAAAGTTTCAAAATCAATGACCGTACAGCTCTAAAGTTTCTTCTAGACTCCTCTCATACTTCAACGTGGACTGTTTATCTTAAATCTGCAAACCAGTTCGCGCCTATGTATCGGTTTAGTTCAATCTCCTGCACTAGTGGACGTCAGACATTTGAATTTATGCTGATAAACTAGTATTTAATCTCCTGTTCCTCTCGAGACTACTTTATTTACATAGGCGAAAAAGATTTACCTATTAACAATCATATCCGGTCGTTCTAATTCGTACCTATCATATGAAATTGGTAAAAAGAACCGTTGTCCTATAATATTTGGAACCTCTCAAGATGATTTTCGGTTGGAACGTTTGGTTAATCGCCTTTTATGTTGGTTGGTTAGTAGAAGAGCTTGGGGTCAAATCGTTTATAATGTGCAAAATTCTTCGATTATAGTGTGGGCACTGCATCCGTCAACGCTTCAATGCTTGGCGGGTTGACCCCCTTACCAGCGTAAAGCGTTGTGCAATACGCATGTCTTAGTTTGACAACTTCGCTTTTGGTCAGAATGGCCATGTTATTAGTGGCGTGAAACTTTTATTTTCGCATGCTGTGATTCGACTTTCAAATCCACATCTGGGCACTTTTCTTACTGTCTTATATTGGATGTATCGACTTCAGCCTCAGTTCAGGACATAATACGCCATCAGGAGCAGTTATTCTTTTACAAACTGAGTGGTACATCGGTAACCGTTTAACTATAGACGCCATCTTTAGGTCGTTTACTGTTGATGTCGATGCCCTAAACCAGGTTATACAAGCTAGTAAACAGCACCAAGATTGTTTCTGTTTGTTAAATGTGAAGTCCGTGCATCTTGTTTATACCTGAATGCGGACTTGGTTCTTTATGTAAACATTGACCTGTAGTTCTTAAAACTAACACGATTGCATGATTTACTGATTTCCATATCCCCCTCATGTTTTCGATAAATTTCTCATGTTGCTCTTTAGTTCGGGTCAATTTAAAAGAGCATTTAACTCCGGGTTTTTTTAAGTTCTGATAGCAATTACTATCCTAGTTCTGTAGAACTGCAAGCCTTATCACCCAGGGCTTTTTTGAACTAATCAAAACCCTAACTACACCAATTTCACAGTTTAATAAGTTAGTGCTACAGTTCTTGGGCTTTTTTATAAAGTAGTCCTGTAATGAAAACTTGACGAGTCTGTTTTCGGCTGTGGTCCCATTGCCTTACTATAGAGGCAGATTATTATTTCACCCCAATCTTTAGCTTTATCAAGGTTCTACTTGATCGGTATTCGCTGTAGAAGTGGCTGGGGATCCTGTGGGTTATGGGATGAATAGTGCTAATAAATGGATGTGGCTGAATTAGAAGTGTTGATACTCCCTTTTGCCATGCACATCACATTGTGCAATGTGATCCCTCACCACCACTCACTTAATACGCATTGCGATTGAATGACCCCTGACTGCCTTAGTCACTAAAGAAATCAGTTATTTAACCTGGCGTAAAGTTGAATGGTAAGTCCATCCCACCATTACATTTACTGGGTTGGAAAGCGTGTAGCATTGGGATTTCGGTGCAGTAAAATTGAAGTTTACTTCAGGACTTCGTCTTGCTTTTATTAGTGGTATCGATAGTTATCCTAATCAGGGTGTTTCTTATTCGTTTCTTGTAGACCTCCTTCCTCTCCAGTACCACCTTACTCCGCGTGTCCGTGGCATGGAGCTGCTTTTGAAAAACATGAGTTCACATCTTCACGCCGTGTACGATGTGACAGTAATCTTTGCCGACGAAAATGGCAGTTGCTTGGATAAGGGCAAGCCCATACCCGGTCTATTCTGTAAGTTCCACGTCGACAGTACTTTTGCGGAAAAGGAGAGCTGGCTTAGGGAAAAATGATAACAGTTGCGTCACACCCTTGCTTTTGGTATATATTTGCCATTCCTCTCCCTCCCTCATGTAGTAATCATAATTTAAGATAAATGAATCCTATGGCTAGTGTGTTTATGCGTAGTCGCCCTTTGGATTGCTTCATTCTATGCACTAATGCAGTTTCCCCCTTTCAATTTCGTTCACATAAATTTGTTCTCAGAGAGCGCGTACAATCTACTCTTGCGCAGAGGAAAGCAATCTAATTCCACTTAATAAGTCCTGTAATTGTGTTTATTTTGTTTATATTATCAATCAAAAGCCTATTTGATGAGACCTCGCACGCTACATATTCATCTCCAACGTTGCCCTATCGCCGACGTTCCTCAGGACCACGATGCTCTCCGTGCCTGGCTCTACTCTCGTTTCGCTCTCAAAGATAAGTAAGACCTTCTCTTTGCATGCATTGGTTGGACTGTTATGTGTAGTGAGGGCCAATTTGATTTTGCGAATCGGTTTTATTTCGGATCTTGAATTGCTTCAAGAATGTGATATGGTTAATGGGGGTGCTGCTCTTTCGCACATCGCTTTAGTATTCAATTTCAGGTATATCTGTGCTTAACTCCTATAAAAATTGTTCGTATATACTCCCTTAGATTGTTTGCTGACCTCGAAGAAATAAAGAAAAACAAGGCAAGACAGCCGAACGTGGATGAAGTGAAGGCTGCTTTCCTAAGAAACCTTTCCGTGAGTAAGGTACCGAATGGCTTTGACGAGCTCCCTCGTTTGCGACGTCGTTGGCTCTTTACCGCCTTCATCTGCTTAGCCTCAGTCACTGCCTTACTGCTCTTTGTCCATCCCTGGCTACGATATGCCTATTTCGGCAGCGTGATTGGCACCACCCTATTCGGGGTTCCCTATGTCTGGCTAACCGTCTAGCGAGACGTCATCTCCCTTACGAAATGCAATTGCCTTATATGACTGCGTTGATTAAAACGTTTCTTCCAGGAACATTGTTAACGAGACTTGCAATGGTACATCTGTCTAACCGCATGCAAAGAACTTGTGGTTTTCATCCTTTTTATTCTGACAGATTGAATCTACGTGTTGGTGTCTAATTAGCTTTTGCTCATCGTGCTCACTCTTACGTTGGGTTGGTGGGTGTGCTTACATTCATCATGCATTTGACCAGGGCAAGGTCTGCGGTGGGGCGAGATTTGTGGTAGTGTTTGTGGCTTGAGGTGGTCCGACGGCTGAGGAGTTGGAGACGTAGTCACTACATTGAGTATACAATTTTTTTGCAACCCATTTGATCAGTTGAGTTGTTTGCTTCGAAAAGTCAATGAAAGAAGGCATCCCTAGCAGGGGTGGGTTGTCGTATTACCTCCAGTAAAAGGTCGATGGATAAGATCACTCATTAATGGGACTATTTAGCATAGCGTGGCTAGTTGTGATTGATTGGACTTCAGAATACATAGGCATACGTTGAAAGGTGGAACAGTATTGTTTACAAGTCTGTTCATTAAAAGGACCCTTGAAATTTTTCAAGACCTTTTTCTGCTAGATTTGATCGCAGAAAAATTTTAACTATTAAGTCATAGTGTAAGCTCAAAATGTTACTAGGCCAAGTAAACTTTGTTTAAGTTGGCTCGACTTCGTGCGTCACTATGAGTTTTTGGATGAGGAGCTGTTTGCGGGATGGCGCCGTTGAATTCTGAACTTGTTTTGGATAAGCTTTCTCCCGAAGAACTAATAGCAAAGGGTAAGCGAGAGATGCTATGTTCCCAAATATCAAATGCTGTTGAGTGCTTCCAGATGGCTTGCCAATTACTGTGAGCATAAATTTAATAAAGGCTTATTTATAAAGCGCCGAGAAAAATGGTGACCTGCACGATGACTTGGCGATCCCAAATTTGTTATATGGGACGGCTCTGTTGGAGCTTTCGAGATCTGAAAATAATATTCTGGGAGAAAGCATGAAAGAACGTGCCGAGTCTATGGACTCGACAGGTATGCGATGTAGATTTGTTTTTCATTTTCTTCAGAGGATAGTAGTGATGATGAAGGAGACTGTGAAAAGAATATTAAAGGTGAACTAAAGCAAGCTAACGTCGAAAAAGGCGTTGGTGTTAATGAAGTCGGGGATGCTGGGACATCTAGTGTAGAAAAATCCACTGCGTCCGGAGAAACGACTTTTTCTCCACCAGAAGGGGTATTCTTTGCCATTATTCATAATTTTTAGTCAGAGGATTTAGGAGATGAAGATATATCCACTCTACAACTAGCTTGGGAAGTCGTTGAAGTTGCTAGAAAGTTATTTCTGAGACATGAGGATGCTGAGCATCAGTTGAGGGCTTCCGATTGCCTAGAAAAACTGGCAGAAATCGGGCAGGAAATCGGGAACCACCAACAAGCAGTGTCAGATCTGTTGGTATCATCGGGTACATTTCTCACCGCATTGCGTTTAGGAATGCCTGAAAATACGGTCGATACACGCTCCTAATAATGATCGCCTTATTGCAGAAACCCACTTTCAATTAGCTGTCTCCTATTCTCAAGTAGGAAATGTGATTTCTTCGGATGCTTCGTTTGTCGATGCATTGAGGCGCCTAGAGGGATGTAAGTTGAAGTTGGAGTTGCAGTTGAGTGCAGTGAATGAAGAAGGTGAAGGTGATGGGAGTAAGATTAATCAATTGGAAATGCAAATTAGAGAGGTCGTCGGACTCATTGGCGAGGTATCTGAACGCCGAAAGGAGGGTTCTCAGTCTATACAATCGGTTGAAGAGCCTCAGGCAACGCATGTGCACAAAGATGTTCCCATTGGTGATATTAGTCATCTGATTAAGAAAAAAAGGCGGATCAGTGGTGAGAATGCTCGACAAGTCCCGGAAAAAAGTGCGGATGGAAGGTAGTCTTTGAAGATCCGTTCCAGATCATTCGCCTCAGTTTTTCCACCAACCGGCCGCAAGTCTTTTGCCACCGTTATTCAGTGGTGTCAGCTTTGCAACTGTCAGTCACTTGCATACCCTCTGTAGCAATATCAATTTTTGTCCACTCCCTGGGTCTGTTTCTCAATGCTGTAGCTTTTGGGGGCCGGGTGGCGGGTAACTTGTCGGGAAGGGGATCGACTTGTCTACCCCTGATGGGTGTGGGATGGAAGGCATTTTGTCTCGCCATTTCTGCCTGTCAAGGTGTGCTCTGGTTCGACTGAGGCAGTCGGTGGATTGGGGCGTCGGATTTTACTAGTTTGAAAGTTAGTTTTCTTAACAGTAAGTTGTGCAAACCTTTTATTCGTATTGGTGAGTAGGCTCTAGGTCACATATTCCACAACACCAATGGTTGTTGTCCCGCGGCTTAATTTAGCCGGAGTCAATACTAACATTGCGTAAAATTCCTTCAAAGGGTTTGAGTGCTTTCCTGTGGACTCTTGCAATGATCATACGTTTATTTGTATATCTTGCATTCTTAGGCCTGTCAGCTTCAGTCAACAATTGTGATCTATGTCGCAATGTCTTCGAAAAATACCGCTCCGCTTTTTATGACATTGATCCTGACATAAGTCTTGGAGGTGGGAATACTGATTGGGAAGAAAAGTTCATTGGAAAATATGCTTTTAGTGAACTTCATGCCTTTGAGACCATGGAAAAGACTCTGAAGGCTCTGAATGATCGCGAGGCTCAATTCCTTTCTGAAATTGAAGGTGAAGTTGAAGATTTTTGGGTCGACTACTTAAAGACGGGTCTGTCGAATCTTGATGACGTCATCGATGTGTTCTGCATTGAAAAGTTAAAACTCTGTTGTCCGTGGAATAAATTTGGTGAGAAGTGTTCCAACTGTGATCCGTGCATTGTTGAAAATGGCCATTGCGATGGGAATGGCACTCGAAATGGCACTGGGATATGTCTCTGTCGAATCGGATTTAGCGGGAAATCGTGCGACAAATGTGACAACCTGACCCATTTTCAATCTTCCTTTGAGAATGGAAGTATTTCTTGCAGTACATGTCATCCGTCTTGCGCTGGCGGTTGTTCAGATGCGACCTCTGCTTCCTGCATTTCCTGTGCTAAGGGTTTCACTGATATTGAAAAAGATGGCCACAGAATTTGTGTTGACATTGATGAGTGCGCAGGTGATGGTTCTCTTTGCAAAGTGGGGACTTTTTGCGTAAACTCGGAGGGTTCCTTTTCATGTGTTAAATGTCCAAAGGAATGTCTTGCCTGCACAAATCCTTCTACATGTCTGTCCTGTTTATCTGGTTACACCTTGACAGGCACTAGATGTGTGGACGTCGACGAGTGCTCTTTGCCTGATGTGTGCTCTGGACTTCATCAGCGCTGTGTGAACAAGCCGGGATCCTATCTTTGTGTGTGCGAAGAGGGCTATCGGTTGAAGCAAGGCGTATGCGTTCCTGCCACCTCACGCAGATCTAGTCATCGGCATTCAAGTAACAAATGGAACTCTCAACAGTCGAAACAGCTTTTAATTGAATTTTTTAAACTCGTTCTAATTCTGGTAATCTTTGGCGTCATTTTGTACTTCAACTCAAGTCGTTCAGTTATTTGTGCCTCTCTCGCTGTGGCCGCGATTAGTCTAATCTGTTATCAAGCTACTGTGCTCGATGCTCTTTATGTGAATGTGTAGTTTTGCGCCATTGTTACCATGTACATATTATAACATGTCCTCTAATTATTACTTCTCAGTCGATTTCTTGCTCGCACGTCGTGTACTTTTGGAATGTGAATAGCTTTGATCTAAGAATGCTCCAAGGATAACTTATTTAGTAAACGAATTACTTGCTATTTAGTTGGTGAGGTGCTCAATGTGCTCTCCTATCGGCTAGTCTGCTCTCGCCGGCGCATTAGTTAGATTTTGATGAAACTTTAGGCAAAGTGTGGCCGGTGTTTGATCACTCGTTTTCCCCCACTCGATTTAGAAAACTCTGTGATTCGAGCGACCGTTTGTTAGGGTTTTAGTGAGGCGAAAATTAGGTCCGTGGAAGGCGGTGAAGTCACTTCATTGGCACTAGGGGGGCAGGTGAGGTGGCAGGTGTCGTTGAAGCTTAGCGTCCGCAGCGATCCGTGAGGAAGTTCGGCTGCTCACGTAAGCGTCCTCTAAGCAGACTCGTAATTTTTTACTCCTAAAAGCATCAGTCAAGACTTCATGGAGAGCTCTTCTAATGGGCTACTAGTATTTGCATTAGGAGCTGCCGTTGCCAAAGCTTAGTTATGTGCCAATTAGATGAGGGACTAAAGTCAAGCGGCTAACTACGCAGAACTTTTCACCATGATGCCAGTAGCTTATGTGGTTCATTTTGCTATGCTCAAATTAGCTGTTTCAGGGTTATTGCGCTTGGGATGAAGGATAGCAAGTTAGATATTGTAGGTCTGTTGGTACTCTTCAGATTATAATAAGCATCAGTCTTACCAGGACATTTTACACTTGACCTTGTTTTTTTTATAATCTACCTATTGAATTTTAGGTACAGATCTCACGAAAAATTGTATAAGTATCTTAAGGAATTTCCTTAAAAATCATTTAATCGACATGACGCATACATGCAGCACCGACGTAAATAACAAATTAAGTGCGATCTATTGTCATGTAACATTACTATAGGGGCAGTATGCCAACAATTCGAAAAACTGATCATGCCAACAATTGTTTATACCAACAGCAACTAGCTTGCAGCACTCAAGAGTAGGCGGTGGCGTCTTGCCAGGCTTGTGCAAGGTTGGTGCTTTTTACTGCCAACAAGTTCGTACTTTACAAACTCACTTCTAGTTCGCATCATGTTCCAAATAAGTGTGATAGTTTACTGCAGCTTCTAAGGAGTTTGTACTCTTTTCGTCATTTTCCTAAGCTTCCATTTAATCCTGCTTATACGTAGATTGTATAGCTGCAATACAATGCCCATTTCAAAGCGCGACAAGAGAAGTATGTCGTTTTGCTGTCTTCACCATTCTCCTGTAGTTTCACTGACGAAAACCGACAAAAAAGTTGGGAACAAGTCTGCGCTTGTCAACAAGGTACTTGATGATGGTTGGTCTATGTGTATATGTGGTAAAGTAACAGCGAATCACCCTTACTTTCAGATCCAATCACTTGTCTCCAACTACAAGTACATCTATGTAATTACATTTGAGAACCCACGAAACGCTAGACTCGCGGAAATTCGTCAGGAGCTACCGAGCAGTGTGTTGCTATTCGGCAAGAACAAGGTTATCGCAGTCGCCTTCGGTCGGGACGCGACTACTCAGCTAAAACCGGGTCTGCATAAACTCAAAAAATATGTTAAGGGTCAGTGTGCTCTTCTCTTCAGCAACATGGAACTTGATGAACTTCGTCAAGTTTTTAATCAATTCAGAAGTCAGGACTATGCACGAGCTGGTAGCGTTGCTGCACAAACTGTAAGTCGATATATTTTGCCCTGTCGCTTCGTGATGATCAGTATCTGTAACTGCTTTTTGGCATTATTCGGGGACCTTCAATTCTAGTGATATTACGACAAACATCATGGACGTTGGTATGCTCCGGCTGCCGTTCACTAGGTTAATCATAAGTCTCTTCATTTTCAATATATTTTTGTAAAATTTACTTAGGTAACTCTGGGAGCTGGTCCTGTGCCCAAATTCTCCCACACCCTCGAACCTTCTCTGCGCCAGCTAGGTTTGCCAGTCAAACTGGTTCGGGGCATTATTAATCTCGAAGACGACTACCTCGTGTGTAACATAGGTCAGGCACTCACACCGGAGCAGTGCAGAATTCTGGTAGTCACAGCTTTCTACGTCTGCCATCTCCTATGGGATAAATACTTTAATCTTTTTTTGTTTTAGAAATACTTCGAGACTCAGACCTCAGAGTTTCGAGTGAATATTGTGGCTCGGTGGAAGGCAGAAAATGGTAGTGTGGAGAACCTATCCATCAGGGATGCAGAAAATGTGGTTACTTCCCTCTATCCAAAAGTTAGGGTCACATGCCAAACGATCGAAGCCGGATCGCACTGTTTCATTCCTGAACCTATGGAGGTCTAGGAAGGTGACATTATAGGAAGCCAAAATCTGTGCATCATCGTCGATTACCCTGCATTTGAATGACAGTTTGGAACTATCTATCACAGTTCTTTAACTACTGTGAGTTCGCGCTTCGCATCTAAGAATGTGTTCATTAGTATTGCACCTATTCAGTGAGGCTTATGCTTCAAATGTTTGAAACGGTGAATGCAGTTAGGGTTAATGATACGCTACATATGTTAGACTTAAAAGTGTTAAGGCATTGGTTAACTCGTTAATCGTGCATAAAAGAAGCCATGACTTTCTTTGCTCATCAGACGTTCCGATCCTTACGCAAGGGTTTACTCGTCCCCTTCCGGACATTAAGATTTAGTTGTGTCCACTCACAAATGTAGGGGGAACTATTATCAAACTCAAACCTCTTAGGACTAGTCCTAACCTACTTCAATGGAAAATTTCGTATCAAAATGGGTAGTCGACTTTAGTCAGAAAGGTTTTGAGTTGACAAATGGGTGGAGTTGTGAATGGTTGCTAGCGCAATGGGGTCCTTCCTTTCACAGAAGTTGATGGACGGCAGTGGCTTACTAAGTGAAGCTGAGGTAATAGCAAGAGCGTTAGGGTGTCACTGTGGTATTAGAGGGCGGTTTCCCTGGGCGACATCGCTAACTAGCAGGTTGCATCTTCTGAGGAGAGGGAACAGCCAGCTCTGGCGGAACGACTTCCAAGCTCCCAGTCCTCGCACTAGACTTGACAAGGAATTGCATTCGTTTGGAGGTTTTAAGTACGAGGAAGTCCAATTTGTGTGGGACAGTTGACCGATTGTCTCTATCTCTCAAAGCGACAGCAAATAAAATACAGGCGATGTGAGCGTAGGTTAACACGTTCAGAGTCGCCTTTAGAGAATAAATCACAATAACAGGTAGGAGGAGAAATAGGTAGCCAAAATTGGTAAATGGTCACAGGAATCTGACATTCGAGATTCAAGTTGGAAGGGTTCTACGGCAGTCATTGAAATGCCCTCAAATCTCTCCGTGAATGTTAGGGAGTACATTGCCTGGGGCAATCGGAGGAAATTTGAGCAACTTCAGAAATAGGGAAGTATGAAGGTTCTCGGTATCTAACGTATTAGGTGTGCCATCTAGAGCATCATTTTCTTCAGTTTGTAGGGGACTGTACATCGATAATTTTCTCCAAAATATGCTACAGTCAAAGGTAGGGTATTTTACGCATCGAATCACCATATCAGTTACCGAATCGGTGAGGTATTTCCGTTTTATAAACACGCAGGGAACTCCAAAAGGAAAAAGGAGTAAAAAAACCATTTCAAACTCTATTATGCAGTACATCCAACGAATGAGTATGCATTAATAAAACACTAAACGCATCTGCATAATCCACAAGGTAAAAGAGAATATTGATTTGTTATAAGCTCCTTTCTAAGAGATAGTAAATACATAATTCGTTTGCAAACACTCGGATTAAAGGTAAAATACTAAACGAGACGAAATATGGAGGGACGAATGAGTTAGAATTTGGTCACTGAGTCACGACTGAGTTTACTTTTACAAAAAGACACTAGAGAAATACTGTTTATCAGATTTATTTTAGTCAAGTAGCTGGAAAACAGTAGTGCTTTGGGTACTTGTCTAAATCCTCGTTTTGGTTGCGCAGGCATTGAAGGCTCCAACTTTGTACTTCCTCTGGGTGGCATGACTCTGGAGTCATACTAATGACCCTTGGCCGTTTTGAATGTCGGCAATGCATTTTCTGTCTTGGTACTATGACTACTTTCGGCTTCAGGGGAGGCTCAAGGCGCTGCAAATGTTACTACAATTTAGCCAAAATAATTGAAGTATCATTCCGTCCTAAAAAAAGTTGCTAACAATTTGGTCATATACGGGGAGTGACTAAATCATCCTAACGTGACTGCGCGGGAGCATGGGTAAGTTACTTGCGATCGACTTTCTCTATTTTACCATAAGAACTCAAGTCCTTTATGCACAGTCCACAGGCTTCGGACCTACTAGTGGCTTATCCGTAGTTCATTTGGCCCATGCATCATATTGAAACATTTAACAAGCTCATGAGGCTAGTAAGGAATCGATCATATCTACCGCTTAGTCTATTCCTTCAAATATTAGATTGGCAATTTAGTAGGGGACTAGTGCTCGCATTAAAAAATGTTGAACTTTGATGAGTAATTTACAATTTCTTTGCTTGGGGGCGTGCTGATGGAGATTTGAAGGCTGGTAGTCTGACCATCTTATGACCTCCTCCTGCGGGTTGATTTTGTTTGACTGCGCGTTGAGCCATGCGGTCTCTTCAGTTCTCATAGGTTGTTTTTTTGTCCTTCGGCATGGTTTTTGCTCATGCTAGTAGCCCCCCATGCCTTCCGTACGTTGACATTGTGTGTTTCATCTCTACTTCGACTTCTTGCAACTTTGAGACAGCTCACTGTGGTGCATTAAGCTTTTAGTAAAGCACAGTTTTTTTTCGTCCATATTCATTTCTTTCGGACCTGGAAAAAGTTGGACCTCAGTGTTAAAGCCTTAGACGTGACAAGGTGTACTGCTGGATCCTTGTTTGCTTTTACAATAGCTTGCGTCTTTTAGCAGTCTTTTTTTCTTAATTTAACTGTCAGTACTTAATGCTAACTTTATGAATCTTTGTTATGAAGCAATTCGACGTATTGTAAAAAGGTTTGCCCTCTTTGGTTCTTTATTGTTGACACATTTTTTGTAATCTTTAGCTTACAGGCTTTAGAACCTTACTTAATCACTCACTGCTGTTGCTCCTGAGACATCTGCGCTGCTCTTTCTCCATTGTGTTTACGACTGGCTTGTTTCTACAGTTTGTTTTGTGTATTTTTTAATTTCATTTTTTAACAACTATTAGTCGTATCAGTCTTTGTTAAGTTCTCGTTAGTTTGTACTATCCATATGCTCTAGCACTTGGGAGTGGGTTCTAGCTAGATATTCTTTTGGCCTAATCTTCTCATCTCCGTCTTTTTTCTACCTGATGACGCAAACTTCTAGTTTATTTGATTCTTTTCTTGGTTCTTGAATTGGGATCTTATATTATGAAGTCCCCTCCTCCTTAATTATTGATTTTCAGCACCTTTTCTTGCATCGTTTTTTCAGATCATGAAAGAACCGTCAGACTCTTATCGTCCAACTTCGGAGATGTTAGTGACCAAATTGAAGAGCCAGGGATTTTTCGATAAAATACGTAAACGCTGTCTGGAGAATGTTGAGAGTAACTCCGACTATATTTACGTGAAGCACAATTTCGTGGATCATATCGTTTCACAATTTCTCTCTAGCCAATACTCAACTGGCAATAAGCTAGAATTGCGCGATCAACTACGGCGTAGACTTCAAGGCGATGCCTCTTTCCAACACAGTCTTCGTCAGATGTCGGATCTGTTACTTGCCGCTCAGGCTTCTCCTGAATCTCTTGCCCCTTCGATTAATCAGATTACTTGTGAAGCTCTAAATGTGGATTATCATGAGTGGCTGAAGATGAGTCAGAAGAAAAATACACCTCAGCCACGGATTTTTAGTAGATCCGCCTCCCCGGTTAAGCACACAGAAAACCCCGTTCCTCTCTTACCGAATCCATCTTCAATTTCAACTAATAGAGAGCCGCTTCTTCCCACATCTTCTACCTTTCATTTAGAGAATCAACAGAGTTTGCCGGATGAAAATGACGTGGAGATGGAGGTTGATGATGTCGGGGATGAGATGGAAGTTGGTTAGTCTATTTCAAACCACTTATAACTTGTTTTTTAGTGATTTCCACTTCTTTACTAAAATTTTTCTTTAGGCCTACCATTTTATTCTTTTGTTGAAATGTGACAAAAATACCCACAAAAATAAAACCGTGGAGACTAACGAGCCCTTATAGATAAATGTAAATTTCAACTAGTATTAACTCGCTATGGTATATTTCTACTTATATCATCCCACCGGATCGAGTTGTTCTTAAGCAATTATTTTTATACTTCAGAGTCGACGGATTCTAACGTGGATGCGAGTAGCTCTCAACCTCAGCGCCCTTCAAAATATCTTCCCACAAATACCTTTGTGTCTGAGGATGTGCCACACAGTAATATTAGTCTGATAGTTTCGCCACACGACAGTATACCTATAACAGCGTCATCAGCAGTCATGAAGAATTCGAGTTCCTTCTCACGTAAGATTTCCACTGCAGCCGCCGCAGGTTGGGCGGCATCGGTACCTAGGGAACAGCTGGATGCCGTTTCGGATAATGAAACAATGGGCGGATACTCCCCACTGCGTCGGCGTATGTCTTTAACTGGTCAGTCGGCGAAGCATAGCTCACCTCCTATGCGCTCATCTAATAACCCCAGTCTTGAAAGAAACCCCTCACCTCTGACCGAGAGAAGGCTCTTGCTTCCGTCACCAACCCTTCATAGGGATCGGTTTCAATATTATGAAGGCATGTTCACTCAAGTCTTGCACCATTGTCTGCATCTCTTCAGGGATAACTTTTCACTTATCCTTTAGGGAATGATGCTCGACGTCGAGATAGCAACTATAGCCGAGGTGGTTCCCACCGTTACATTAGGGACTATCAGTATTATAACAAAAGGCAATATAGGGATCACCGTAGTGATCGGTATCTGGACTCGGGTCGGTATGGTAGAGGTGACTTTTCACAGAGTAATCAGGATCTTGATCGATGTAATTATGCTTCTCAAGTAAGTTCGTGCTCCTGCTCATTGCGTGTAGTCGTGTGATGGTGATCGTATCTCAAATGGATGAGGCTTTGGTGCCTACTAGAATCACAATAACAATGGTGTTCGAAGTGGTCATGACCGGTGCAACCGCAACACCTCTCCCGTCGAATCGCGCTCGTATTCCCGGGACCTCCTGTCACGCTCTCAGTCGCCCTCTCTATGTCGGCGTCAGCGGCAGGCATCACCTTACTCGACTCACACTCCAGACACTCATTACTCCAATCCCTACAGAAGTCGCAGAGCCGATGCCTTACGAGGTTTGTGCGTGCACTTAACTTCCAGTTGTGAATATCTTAGTAATGAGTGCTGTCGGCATGATTCGCTTTTCGTCTTCGCAGGTCGCCGAGATTCGCCGCATTCGCGTGATTACGAGCAGCACAAAAGAGAAAGAGAGAGGCACTCGAGCCATTTTCGAGGCTCCAGTGGTTCTCATCGCTCGCCTGCTCGGGTGCGTCCCTCTCGACGTCACGCCTCCTCCGATTCCTCGTCCTCCCTCTCCTTTTCACACCGAAGTAACATTTCAACCCCTCTCACTTCATCTCGTCTCTCCGGGCGTCCCTTCTAAACCTGTCAAATACACCCGTATTTGCTGTGAATTTTAAATTATAGGAATGGGTTTTAAACGGCAGAATCTCTCCAAACGCAGTTTCGAGTTTGAATTAAAATGTGGTCAAAAAGATTTTATACACTGGGGCATGGGTGGAAATAAATGTTTAAGGACTTCACTTGGCAAATGTTTGAAGCAGAGCTGTGTATATCTATTAAGTCGGAATTTCGAAATATGGATTCAGTTCATGGCCGAATATATGTGTGAATATTCATCAATGGATCGCTTGGGGAATTCTGAGTCGCTAACTGGTTGGCTTATGGGGCTTTTTTCTCGGCATTGTGTCGTCTCTAAGACGCCGTCCAATGCGTTCTGTAGGTTTTTGCTAGAATTGGAAGTTACCTTGTTATTGGTCCTGGCATTTCATTGTCAATGTATTTCTAAAGTGAGGCTTATTGATTGTATGAAGCATTTAAATTTACGTGCCTGTTAGATGCGATTTTCCCTCATCTTCCTGGTTGCGCTGCTTTACGATTTCAATGCTGAACCGGCAAAGGGATCTCGATTCACGGTTTGGTTACCATGTGGTCGCCTCATTCATCTGCCATGCAATTTGAACGGGCACAAATTCATTCAACTCAGCACACGAGTGTCGAACGTGAGTAGTAGTGATTTAGTAAAGGCAGAACTGTTAAATAATGTGGAACTTGGTGTGGCTACTGTTTGGTACAATAACATAGGTCGAGTCATTCATGTTGGTGGAATTCTTCCAATCCATCTTCCAATGATAGCTCCTGGTGAAATGGACTACGAGTTGTCGCGAACTGCGTCCACTTACGAAACCCAGAGCGCTCGAACAACGCTAGAGCTACCGAAGGCTTATGCAATCGACTTGGGCAGTAGTCTGGACACACTCCATCGAAAGGCCATGACTACAGTTACTTGCCGGACCTATAGATCGCAACGTGCGGGACTTCTAAAGTCGGAGCTACTGGAAGAGGAACCATTTTCAATGAAAGAGGAGCTGATATACAATCAGTATTCTCTAATGCACTATGTTCAACCTCTTGTGTTATGGAAATACGTTATTCCCGAGCATCCTCTCATAAAAGAACACTTTGATTCAGACTGGTGGCGTGCTGAAGCAGAAGTATTCTGTCGTAAGTTGCGAAATGTGAGAGAATTTCAAATCTCACCCTGTTTAGGTGTTTCTATAAACCAGATCATAGCAACCTCTTCTTTCAAGCACCAAACGCTTCTGTCCTTGACCATCAATTTGAGTTCTAATCCAATGAACGTACTCTCTGACCCAACTAGTACTAATCCTGAGGGCAATATAACCCTTTCGTACATCCATGCAACAACGAAAAACATGCTTGATCAGCATTTCACAAAATCAGTTCTACGAAATTTAACGCTTCATAATGTATCCACAGGTGCTCAAATTTCTATTTTCACTTCCGCAGACATCATCTGTCCAACAGGAACTCAACTAAAACACCCACCCCCTCCTTTACTCCCAATATCCTTTAATTACCCAATGAATACTTCGCTCCAAAGTGTGGACAAGTCCCTCATCAGTCCCGCCGAGAGCGCCTACGTATTGGCTACAGTATCGTTGAGCTGTGAAGCCTGTCCACCTGGTCACGCTCCGCGAACGCCCTACTCCTTTGCTCCATGCACACCCTGCCCTCGTGGACTCTACCGCGGAGACACAGGCTGGCCCTCGGCCTCCGGCTGCCTCCATTGTCCAGCCGGTTTTACTACCCTTCGGGAGGGCTCCACCTCTCGTGATGACTGTGTCATAGACGGTGGGATGCTTACGCGAGCTATAGTGGGCTTTGCTGTATGGGCCTATCATAACTTCATGGAGCTCATCGTAGCCGCCCACGAGGCCTCAATGTCTTACACCAAACGCGCCAGGCTCTACCTCAGCGAAGAGAGTAAGGCGGACATGTCCAAGGAGTCAGTTCATTGGATCAATCGAATAAAGCCGGCTGCTCTCGCTGTGGGTATTTTTTACAGTCTCCTTGTACTTCTATTAGTTGCGCTAGCTCTCTACCGCCTTCTGCTGATCTACCGCTTTAAACGGACGCATTCTAAGCACATGCACCTTCTAAGGAAGAGCATTGTCATTGGCCAACTTAATTCACAGGATGATACGAAAGATCTACTGAGAAAGGACTTTGCTAAGGTCGGTGAGATAAACTCGGCACATGCAACTGCTTGAATGACGAATTCTCAAGCAAAACACGCGACTCACTGGTACTACTTGAAAGTTTTCAACACTTTTAGTACCGGTCAATGTACTTCAAATGCAGGCATCAATGAATGGCATTATATTGGGTCATATTACTCATTAATGATTAAGACTACACAGGTTGGGCGTGTCACTCACTCCAACTCTACTTAAATTTGTAGCGTCATGAGTCTTGGCTGAAATCGTACTCAGCCAAAGTATTAATGGAAGAACATATATCAAAATGTACGGAGGGGTCTGAAGACTATAAAAATGGCTCGAACACCATGATGCACTTCGGGAACATAACTAGAAGGGACTCAGATACACGCATTGTTAAGCCCGTTGTTAAACAAATTGCTACAGCATCTCAAAGGTGTCTCACTGCTCGTTTAGGTAATAGCATCTATTCAAAAGTGTTTCAGTGGTTTGCCTCAACAGTCAAATAGTCGGTAAATGACAATTTCATTTATCTTTTCCTAGTTTTAAAAGAGTGAAGGGTAGCGCTCGGCGCCCACTAACGTATCAGATAGGCAAAAAACTGAGACCTACACCAGTAGAAATTCACAGATACTACGTCTCGTGCGACGGACAACCAATATCCTGCACACGAAAGAAACCGCACAATTTCTCCGCCGGCCTATACGTTTAGCAATTAGCCCGGCAAGGGAGGCGAATCCCTCTACCCCCCACTCTTCCCTTATTGGCATTTTGAGCTCCCGCTGCTCAACATTCCTACGTAATGAAGCAGAAGAGACATTCCTTTAACTCACTATCTGCCCCTGCACAAAGCCCGCCCGTGGATAAGTCACGACCCCACCCCCGAGCTCCCACAAGTCGTAACAACCCTAGGTACTGTAGGAAGCGCAATACCAACTAGCAGGAGATCTGCTAGCGTACTCCGCGTTTCAGGAGGAGCTCATATCCTGCACCTGCCCAATGACCCACCACATGATCACTCTCCTCTCGGAGGCATCGTCCTCAGCGCACCTCTCATTCAGCTTCCCGCCGCGACTACTGCATAGCCAGTATTCTCAAAGACCACAGGCTAATCAGCAACGCCAGCCGCTACAACGCCAACGGCGCCTCACGAGAAGCCCACTGCAACCGTAACCTCCTATTCGTGAACTGTATTGGGAAAGTGAAAATCCATTGGCTTTATGTGCCCCTAGACCGGAAGATGTCCTAAAAAGAGGGCAACTGCCGGGCCATTAGTTAGTCGCAAAAAAATCCCCAATGCTAAACCATTTAACAAAAGACAAGATTCGACATAATTCCATGGCAACACTGCTTCGTATCTATTCACCCTCACCACCACCATTTTTTCAGCGTTGCCCACCCATCCATCTGGATGAATGTCTGCGTAACCATCAACATAAAGGTAGCGTAGACACCTCCAAAATGGTCTCTTCCCAACAAATCCGGTCTAAATTTGCTTTAGGTGTCAATAGCGTACTTGCAGGAGACTTAACAGACCTATCTATTCACGGCAGATGCCTTCCTCCCAACACTTTAAGCTATGGTATTCAGCCATGGAAACCAGAATAGTTATGCTTCTGGACCGGGGTCGCTTGCTGCTGCCACTGATTTAGCAGCCCAAGCCTTGTCTAGTGTCCTGACAAGCGGAAATACCTGGGAGAATATGTACTAGCCGGGTGCAGAGGCGCTGTCCTGCTACAGACACCAGATAAGAGCCACACGGCAGATCGGACACACGAGCCGAGAATAACCTGGTCAAACAAGAGCTCGTAACAACAAAATAAACACGATGCTTGAACTACTTCTGCTAAGCGAACAGCCTGTTTGCACTAGGAATATTTCTGTTAATAATTTGTAATCTTCACAAATCGCGGGCTAAGCGCGTGCAATGTGGAATGGAGCAATTAAAAGGGTCTAATACTGCTAACGGGTATCAGATTCCTATAATCAGTGACAATCTAGTCTTTGTTTTAGAAACACCGTCCTGAAATACTTATGTGTTACGTACGTGGGGGACACTAATGCAATCCATACAGGTTATTATACATTTCGGGCGAACCACTGTGCACAGGTAGGAACCATATTCCGAGAATAACACCAGGTGTAACAAATCGGTAATACTGCTACATCCTTTATAAACTTCAGTTATTCCTATAACCCATCACAATTTCTGCAACAATTGTTCAATGTACATTGTCTTATTAGTATATCCATTGAACCCCATAGGGTTAAACTAGTCACATATGGCAGAAATAGACAAAATTCGACCATTGCTATTTATTAATTTCAAAGAAATTTATACTGCAATTTTTAGAGCCTTTAATTCTCTTTCCAATATCCTCCCGTGTTAGATTTCTCTAATGCAGCTTACTAGTTTAGGCGGTCCACATAATTTCAATGACACCCGGTCATGACTAATGTTTATCTGTTTATTTACGATTTGTCGATGGGTTTATCGAAATTGATGTCCCAAGCACTTGTGGGCAAGCAATTCGATGGTATATGGCACACGAGTGTTGTGGTCTACAACCGTGAATACTTTTTTGGTCAAGAAGGAATCAGTTGCTGCAGTCCTGGGTTATTGCAAACCGGTCAATTAGTGGAACGCAAACCAGTGGGGAGAACGCGCTATACTGATGAGGAGTTACGAAAATATATTAGTGCATTATCACAGTCACTGTTTAAGCCTGGATCTTATGAGCTTCTAAAGCACAACTGTAACACATTTTCTGCTCACCTTGTAAGGCACCTCACTGGCCAAGAAATACCCGCATACATAACTAATCTCCCGTCAGCTTTCCTGGAAACCCCTCTTGGGTCAGTATTTCGAGGAGTCTCGGAGGGTGCTGTCTCGGCAATTGGTCCTTCTACTTCTCGTATTCCCATGCAGACTGGCGTGCTGCACCGTCAATTACTGTCGGCTACCGTTAGACCAATTTTGTTCGACGAACCTCTTTCATTTGAATTTAGTCCAGGTGAGCTCTCAACCATGTTCTCGGAGAGTACTGGAATCGCTCTCCAGTGGGCCAACAGTGCCCTTCCTTACCTGCTGAAACTAAGTTCACCTCAACTGGATTCGGCGGATGTACCTATCGAGGCCCTCCGTTTGCTTAGATTTAACCGTTGGGCAACTTTTCGCCAATGCAAAGCGATATGTGAAGTGTTTCGTTTAGCTATGTGGCGCTCTCCTGAGTTGATTCTCACGTGTTTGACCGACCCGGACGAAAGTCTGCACAAGTTACCTAATACCTATCCCTCCCCCACTGGTCAGATATCTCCATCTAACTATTTTGACTTGGATGCAGCTAAGTCCCACTTGCTGTGCAACGTTTTTGCGCTCAGCTACGACTGGGATTTGACTACTCTTCCCTTTGTTCCTTTAGAACCTGTAGCCGCTCTTTGTATTCGGCTTATTCGTTGCCAAGATGATGAGACTCAATCTAATGGTAAATACTTGGCAAAATCACCAGAACATGAAATGGCTGGCCTTGCATTGACGGTGAATTTCGCTATGTGCCCCTTGGCTAACGAGTCCGAGGCGATGGAGGTTGCCGCTTCCTTGTTTCATTTGTTGAGCGTTAAAAAATGTTTCAAGTATCCCTTCGAAGCCCTCTATGCTCTGAAAGCCATTCATGCACTCATAGGAACCTTTCCATCTATTGCTGATTTGGCAAAGACCTTGGAAATCGTTAATTACATTCCCGAACTTCAAAGCCAGGTGGGACTTATCGAAGGCGATGTTGAAGCCAGCCCATCTCACATTGGCACCGTAAAGGCGATAGTCAATGAAATTACAAGTATACTTAACAATTAAGTACATTTGATTTTTATTTTGACCATTTTTTTTCATTTCCAATAAAGGTTCGTCTTTCTGTGATGCCGTCTTTGCCTTTATTTTCTACATGCAGCTTCTATTGTTTATTACAAATAGTAATCACATCCAATTACACAAGCAAACCATCGTAAGCTTTGAGTTCTAGTACTTCACAGCGTCTCTACCTCTTTTCCACTAGAGTCTCTATTTAAACGATTTGATGTTTACTTGATGCTTAACTCTTATGGATTGCTTGTGCAATGTGATGATGCCAAATAGTAACTCCAACATGTTTACGCATTCACGATCAACATTGTCGTTCAGAGTTGCCTAGGCCCTTTTATCAGAACCCATTGCAACTTCCATTGGTGAATAGGATTTCTTTTATAAAAAAAGGGCTTCTCATAGAACTTTGCAAGGATGGGTGAGGTGTTCGACTTATCTCCTGTTCTATTTCAGTCTAGCGATATGGCTTTGGAGGAAATCTCGTCCAGCAAGTGCTTCAAGGGCACACAAAAGGTTTTCAAGCACGACAGGTAGTCCTCTGTTCAGCGTTGCCTCTTACACAGTTCGCAATTAGTTACACGGTTAAGTGTCCAATGAAGTTTGCCGTGTACATTCCTCCATGCTACAGTCTTGAGAAGCCCTGTCCTGTAGTTTTCTTCCTACAAGGTATAGCTAGCTGCCGTTATTTACAATATGTTCTTATCCTGAAGGTCTAACCTGTACCGAGCAGAATTTCATCATCAAGTCTGGTGCCCAGCGATATGCCTCTCAGCTTGGGCTCATTCTAGTAAATCCTGATACCAGTCCTCGTAAGTTCGTCATTAATCTTATTGAAGTTTTTCTATTGTGTCGCTGCCACCTATTTTTTAGGTTAGAGTTGGCAAATCGTCTGCCATTTTGTGATAGTCACTTTGATGAACTGGTGTAATTGAGTTGCCTGCAAATATATGCGAAATCATTGTGGACGTTGCAGTGGTTTATGTGATTGAGTTTATGACCGCGCCATTGACCCGTTTCTTGTGCGTATTAAGGGGAGAATTTACCACACTTATCCTATTAAAGCAGAAGTCTGAAAAATGTAAAACTGTTAGCGACGGTCGCCGGACGAGAATCTCTGTGCGAAAGCTCAACTTTACGTGTGTATGCCAATTTTGAACAACGAGCCCATGTAATATGAGCGAAGTCCTGGAAGAATTTATGCAAATATCAAGATAACGGCCTTTTTGGTACCGATATTAAAATGCTAAAAGTTTTGAGATTTTCTAAGGAGTCGACGCTCTCATCTAAACCCTGACTGTTTGGAACGAGTCCCTTGGATAATACTACTAAAAATCGTACTAATTGAACTTGTACCATTTCAAATTTGGGGAGATTTTCCCCACAAACTGTAAGGTTTATTGGGTTTCCTTTTCTTAGGTGGATGTAACATTCCAAAGGAAGATGATGACTTCGACTTTGGCAGCGGTGCTGGTTTCTATGTAAATGCTACCCAAGATCCGTGGTGCAAGCATTACAAGATGTATGACTACGTCACGGTTGAAGTGAGTTTCAGTGCTTCGTGGTGTGGCTCTTTTTACTTTGGAGAATAAGTGAGCTTATTGTTCGTTTCTTTGGACATCAGTTTTGCTCAGAAGTATGAAATGGTGGATAAAATTTTTATATTTTTCACGAGGAGGACATGTGGGTGATGGTATAACTTGAAACGAAACCGTGTTCAATTTCTTGTCTTGAAGAGACGAAATGACGCAATTTCTTTTTAGCTTCCAGAACTAATAGAGAAGAACTTCAATGTTATCTCTGGTAAATACGGTCTTTTCGGGCATAGGTGAGGCTATTACTATTTCATATTCTGCTCTTGAACTGAAACCAGAGCTTGTATCTATTTATCTCGGTGGCTTTTTTTTAAATTGTGGACATCTAGCAGATAAGACAAAGCCATGTCCTACACGTACCTACCATATTTTCTTCCTTTTGCAGTATGGGAGGGCATGGGGCGCTGATGGTGGGTCTGCGAAACTCGGATCGTTTCGTCTCCGTGTCTGCCTTCTCCGCTATATGCCATCCCTCAGTCGTGCCTTGGGGCATCAAGGCTTTCACGGGTGGGTGGTTCTTCTTCATTGTTCATTAGAGCGAACATTTATGGCATCCCACTATAGTTGCATTAGCTTTATATGCTTTGGGCCCATCTGCATATTTGAAAAATCTCAGGTACTCTGATGAAAACCGCACGTTTGGGCTAGGACAAAATCCTAATATCTTGTAACGACAATTTGGTTATCAGAGGGTTGTATAATTGATCACGCACTGAATCCAATTGATCAGAGGCCATCTCGTATTCCTTAGGGAAGGTTCGAGTCCTTTTTATCCTATGAAATGCATTCCAACGTTGAAATCATTATTCAGTGTTGCAAAATCGCAAATCCTATGCAATATGATTCTCGACTGTCATGTGACAGAACGCGAAATCTTTTGCTTGTATCAAGCTCACGTTTCTCACTTCCAAGTTTTTCACATTTTAAGGCATGGATTTATAAATCGGAAGAGCGGCTGTGATGAGGAATGCCTGAAGATTCTAACTGTTAAGGTGCTGAATACCATGCCGCTTAAGTTCAGCAATCCAAATGAATAGAGAAATCGTCGAACGCCTCGCCTTTACTCGGCTTTGAAGCAGTTTATGCACAAATTGCTGTTCTTTTGTGATGCTCTCTCCTCTTTCTAGGTTTAATACTCTTGCTTGACTTATCCACTACTTAGATCAATATACGTAGGGCGAACGTAACCAATTTCACCACTTGTGTTTGGACGCGAACTTGGTCCTAGCAGCCAATCGAGACGTCCGGGTTTGTGGGCGACTCACGTAAAACTAGACGACTAAAGCAAAGCCATGACCCACATCGTTATTGACACACGTCGTATAGGACACGAACGTTTCGAGTAGACTGCTCCCTACCGAAATTCCCCACTGTTTATTTTAATCGGTGTTCGCCTCACCAATTTTGATGCTACCATTTCTGTCCTGTAAGACCGATCGCTCGCTTTGCCACGCAGCAATTTAAATCATTATGTGTTGAATCTAGTGAGATCAGGTTGCTGCCGCAGCTGGAATATACATTCTATTAAGCACCAGTCTTAATTGGCCATGAGACGATCCTGTGCATATCAGAGTCTTATCTGGAAGCAGGAATAGCAGGAAACTGAACTGTTTTCTAGGCTACCTTGGGGACGATGCGGACTGGAGCGTTTATGACACCGTGGAGTTGATAAAAAAGCACAAAATGCGTTTTGCTACACCGCCTCTCATCGACCAGGGCGATGCTGATGAGTGGCTGGAGAAAAATTTGAAGCCTGAAGACCTTGTAAAGGCCTGCGCTGAAACTGATCAGGGGATTAATCTGCGCTACCACAAGGTAAGGTATTCGGCCACCCCACTGATCAAGTCCTTCTACGTATTAGTAATCAGTAGGAAGTATTACGTATCGTATTGAACAAGTTCAGTCTACAAATTTCCCATTTTTTTGCATATAAACCGATTTTATGAGTATTTAAGTGGGAGTACTTATAGTGCATAGGTTGATGTTTGGCTTTAGCAAAAAAAGCTCGTTCGGGTTACACGGATTTCGAGTAATAACTCTTTTTTTAGGGCTACGACCACAGCTACTTTTTCATTAGCACATTCATGGAAGACCATCTTCAATTTCATGCGAAGAATCTCACATCACTATAAAGTGTTGTGGAAGTCTTTCGCTCGATTGTTTGTAATTTTTTTCACAATTAGAATAATAAACGCATATTTTTTATTCTATTCTTCGTGCTTGTATGACTACATACGGACCGCTGTTTGAACCGTGTATTAGATTGTCATCATTTGGCTCTGCTTGGGCTAACTTACGGTTGATATTCACATTTTTAAAAAATGTGAAAGTCTTCATTAGGCGTGTATCGTTTGAGCTATTTTTTTTTGCTTCGATTCGAACCAAGTATTTCCGCACCGGAACGACTGCTGTTTTGTTCAGTGGAGGGATTTCAGATTGCTGCTTCTATCGTCGAAGGATCTTTGAGTCCTAGGTGGGGCTCAAACGCTTTCTTAGCTTTTCGAATAAAGACGAATCTGATTAGGTCCACTTTAACGCACTGTCAATGCCTTCTTCATTCTTTCATCCGATCGTTTGGGTAACCATAGCTTGTACCCTACTGTTTCACATAACGTCATTTTTTGAAGCAATGGAAAAAATAGTAAAGTTCGCCCAGAAATTTGATATTATAGTAATTTGTAAAGGGCTTGGTGTTATCAAAATCATCAGCCTCATTAATTTGGTCCTTTTTCAAATAATCGTGTTTAGCTTTATTCGGCTAAGTTAGTTCTGTGTGTATTCAGTGGATGGAGGCTGTCAGTCTATACGTGGTTTCCGAATGGGTGTGCTATAAAGCTAAAAGTTTGGGTAACTTTTCTGCACCCGCAATGCACCTTTTCTCGCGTAAACTGTCCCAGGCATGACCAATCCATTTAATTTCCATCAATTTATCTTGCAAGGTGCAAGCAATCGGAAGTTCTGCTAAAACCTTAGATGGTGCTCGTCAAATTTTCTCTAGTTTGGTTGTGGTGGCCAATGTGTCCTCCATGTATGAACGAGCCACGTAGACATGAAATGGTCCACACAGTTCACTACTTTTCATGGACTGTTTGCTTTCCTTTCAGAGGATTTTACAGTATCTGTTGAACATCACCATGCACATCTTTCCGTACTTTTTTGCTTTCTGCAATATTTGTAAATTGGTTTTTAAGTTTCCCTATATCTATTACTGATTCACTTTTATTTTGCTGCTTCAATTTGTCATAGGTGATAACGAACTGGGCTGAATGCAACATAATTTGTGCACTGAAATCGCTAGCAACGCGCATAAATGACGAGCAAATCTAATCAACAGAATTTTCCGGTTTCTTGGATAAATGTCTTTGACCGATCATAGCGTCCAGCCATACTTGTGCGTTTCCCATTGAATTAGATGAATGTACTGCCCTAAACTGGCGATAGGCACTACCGATTGAAAATCAACACAACTAGCGGTTGGTAATGATAACAGTCTACAGCAGAGATGCAGGGTATCATTGACAATAGGGAGCTGGGCTGAAAAAGTTCCACTTACCATAGGCAAGGGGAATTGTGTCGACGTCCAGTATTTCGCCTGACATTTGCTCGTCCGGCATTTGTAGCGTGCCTTGAAGTTGTTTATCGCGATCCAAGTTTGTGTAGGGTTCAGTACCTGCGCAGACAGCTATTTTTTGATATTTTGAAACAACTGGTAGTATTTTTCGCAATATCGTTTAATGGGTTTAGGTGATGGCGCAGAACGAGTAATTCATAACCTTTTGAGATGAATCACATTGTTATTGATGAGCCTTTGTTTTAGAGTATGCACCCAAATAAAGTAGTCTGCCCTGAAAGAAAAATTTAGAATACCTGAAAAGAAAGAACAAGGAAAGACCAAAAGTCGGGCATTTTTGGCATTAAAAGTGATTTTTCTACTTAGAACGTTAAAACTTGGCAATCTTAACATTAGACCACTTAATCTGCCATGAGGCGCTTTTATTCACGATTTTTGGAAACGGGTTAGAACTCGTATCTCTCGGGTTTTTAATGGTTTCGCAATGACCTTAACAACGTATTCTTTTCATTAAAATTTCCTCATTCCAACTGAACAACGTGTCAATTCAGAATTTTGTCGCTCTTGTGTGAAACACGTAAAATGTTCACATTGGTCTTAGCGTGGTTATCCGGAGCCTTTGGTGGATACTGGAGGGTAGCTCCGTCTTTTCACTCCTCAGCTTTACATTGCCGTCTTTCTTAGAAGTTCATTTGTCCTTCATCTGACATGTTCTTTGTTTGGAATCTTGATGAATACTGAAATGCTTAATCTACATCTCAGTGTTGATTAATTATTTGTGCTTTCGAATTCCTATTTTTTTATTTTCAGTCTTTAATGATCCGTTGCATTACACCACCAATAAATAGGAATCCATATGATTGTGATAAATGTTATACGGGTAATATAATAGCAGTACTACATGTTACTTCTAAGGCGTAAATGGGTAAACCATCACTAAACTGATGGGAAAAGGCGCTTATTGGGTAAGGTGAATACTAGGTTCGTATTGCTTCAATTTCGGCACCACGTTTGTCATATGTTCACACAATGAGGTGGACGCATTTCTTGCAGAAATACCCTTATTTCTACGTAGCAATAACGGTAAATTGAAGTTAAAGTATAGTAGTGTTTGAAATATGTTTCTGAGCGTCCGAATGATCGCTTAGGCTGGTGCATTGCAGCGCGTAGAAAGGAATTGCTTACAAAAGGTAATCTCTGAAGCGTCTTGGACGCCATATCTGAGTGAGCAATCTATAAAAACGCTGCTGTTCTAGCTTTTAGTCACATAAATAAAGTCAAGGTGTTGGGTTTACGGCATTTTATTTAATGAAAATAGAAATGCAATCGCCTGAATATGCATTCAATAAGCGAAATCTATACATCCCCGTCGAAGTGCATGCCACCGAAGAGGCTCCCAGTCCCGCCTCCTTCTCCGAACGCCGCGTCGTCCAAACCTCCGAAAGTGTATCCCCCATCGCCAAGTCCCGGGAACGGCGTTCGGTAGGCGTCAGCGCGTCGAAAGAGGCCGCAGAGGATAAACCAAATGGCAAAAAGTGAGGTCAGACTGAGGAGGACAATCAACCAAATACTGAAGTGAAGGCTTAGTATGTCGGGGCCACTTGAACTGGCTCTGGTGGTGTTGGAAAAGCTGGTATTTTGGTTGAGGCTACTGTCATTTACCATGGGGATGACTTCTGCCAACGAAATTTGAAGAGTGGAGGCCAAAGTTAAGCCAATCCCACACATGCGTTCTGTTGTTAGCGTTTCTTACTTGTGGAAGCTAATGCGATTTTTATGGCATGCACGGTCGCGCGTGTTGGTCGGCTTCTGACCAATGATATCTCCATCCTACGTAAAGCTGGGCACGATGGTGAATCAGGTTAATAACGCTTTTATAGTTATTAAGGTAAACAAACGGTGGCGTGAGAATTGTGCAAAATACTTCACAATCCTTTACTGGCGAATTATAAATGTCCAATGGAAGTACTTATTCGTACAATCTTGTCTCCCAAAAATCAAACCTATTTTTAATTGCCATGAAAATTCATTTGATTTCAAAGGCGATAGATGGCATGGAAAAATATGAGTAGATATTCATGCAAAGACTACTGTGTGCTTGTTCAGTGATATTCAAGGTTTTTTTTTCAAGTTTATCTTAAATGGCAGACTCTTGGTGTCCAAAGCCTTGATGGAACATATCGATAAGGCTACGTGATGGAATAAGAGTTTTGTGAATGTGCGAGTTCCATGTAGGAATGCTGAAGTCTAAAGTTCTAACATGTATCCTTGACGGAGGCGAGGAACGCTAGAAATTCTTTGAGATCTATTTCGCCGTCCTTGTTTGAGTCCACAGAATCGAAGATTTGCCTCGCAAGACTAATTGAAGCCGGCATATTGAAGGCTTGAATCGCTGACAAAACCTCATCCAATGAAATTGTTCCGGACTTGTCCGAATCCATATAGCTGAAGAAGTGTTTGAATGCAGTTTTCCTAAAATTTGCATTATTCCCATTAGTATAACTGTCGGTAAGGCTTAAGCGCTTACAAACTGTTTTAGAAGCCCATTTGCTTTTTCAGTTTCCATGTACACCGCGTTAGCTTAGTACAGCAGCAAACAAGTAAAATTCGAGTGAGTATGCTTACTGCACCATTATACTAGGTACAATTGAATATTCTAACAATTTGTGCGACAGACGACCGCGGAATAACTGACAGCAGGTTCCCACTGCTACAACAAAGCGAAATCAAAGTAGTGTATAAGGAGGAATTTTGAGGGTTTCGGACTTGGCTATTAGTAACTAAGAGCATCGAAAAGATCACAGGGGAAAGTTCGTATTATACTATTTATTTTCTATGGTTGAAGGGGGGTAAACTGAGTGAAGAGCTACTATTTATAGTAAGAATTTCTTCATTAACTCATTCTAACTTAAATGTGAGAATGATAATAAAATTACGAGTAACCTTTGAGCTAACTCCACATACTAGCATCGAGGTTTCATGTAAAGTTCCAAATTGAATTTCGTGCATGGCTGTCTCCGAGCTGTCATGGCATTGCATGGGGAGTGATAGCACCCTGTGCACAAGCGTCGTAGCTGCAAGACCGGCTTGTCAGCACTGGTCGACGCTGAAAACGACTATTTGTCGGCGCAAATGAATGGCTCTATCTGCACTGGGTTTAAGGTTTTATATTAAATGTAATTTGCTCTGTCTTGCGTTAAGGTTCTGGGAAATGTTAATGTTTGCCTAAGGAAAATTGATCAGACTAGGGATCTATCAGTAAATAAAAAATGCTAGTAGTGCTATTGTAGCAAAAAATGACCTACTTAAATTTTTCCACACAAATGCGTTTAATCTGTTCACTCATTGAATCAAGGGGAATATTGTCCTCCTTTTTATCAATCCCAATTGTGTTCAAAGCTCCCTGTAGGTTAAGACAATAAATGACTCAGTAGCCAAATACATGAAATAAACATGGCATATTAAAAGGTTTAATTTTTAAGTGATTTTCTTAATCTATGGTCTAAGTAAAAGCGATACGTTAAGGGACGTTAATAGTGGGAGGAAAAGCAATATAAGAATCCGTAGAGCGTAGAATCGGTCGATTTAAAACAAAACGGAATTTTACATCATTTAAGTTTACTATTTCCCATCATCAGATACATAAACAACCGTTAGTTAAACTGCTGATTATTTATAATGCACCACAATTAAGTGGTACTAGTGACCGAAGGATTCAATACTTTTAAACCAAAAGGATTGGGTCCAAGGGGCCGATTCAATCTGCACACCCCGTCTCCTCGGCCTCGCATTAGTCGCGGATAAGTTATTTTGAAATTATGTGAATGGAAAGATTCCTCAAGTAATCAAGGCTTGCAAATAGCAGCAACGGTATTTAAATCAGTATAGAAAGGGAGAATTTAATTTGATTTACTAGAGGTAACCTACTTTGAGCTCACGAGATCCGATGTCAAATTGCGAGGCGGCCTTCCTAGCCTCGACTTTGGTTAAAAATCCGTCATTATTTGAGTCGAATATGGAAAGCATGCTGTCAACGAAGCTGTTGCCTCTGAAAATACATTAAACCTCTTATTAATCGTAATTTTTTGGCGGTTGTTTATTCAGTAATCTTCTCCACTAGTGGTCTATTTGAACATTCACTGTAGGCAGCGCAGCAGGTAGGGCAATTAGGTCCATTTACTCGATAAAATAATTTGAGTTTTCTAGGATTTACATGGACTTCCAGCAAGAGGGACACACGTTTCAGACATTTTAGCAAATATTTCAAACGTACCTCTGAGGCTCCTGACTCATTCCTGCCTGAATCCTCATATCTTGATCCAATCTATTTTTTAAAGTGTCATTAAACAGATTAATCGAGCAACAAACCGTAGAATAACTAAAGCATAAAGGTTCTCGCAAAGCTTCCAGAACTGTTACTTTAAACGCTTATTTACGTGAATCACTTAGAATGAAATTTTCTAAGGCTTATGTGACTAATTACAAACCGGTATGTTGCATAAATTGGGAATGATAAAGTTGTGCATTCGATGAAAGAGTGGTTGCATCCACAGGATAGGCCACATAAAAGCAGTGAAAGCCCACTGCTTTAGAATGCCAATGCATTGAGGGGTCTCTAGCGCTGAAGGAAACGTAACAGGCAAAAGCGTTTATACGCTTCGCCGCTGGTGCGTATCTGGGTCGTAGATAGCAGCTGTGGCCATCCTTGGATGTTTTTTGCGGAAAATAGCCTAATTTAAAGCATTTACAGTTCTAGTGTTTCGGCACAAAGGACCGTTTGATTTTACATGGTGACTTTTATTTTCTGCCTGGTTAGACCGTTTGCTTCCTTGGATGGCTGAGAAGGCTGTTGAAGCCCAAATAAATCAGACAAGGCCCGAGCCGAAATGTGTGCCCTCTGTGTGAGACATAACTTGTCACCCAGACTATCAGTACTTGCGGCATTCAAAATAAATTAAACGTAGTAAATAAAAAGGCCTTGTTTTTTAAATTCCACCTACCCATTCTCACCAGGGTTATTGGAAGCTTGACCACTTTTCACAGGACCCCTAAAATGGTAAACTCATGTCTAGTTTGAGTCATAAAAGGCAGCACTATATGTTGGGAATTAAAATTGATGATTTATTCAGTAGAATTACCGGTTAATGATAAAAAACAAAACTGCGTGAACCTATTTCCTGGGCAATCCTTCGAAATCCTAGGCAAAGTATACCGGCAAGGTATACTGGGGTAGGAAATGATAAATTTAACTCATAAAAAGCAGGCATACTTGATTCACAAACGTTGATAGGAGCAGCCTGCAATGTTGATAAAGTATATTTATTTACAAGTTAAATTTTACCTCATATCAGCTCATTTTGGTGACATCGGGAAGTTAGAATCACAACCGTAGTAACAATCAACAGCACGTCGTGATTTTGCATAGCAGATTAGGTTAAAATAAGATTCTATACATATGCGGCTGGTTGGACAATTAAGTTACTACAACTGTGAAAGTATTAGAAAGAATCGGGACCCTGCTGGCTGTCATTTAAGGAGAATTGCATTTTTTATGCATGTGTGTATCAGTAGCTCTGTGAAGCAAGGCTCCCACCAGCAATTTTATTCAGACTTTAAATTCTATTCTCCCGAAATGGCTGACCACTTTCATGCACTCAATTTTTGCTGTAAAACCGCCTATTGAACCAACTGCACTTCAGAGTGACTGGCCTCCCCTTAACAGAAGTTTGATCTCCTGGTCAAAAGTGTCAGGAACTGAAAGCCGCCGCCTAAATAGTTGAGTAAATTAAAAATGCGACGTCAATGAAATTGCGATCTACCAGTGGTAAATGACCAAACAAAGGCAAACTTGCACGTATGATTCCTTACCTTTCACTTGCTATGAGTGTCATTAGATGAGTAAAATATAACGTATGTTTTGTTTTACTTAGTGTATTCGAGTCACAAAGGATAATTTAAAACCGAAGTCCCTGCAAACACTGTGGCAAACACGTTTAAAATTCCAAAAGAGGAGCCGTTGCTTACAGCAAGTTATATGAATTTCACTCTTTTTTGAACGGCTTTATTTGTGCAAATTTTCGCTTAGGTTTTGAAAAAAAGGAGGATTTAATGCATTTATACTTCATACGGATCATAAAATTGCATCGCTGATCATTTGCCTTGACGACACTTCAAATACAAATATTGCATTTGCGATTTGATAAGGCATTGCAAAATGTTGTTTTAAGCAGTTTTGTCAACATTTTGAACTCACACAATCATATTAGCGCTAATTTTACTCCTTGCCAGCAAGACATGCCCATTTTAACTATCATCGAGTCATATCACCGGCCAAGTTCCCTCTTTTATTCTATAACCGCGAGTTATTAGCTAATAATAAAGAAGGAAACAAATTTTGTTCCATTTTCACACTCACATAAAATAGTTGGAGACTTCCGGTAATACAAGGGTTAGTATTTTAACAAAGGTTAACTTGGCGTAAGCGCTCGAATTCAGTGGTCTTGGCGGGGAACCTACCATTTACTGTTTCCAAGGTAGTTGGGAGCCAGTTGTGAAGTGATGTCCGGGGCAAACCTGTCATTTTAACAAATGAATTTGGATAATTCCGTCAGACACGTACACTCGTACAAGAGTACCTTCTGCTCTGTTAACAACTTCAAATAGAGGAGTACATGATTCCATTTCCTCCGAGCACAAGAGTGAGATAATAATTTGTGGAAATTTTGCATGGACGTCGCAAAGTAATGAGACGCTTTTTTGCACATAGGTTATGTAAAGCACTGCCTTAGCAGATTAACACTTCCCTTATAGCTGGCTAACAAACAAATATCCATCCCCTTTTAATACCACGGCTACAATTATCAGCTATTAGTTTTAATCCCATGCGCTTTGATAACCCTACAATTAACTTGGCAAAAAAGTCGAAATAATAAACTTTTTTATCTCATGCCAAAATTTTCGAGGCCATTTAATTCTACTAGCCGATTTTATTTCAAAACCGTCCATGTTGGCGAAACCTGAAACGCTAAAGTAAACGTCTTTTCCGTAAGGTAGAACCCTACTATTAGGTGAGCAAATCCAGAATATTTACTAAAGAAAAACAGACAAAGAGTTTGGTAAGGTTGTATAATTTATACATACCCAACATTTATACCAGGTCGCGATATCATCTGTTCGGCAGCTCTACACGGAAATACAACAGTTAATTATGCTTCAAAATGAAGTTTAAGCAGCAGTCGACTCCGGTTTCAGAACTAAAATTCTTTGAGATTTCAAACTATCCTTCATTTGCCAAGCTTTTACTTCTCCGTCTATTCAGGTGCGAAACTTTGACGATCAAAATGATTAGCAACACGTTTGTGAGGGCCTCAACTTATTCGTTTAAGCCTCTGTGTCGCAGCACACTTGGATGTACATCATTTTTGTTGACTGAAACTTTTTCGAGTCATTTGTGAATACTTTGTTAAGCTGATACATTAACTCCACCGCTATCCTACGCTTTTACTGAGATCCTAAATTTTTGCTAGGAACTTTAAAACCATACGTTTTTTTTCTGATAACGTGCTTGGAATTTAATTTTAAACCGTGGTTGGATAGAAGCCCCAGAGCTCTAAATTAATGTGAATATAAGAAAAACGTGTTGCAACAAAATTTTGGTCTACGGGCTAATTTAGATGTGTGTGAGGGTCAAATACAGTATTTATAAATGGATGGTGGATGGTCTTGTTATTTTGCTACATGCCTTGTCCCGTTAGCAGATAAGTATTCCGTCAAAGGCCTGAAAACAAGTATTGTGTGGGCAATTATTTGAGATAATGAAGGGATTTCCGCTAAGGTGGCTGATAAATTGCTCCGTGTTTAGTGGGTCAGCAAATAGCTTTGCCAGAATAAAAATCTGGAAGGTTAATGAAAGAAAAACTGTAGTTGACAGCAAGGTGATTAGTACATTTATGAGATTGTGTGTAAGCGTATTTTGAAGGATATGTTACCAAACTTAATAAAGATTGCAACACACGGACTGCGTAGCTAGCAACATAAACCTCCTCACTCGGTACAAAAGTACATTTTCGTTGAAGATAAATGTAGTTAAAATGAAAGTTACTTAACGTAAATAAACAGCAAGACAAGGGTGATTGATGCCTGATTGCTTTATAACTCCCAACAGAATGAGGAGGAGGAGTGATTCAAAAGCAACGGAATGATCGCCGTAAATCTACTTTGAGCACAGATGTATTTTTTCCACCAGGAGAAATTACATAATGTTTGTTGGCGCAATTAGAACATTCTCAATCCGATTATTAAACGCCTTATTTGAGTGATTCCAAAAAATCTGTTATCCGAAAGGCACAAGAATATAAGTAGAGAGCTGCTTACGGCTCTCCCATTTCTGGATGTTTTTCAATCTCCTAAACATTGGTGGTTTTATATGATGCTAGCTTTTTTACTCACCCACGTATTTCCTATTGCCATTAAAAGTAATAGGGTTCTGCTGGAGTAACTTCGTTGAAATATCTGCCCTCGCGTAAGTGTTTTCCAGCACTCACTTTCCAGTAGCGTAATTTTTACAAAAATTCTCCAACCTTCCGCCACTTTTCCTACACTGAAAGACGTCCCTCTGAGACAAAATTTATCGAATTACAAATTATTCTATGCTATTTTATTGCTGACTAAATTTGCCTCTACCCATTCTGCAAAGTCTTAATTACATGTGGTGCAAAATATAGAAAATGGATAAAATGATTAACACTATTTCAGGTAAATTCTCTTGGCGTGCCTCATGGAGTATGAGTTATAAAATACACAAACTTGCACAGTTTATTTGTGTCAAATTACGGACTAAATCAACTGCCACACATCTTGAGGAGAAGCCTAGACCCGAATGAAGTAAGTGCAGAGGAAGGAACCTGTAATTTAGGCCAGTGTATTGTCACGTGTTGCCTGTGGTAAATGTTTAACATATGTGTAATGCCTCGACAGTGTTTAAAGCAATCCAACGTCTGCTTAACGTACCGCTATTCTTCACATTTTAAGCCAATACATTTGGCTCATTTCGCATCAACATATACTTTGGTAGGTTCTCAGTTACTTAAAAACCCATAAATTCTCACTATTAAAAAGTATGGTCTCAATGAGTTTAGTCTCAATGCAATTATTTAAAGCTGAAAAGCATTCGAATGAATCTTCACCGCCCTGACATATGGTGGTAGTTAACCCATACTATGACTGCCTGGGAATTAGAATTCAACATCGCGTATATTTTGCCTTGTTTTATATTAGTGATAAGACATTTTCTTGCGTCCATTTCTGATGTAATAATAAAAAAAAAGGTTAAAAACATATAAGAATAAGCACTCGAATTACACATATTATTCAGGGTAGCTCACTGAGCAATGGATTTGCGCTGAGTTGATTAAGTTTCCAAATGGAGATCTCCAGCAGCATTCGACATTGTAAATGACTTAGATTTAACTTTTTTTAAAATTCTCCGTGACATACAAGTGTTTTTATTACAACTTTTGAAAAAAAGACGCTTATTTTACATTTCCCGGATGTCAACACTCCACAAATTCGGGTTTGAAATGAAAATTGTAACCTAGAATTTTATGCGTATAGTAAAGTAAGACTAAGATGCAAGGAAGAATGCGCTTGCGGTTGGAGCACTAGACGATATTTAATGTGATGATGGTAAGAGACCACATACCCCTCAGTGGGAAGGTCCGCATTGATCGGCTCTCCGTAGGTTTTGAGATAAATCACGAAACGTCCAACCATCGCGTACTAGAATTTTGTATTATCTGACCACGAACGCACTGCTCTCTAATCCAGTTCGCCGTTTTCAGGTGAAAGGTTGGGAAGTGAAATTGTTACCTTTCTTGCGCAGTTGCACTTTTATTTGCATTCTCGGGGCTCCAAGCACTTTGATTTGCTAGCATTTTCATCATAAAGTAATATTTTTTGTGATTGTAAATGCATCAAAGCATCTTACGCTTCTCGAAATCATTACGAGAATTTGATATGTATTTAAAAACAGGTCCGCAATCAAATGCTTCGCCCTATTCGTTCAACGCATTTGTAATTCTGTTATCCGTCGAATGCATAAATTCTCTTTTTACGTGAGAACCGATACTACTTCCATGCAGATCAAAAAAATCACAAAAGACGAGCAAACGCTATTATGCATGGTTTAATCAACTGGCGCCCATTCTGTTAATATTTCAGGGACGTTTGCATAATCAGGTACATCAGCCATTCTTGGGTTGGAGCGAGAAAGCCAAAACAAAAGACGGTATGTGATCCTGCTAAACTTAGGCACACTTGATTTATATTAAACATGGGTCGGCAAGGTTAACTATCTTTAAATCGGGCTCAGTATTTATTTATGTATGTAAATATGGAATGAAATCCTATTAGCAATTTTTACGCCATGATTAACAGTGCTCATCTTGAGCCTCTAAACAACGGCTGTGTGATAGACATCATGAGTGTCATTCAATTAACTTAAAGTGGTCAATATAACATGGTTCTAATGAGGAGCTCCTTCCTTGTGATTAAAAATGGGGGTTAACTTCAAGTAGCATAATCATATCATCTGAAAAGTGGATGTACCTTCCAAGGAGGGCATTACTGAGACCGGAGCCAAGGACGTCCTGAAGAAACCCATTGCTTCGACTCATCCCCGGTGGAGCTCCGAAGAGCTTGAAAAGGGGCGCGAAGAAGTCCATTTTGGCGATGTAGGATGCTAAAAATGGCTCAACTCACAGAAGGCTATAATCATCGAAATTCGCAGTTTTAGGGACACATGTGGTTGATGGAGAAACAGAAGCTCTGTTTTGAGGTCATATAACTTAGCTAACTAAGTAACGCCATCCTATAATTAATAGGCCATCAAATTCTTTGTAATAAAGTGACTAAACAAATACACCTGTGGAAAAAACTTAAGGGAATTTTATGGTCCCTCGAATTTTTGGAATGAAATGCCATTAGCTTAATAACCAACTTTTACTGCTCATAAAGCTAAGTAGATAAGTCAAATTACCTTAAGAACTTGGCATATTTGAAATGTCTACTTAGTAGTTTTGAATAGCGAGTGCTTTCGTAGGGAGAAGGATATTACAGGTTCAGCGTTTATTGCTGTGGTCATCATGAAAAGGCGAAATTCCGCTACACTAGAATTCTAAGTTGTACTATTACTTTAAGTCTGAGCTATTTTCTGATAATGTTCATAAAACAGTGGAGACTAACCTGTTATCCATATTTTGTTTAAGGACGTAGTTATGGCTACCTATTTAGGCTGTCGCTCATTGCAATCGGCAGGGTGGTATAGCTCACATTATTACCAGGGGATCTCAAAAACTTATCATCCGTATATGCTTTCTCCTCTCCCTTTTATGGAAGCTCACATAAAGACCAAAGTGAGATTATGAAGTTACTCCGTAACTTTCCAGATGGCAAATAAATGTAGCACCTCTGGGTCTGAATCCCTATTAACATGTCAACTAATTCTGGTCAGTCATTCTAAATTGTAGTACCACCTATCCTTCAGCACGGGCTACTGCATAGAGTTGATTGTGGCGCTTGGTTTTTGGTTACGATCCATCTCTACATAGCCCTGGTTACTTTTTTATTTTGGATTATAAAAACAAATGTAATTTTTGTAGACAGATTTATTCACTCTTCTTAAATTCCATCAACAATGCTTTATATGGGTGATTCGCCTCTGGATTAGCTTCTACTTCCTTCTATAATGGAAAACGTATTCTAAGTTGTATAATGAGTTGCCGTTATGAATATTATCGTCATCACGCCACAAATTACCGCAATACAATCAAGAAGGATATTGAAAAGTTTCCTTTTCTGTTCAGCGGTCTTCACTTGAGAGCAAATTTGAGAGACCTGGAGGCAGCGTAGATGAAGCAGGGCCACACTCAGGGATTTTTCAGGGCTAAGCTAAAAACATGTAAGGAAGCACTTATGCTGCTTGAATCTTGTATGACTTCAATTAATTGAATGCAAGCAGCACACGAATAAAAGTAGCAAAGCTGAAAATGATAGGGAGCTACTACTTTTTAACAATGGAAAGGGCGTTTACGACTGTAGCATAATTATACAATGCTATCAGACTTGCTTCGTATGGGTAATTTAAACCTACCCCGCACACACGCCATGCATCACCGTAGGATGCGTTGGACTGATTTTCATGGTGGTGCATGGCCTCTGCACCCACTTCCTTCCTCGTTGCACGACTGCCCCGTGTCGCACGGCGAAGTATGGTGCAGATAAGGATGATGTAGACAAAAAAGCAAATAACCATCACAACCAGAACCGATGTGGAGATCTCAATCTTCATACCCACTCCCTCTTCCATTGCACATAACCGGCCTATCCTCGAACCTGTGTTTTGAACGATAAAATATAAGTCCTTAAATAGGTCTTAGTTGAATTTCAAATTATTTTACCATTCTTATCTGTTCTGTACATTAGTGTCAAATACAAACGTATCTGTCCAGCCCTGACCTTCGACATCGTTCCGTCAGAGTCCTACTGCTACTTTGTTGGAATATACAACTATGATGTTTTGTGGGAGTTTAGGAAGAGACTGTGTACAACAAAGCAGAGCAAAAGCTCTTCATAAAACTTCAATTGAAAAGCCCTCCCAGAAATCAGCACACTGGCGAACACAGGATCCGATGGAGGACTACATAGTTCCTTCATGGAGTCGTTAACCCTATTGCAGGAGCGCACGCTGATGGTATAGTTGACGCTTTTGTTGAGAGCCTCCAGGACGCAAAAATGTGCCACGGTTAAGGGGGCTGTTCGACACAGAGCCACTGTCCTATTCTCCACCACCGCCTCCACCAGAAAATACGCTGCGTTCTCTGGTAGCGCCTCGTCCACTTGGAAAGTCACCTCTAACTGGCCTGCACCGATTTCCACAGCACTGACATTTGATGGAGGTAATGGTCCTGGAAAGGAACAGTCTTCAACGCGTCAATTTAGTATTACCAATTAAGTATAAATAATTCTTGTTGGCAGTATCATTGTAAAAAATTCATACGTCTACAATTCTTGATTTTTCTTATGCAAATTTCCCATTCAAATGCCACTGTTTACTATTTGGTTTATAAGAAATAAAATGTACTAAATCTCTTACTTTCTTGCATATTTTGATGATACATGCGTATGGTGGGGGGACTGCATCCACCACCATTTCCATCGCTGTTGGGTGCAACGCAACCAACCACACTAAGCCCGTATTCTTTCATGTAGGTGATATTCTTTATCATGCAAGAGAGTGTGCGCACGAAGTCCCGGTGCTTCACGCTGCAAGACATTGTCACATTATGACGCTCGTCATAAAACGTCGCCGTGTAGTTTACCATCACTCCTGGTGGATTCTTGGGCACTTCCCAGGTCACAATCAGATCATGAGAGTTTCTGATCTCAGCAATTGGTTTTTTAACAGACTCCAGTCCTGCAAAGCGGAAAATATTGCCACAGGGCCAAAAGCGGCGTCCTAAAACCTCGGAGCACCATATCGCCAACTTTTGGTCTTAGAGGCCAAATTCACTGGTTTTAATAGTCATAGAACATATCATCCACTTCGATAATCAAGCAGACTGTTGATATTAACTGGTGTGAATTACTACAGTAATCCGACCTGCTTTTTTAGAAAAAAATTCGACGTGTTTTTTAGGACAAGCCTACATGTTTTGACGACAAAGCTACATGGGAGTGGTCGTAAAAATGAAAATCGACAATTGGTCTTACTTCAAGACAAGAGTTTTTTTGTGCTAAATAATATTAATTTCTGTTTATTTAATTTTACATTTGTAAGAGAAATGAATGTTTTGCACCTTCAAAATAAACTAAAGAAATAGAGTCTAAAAAAACACATTTTTACTTGTCATTCCATGAATATGGCAGTAGCATTTATTTAAAAAATCAGTGCAGTGGAAAGTAAACTCTAATTTGTATGCAAAAAGTGGAATTAAGTGTCAGTCAGATCATTACATAGCTTATAATAAAGCAAAATAAGGTGATATCGCTTTTTACACAAGTCTGGAGGATTTCGTACCTGATTTAAGGACTTCACTACGATCTTAATTTAGTACTTAAGATAAAATTTTTACCTTCCACACAACCAGCCTGCTAGGTCTACAGAAAAGTCGTAAGTGAAAAGTTAAAGAAACGTACTCCCCGGCCAAGTTGTTCCCTTTACTTTGACTGCTTCTGAACAGCCTCCTCCAATTCCTTCGACTCCTTCACTGCAGGCGGTGATGCTCACCTCCACTTGCTGATAGTCCTCAGTGGTGTTATGCTGATAAAGCAGTCCATCTTTCCCCTTCCTTGGATCAAACGTAATTAGAAATTCCGTTTCCTGGGGTATCCATTTAAAGACAAATTCGTATAACAGGTGATCGGGTAGTTCAGCCCTTGCTGGTTTTCGCCATGCTATCTGAATGGTTCTTGGTTTCGGTGTTGTTAGTTTGACATCCAGGGGCATGGAAGGAGCTAAAAAATCAGAAAGCGGGATAAAAATAAGATCAAGATGGTTTTGACTTAAGCTGTCTCTTAAAAAGAATAGCTGGTGGCATTTCTACAAATTTGCATGCATGGCCTCACAAATTTCCTACGCGTTGAATAGTTTTGTAACCAATGTTACTAACTAGAAAAGCAGGATTCGACAAAAATTTTGAACACTGCACTACTTTGCAAAGTTGGTCATCGGAAGCCGTATAAGCAGTTTGAAATGCGTCCAAACAAAGTTGGTTCATATTCACAAAACTATTATTTGGGATTTTTCCCTATGTACGTTTAAGAATCAAAGACTCAGATCCATCTTTCCCAACCCTTTGGCACCGGGATAGTGTGATCATAAAAGAATTTCACTTACGTCGAAATGGTGTTTTCATAGTGGATTTTGAGGAAGCATCGCTGCATACCAACCGATCGGGATTTTCCCGGTAACAGGCCATTATTTCACAACTATACTCCCTGTTGGGTTTCACATTTTCATTGATAAAATCTATTGCTGTTTTTTGAGCACTTGTAGGGGGTCGAATTTCTTTCTTTTGACCACCAACATAGATGAATGTTCGAAAGTATACTAGTGGAATGTCCACTTTGACTGGATGCTCCCAGTAGCATCGTAGGAAGCCCCCACTCTCATAAATCAGCCTCACACCAATTGGAACGGGTAATCCTGTAGAAAAGGAAGGATTCTCGAATTCAAACTGCGCAGGAAAAGCGAAGTCAAAGATGAATTTTGAGTAAGGGGAAGTATAACGAAAACATGGGGGTGGTTTGCACATTCTCTCACATTTCGCGGTATTCTGTCAAATTGGGCATCAACGCCACCTTTTTACGGTGCAGTACTTCAACTTTTGACTTTTCTTGCATTTTTAGCTTTAATATCTAACGTGTAAAACAACAAGAGATGATAGGTTTCCAAAAAGATTTTAAATAAAATGGAACTTATGGACTCATTTATGCATTTGATAAGGACTGCGTTAATAATAACAAGGAAGTTGATAATGAGTCATATCTGGCTCCTCATCAAAATTAGTAATTCTTTCAAATTACAGAAGCAACGAAAGATTACCATGAGGTTAAGTTAAATTCCAAAAAAATTGGGTTCAAACTACTTTGAGAAACTGCTGGTGGCTCGCAATCGAGAAAAGCACAGGAGCTGTAACAAAGGCGGTGAATCGCATGACAGTATTCAAATTAATCTCGTTACGGCTTACGCCTTTTATTACTTCTGATAATGGCTGACTGAGCCCTGGGACTGCATTCACCCAGTTCGGAGCAGGCCTCAACTAGACAGGAGTACGGCGTATCGGATTGAAGATCCTTGGAGGGAATGAACACGAACAGCTGCGAGGGTTCCTGCTCGCGGAGCAAGTAGGTCGCGACGTTGTTGTTAATCCAAACGCGATACTTTGCTGGCGGTGTACCGGAAGGCGGCTCCCAAAAGCAAGTCATGGAGCCACCTGCTGATGTTAGCTGTACTCCTCTAGGTGAGGCGACTTGAGTGATTTGTGAAATGAACCATAAGTACCACAAAGCGAGTATTTCGGATGCAAATATAATCAAAAACATTCAATCAACTTTTTATGTATAAAAATCCACCTTTCTCGTAAAACTGAGGTTTTTTAAATGGACCCTTGCCGCAATAAAAAGTTTTATCATTCTTATGGTATAACTGTATTCATTTTTCTTTTTCAACACTCATTAACTAAGGCCAAATTTGTTTTGCCTTGGAATACAACAAAATTTTAAACAGAATGCAAATAGTTTATTCGTACACCACCCTAAATGTTTGTTCATTAGGTTTCAATACCGAAATTATTGTGCAAATTGCAGTAAAAGTGGCCGAAGATGGGATAAGAGCCAAAATCTTTAGATAGATTTCTTGGGTGGAATAATTGTGATCGTCAAAACACATAATAGAGGATCTTACCACATACTTGTTCCATTCAAAGTATTCCAGAAAAACAGTTATAACAGTAAAGAGATGTAACAACAAAAAATTGCTTGAAGTCAACTGCTTACAAACTTCACGTCTTTTTCGTCTAAGCCCTAAAATGGATCAGATACCTGTAATCAGCAATGTAGCGTAAGTTTTATGGAACATTCGAATAATAATTATGGGCTTTCTTAACTCCTTTTCATAAAACTCTGACTCTACTTTACTATTTAGTATGAAATAGGCTCACATGCTACACCCTTACACAAACAACATCTGAGGTTCACTGTTAACAGCATCGGTATATGGGTTACAATGTGGTGCTCTATACCACTTATAAATTCTAGGCTTAGTTTTTTCCTTACCACATGATGGAAGAGTGATTTCATTTCTGCTTTTGCACCCATTTACTTCTGTGAAAATGATAGCTATCTTCTCTTTCAAGACTGGACCTTTTGTGTCCGAACACGAGAGACGGACGTTACCCTTCAATAGGACTTCACATCTCAACTTCATCTGGAGACCGTCAACGTAACAGCTGTAGACATTCTGATATGGGGTCACCATGATTTGCAAGCCTTTAATGTAGTTGCAATCCGATTGCGAACATACAATGTCTGATGTTATGCTCAATGTAACGTCACATCCACAATCTATTAGAAGGAACAATGCATTAAGAAAAACAATCCCACATAGGTACACGGAAGAGGAGAATGCTTTGGAGTGATGCTTAAGAAGCTGGCTTGCATTTCCAGTTCGAGTGGTGACAAACACAGTAACTAACACAACATTTGCATAAGACGATTGCAAAACTATAACAATCAAAGTTATTCAGGGGTTTTTACTATTAAAATACAATTAACAAATCTTTGTACTCCTGACATCATTTTGATTTTATAGTTCAAAGTTATTTTTAGTGTAGCACTCGTGATAGATTCCGCTGCAATAAACCCAGTTTTGTGATGTATTTAATTGGGTTTGACAGATTCCTGTAAAGCGCAAAAATTTAAAGCATTTCTATTCACCTTTTTAATGAGTCTTATGCTGTTTACATGTTGCTTTATCCATCACAAACTGGCAAACTAGGATGTGTACCCTCGATGTGGATGTTCTCCTTTAAAGATAACATTTTTGATTCTGCTATTAGGGGGTATGTTCCACAAAAACCTGGCCTTATTTTTACTCTGTTTGCTGTAATGCGTTGAAAGTACGTAGTCCCGTCTGGTTCCTTGATCGTTGGGTTGCCATCGTGACCAGGTGGAACAAGGAGATACCGACGACCAATGAGGATGCTGGAATTGCGGTCTTCAGGAGGAATCTGTTCCATACCTTGCACCCAATTTGCGATTTCTTTGGTCCATGCGATATCAGATATTGCAACTTTTACGCTGATTTCATCATTCAGTTTAAGCGGTTTTCTCAAACCCACCATTGGGATGAGTTTCACGTACGGTTTAAGTGCTAAGGGCAAAAACGGGATTTGTGACTTTCTTTGGTGCATTGAGGGGTTAAACGAAGGCGCTTTTGTTTATCTAGTTTTGAAGAGCGTTTTTGTCCCTTATGCGAGTTTGGTTTTATGCCAAGTCGTTCGCAAAACCCACAAATGTGGGCACGCTTGCATGTTTCAGAAAAACTTGGGTATTACGAGGCCAGTTGCCGAAGTTAAAATTCCATTTTTATTTAATTGCCAATAAAAAATTTGAGCTAAGACCCTTTCACATTCTTGAAAAATTCGGAATGGAAAATCATACAATTGATTTTGCCTTTTAAAGAAACCGCGTTGCGGGACCATCACCTCAACAGGTGAAGCCATCAGACATTAATATAATGAGAGCAAATACGAGCTTTAAAGTTGTTTTGTTATTGAAGTGTTTTTAACTTCTCTCCATCTCTTAAGCGCCTATATTGGGTGGCGCATCAAATGATATTAAAATAGAACCAATTAACTAACTACCTGATTACCGTCATGTTTCAAATTCTCTATTATTTTGACATCGGCTAGCAAAAATAGCTAAAATGATGTTTTTATACCTTTTGACAGAGAGAAAATCCTTCCCAATTACATGTTGAAAATCCTAACCTCGTAAACATAAAATCTATTATGGCATAATTTCGGGGTGCATTTATTCATAAGTAAAGCTACGCAAAAACAGCTATGTAAAATATCCTTCTTGGAATGCCCTCGCGTCAAATGGTACGACTTTTCTGATCTACTAAAACAGTTACATGCACTCTTATGTTATAGAATACATTATAGTAGCCCATCACCTGCATAACTTACACATCTTTATGATGGTGAAAGGCTCACTATTTATTCGAAAGCATCTATATTGGCCGAGAGGAAGTTCTTCAAAATTGTAAACTTTCGTTTCTGTTCCATTTTTGTATGCAATGCAGACCCCTTCCCCAACGGTTTTTAAGAATTCGCTATCCAACTCCCGCAAAATGAGAAAACAGCTTGGTCTGGTGCACCCCTTAGCGTTTGGCTGTGTTGACAGCGAATCTGCCCTAGACGCGACCAGCACCGCAATTATCCAACCCGCCAACATCCCAAAGTGACGTTCTAAAGGTCAATCAATAACTCGCATGCCCTCCTTATTCGTAATTATGGAGGTAACTGGAGGATCTTCGGGCTAGCCATCCATATCAAGCGAAAACTTTTCGTCAGATGTCTTTTGACCAGGGTTGCTTCAAAACTTGCCATTGCCCCAAATTTCCCAATGTACTTAGCTGCCTTAATCATGCACTTTTTGCTTTCGAAAATAATAGTCCAATAGAAGTTTCTTTAAAGTACACATTGCATTGCTGTCGAAGTTGTTGCAGCTCTTATTTTGCTGCTTCGTTTTATTATTCGGAATCTGTCTTTACATAACTTTGCGAAACATTTGCTTGATTGTGTCAATAACTGTGTCATAAAGTTTTGCACTAAACAGGAGGATTGCAGGAGGTCATTACCTAGGCATCATCATTGGTTTATGTGAGGAAGTTATGACCGATTGACCATTTGCCTGCACCTCTTTTGAACATTGGTCTGTTTCCACCTAATGAAACTGAATTTTACTTTCTAAATGGGTGAAATAGATGATGGTGAGACAAAGAAGTAATTTCTATTATTGGCTGAAGTCCACGCATCAGTAATAATCTTCAGTAGTAGTTAGTCGAATCCGTTTTCAGTTTGTTGGTGCTTTGTACATTTTTTGAAATCCTTGCACAATAATATCTTATTGTAAAATATAAAAAAAATACACTTTTAGGCTTGATTTGAAATAGAAATTACACTCGGTGTGTTCAAGCTGCTTAAATTGCAATGACAGGTATCATTAGTGTCTGGGCCTTGGAGGGCTTGGCTTAAACGCCGTTACATGGTGACGAATAAGACGTGGAGGTGATCGAGCTGTCTTCCAGAGTGTCATGAAGCCAATTTCGAAGTTTTGCCTCGTTCCGCGGACTCACCAGTCTCTGCATGGGAGGCTGTTGTAACAGGGACGCAAAGGAAAGCATTGCCGTAGATTCGTTCTGGTTCATGTGGCTAAACAATGGGTGATTATGTTCTGTCGCTGAGGCGTGTTGAGAGCGTGCGAGGGGAGCGACAGACATAGAATTCCTGGACTCTAAAATTTAGAAAGCTAATTTGACCCAAAACGACCCACAAAATAGTTAAGCAAATGTGAATAGACACTGTAGAAATTTGTTAGTGCAAATATATTTTTAAGCGCCGACTTTGAAATCGCACTCAAGACTTTGGCTTCGGTGCATCTCATTGGCTTTTACGTCTATGACCTTTCGAATGATGCTTGCGGTCAAATATTGACAATTTTGACTTACAGCCTGCAAAATGGGCATTCCACGGGCTGACTAACCCTAGGCCGTGGCCTTGCAATGGAACACTGATTCACTTTGAAAATGGCGGCTCTGGTTCGATTGGAGTGCTACATTTACTTTTTAACAGTTAGATTCTTTGCAAAAATTGGATCCTGTTCTTAGCTTTAATAAAGGTCTCTGTCTTTCGGATTGTGTTATATTTGCCTTTATTATCAGCATTTTAACAAACGGAAGAATTTACCCACCTTTTGTAGCAGGAGCAATTGGTCGGAACTGTATCAAGTTTCCAACATCCAGAGGCTTTTGGTTCTTACGAGCCGAATAAAGTATTGGAAAAGTTTTGTGGTTACACCACAACACCAAGGTTGCACCAATCCCAACCATCTCAACTGAAATTGCTTTTAAAAGCCGTACTGCCATTCTGCCCGGTGTGTTGTCGAAGTATTGCCAGAGATCACAAATTGTTCCCGACAGAAGTGGCCCAGCGACAAACATAACTGTTAAAATTACTCTGTTTACTGCCTTTAGCAGACGTCTTTGGTCCACAGATGCTCTAATTGCCTTCGTTGTCAATATAGGGAGTGCTGGGTGCAAGTTCTTAAGTTCACCGTGAAATCTTACCAATGAGGCAAAAGTTGATGATAAAAACATTACTCCTACTAGAAGAAAACCAGCCTCTGGTAAGATGACAAGTAGAAAATATGTGGTTTTATCTGAATATCCGATGTAGCAAGAGTTTGTTAGGTCATCCACATCGATTCTTCGGAAGACCAGAATACACATGGGAGGTAATAGAGACGTAACCCAACCTAGAACGTGAAACCACCGGTCTAGACCTTGAATAGCCTCCGGAGCCCAGCCCTTACAGGCTGAGAGAAACCAGGAAAGGGACACAATGTCGAACCAAATCCCGACTGCTGTGCGCGCATAATATGCCAGAGCGAATTGAACCATACAGGAAATGCTTGCGATCCTATAATCTGTGTTTGAGAATGACGTGCGTCGAAATATTAGCTGCGGTAGATACGAAATAAGTTCAAGCATGCACGCGTTCGTTAGGAAAACTAGTGGTAGAAGTGGATGTAAGAAACGATTCCTATTAAACATGTATAAACTTATGGAAATGAGGCAAAATAAAGCATTTAGTGATCCACAAGCGATAAGACAGTATCTTGCGATTTCCTTTTGTCGAATGGTGAAGCCACTAATCAAGGAAGAATTAGGCTTCAAAGCACCATCACCATATCGTACTGTTTCTCTGTAGGAAAAAACTGAAGTAAGAGGAAGATGTGTGTCTGATTCAAAGGACTGAGGCCTGATGCACATTTCATCATCTGTCGGTAGTTTTGAGCAGGCCAACTCTTCTGGCCAGGAGAAGTTGAATCTCAGCATCAGAGGTGCACAACGCTGACGCACGTGATTACAAAAAGAGGCACAGGGCCTTAAGAGAACCTGCTCGCCCATGCTCTGTGTACACATGGGAAAATAGACTGAACAGAGGAAGAACTCCAAATACGTGGAACAGCCCAGTTTCAAAAGGGGACTATAATCGCGTATTCGCTTTGTCGACTCTGCCTGACTCGTTAGTCCGATGATATTGGGCAAGTAGGTGTGCGTGTATTCCAAACCCAGACATGAAGGTTCTTCGATGGGAAGACAGTGGCTTCCTGTTGCCTCATTCAAGGCTTTTAGATGGTACTGAAGAGGTTCCAATGTCCAATTAACAGTAACTTTAGTGGTGTTTACTGCAGTGAAAAAGAAGATGAGAGCCAAGAGCCATATCTGAGCGGAGCTCGTGTACATGCTGCAGAGGCCAAGTGAAAGTGACGACGAAATTTTATGAGATCACCCAAGCAGCTGACTGTGTGGAGAGGTAGATTTTACGACCAACCACCGAGGCTAAGGGAACCGCAATAAAATTTTCGCCTGGCAATAAGCCGTCGTTTATCATTAAATTTTCGGCATCATGCAGGTTGACCTCTCTGAACGTATGTGCGTACCCGTTAGGGACTTGAATCTATTAGCCTGTGGAAGGCTTACCCAAATTAGTACGATTTAAATCTTAACCTGGACTTAAGTAGCTAGTACGTTTGCATTACATTATAGGTCTGCAATGAAAAATATTTTACCAAAGGCTAATACTACAAGTTGGTAACGAATGAATCCACCTAATGATCAAAAATACGTGTTAAATCAGCGTCTTGACAAAGTAAAAGTGGTGCTATTCAAAGCTGCCCAAAAGAGGCAGAACGCGATCAATAATTCAATTTTGGCGCGCTTTGCAGATACGACTGTATGCACAGCTCTCCGGCATGAATGAGGACCAGAAGCTCATTGTACCAGAAACGAGTTTGCTTAAATACAAAAACCCCGTGCGCGTCTCCCGCAAATCAACTAAATCCGATGACAAAGACTTGGGCAGCTTTGATCCGCGCAAACTCTGCGAGATGCAGTCAACCGAAAGCATTCTCGCCAGCATCATGCCTCCACGAAGGCTGGAAATTAAAGGAGATCTCTTCATTCAGGAGGTGTCTTCAACTCCAGCGTCTCGAGCCGAGGTCGTTCAACTGACGAAACAACTGAATCAGCAACTTGAGGCAAGGGGTGCTAAGATGACAGGCATCTGCCCTGTTCGAAGGGAATTATTTTCACAGGTAAATTGTTTTTTACCCTTATAAAACCACCTGTTCTTTTTAAAAATGAGATTATCTCATCATTATGTACAAACGATTCGTTGAATGCTCCACCCAAATAAGTTGATTAACCCGTCAAATTGAAATTGAGATATGTGAAGTGGCCATCATTCCATGCCTGTTCTGCATGAAGGTCAATGTTTCCAAATTGTGTTACAGGTTTTCGACGAATTGATACGTCAACTGACAATTCATTGTGCCGAGCGTGGTTTGCTGTTACTTCGTGTACGGAACGAGGTGCAGACGACCATATCAGCCCTGCAGTCAATTTACGCCTCGGGTGTGGTTTTCGGTTTGCAAAAGTCGTTGGCGCGCGAGGCAGACCGTAATCACCAGACAAGTCGAGTGGCTGAGTTAGGGGCGGAGATTGCCAACCTCGAGAAGAGAATCAAGACCGAAGTGCTGAATTGCAAGGCCCTGGAGGAAAAGGAGGCCAACCGGCTGGCCGCAGCAACCCGAAGAGCCGAAGAAGACGTCAACTTCTTACGCAAGGGACATGAACAGCTGAAGAATCAACTCAAAGACGTTTTGAACCAATTCAAAATTGTCAATGAATAGCCCCTTCCTACCTTGTTCATGTGGGCTTTTACCCTAAAACTACATAGTTGTTACAATAAGGCATTTATTCTACCCAATGACTCCACTACTGCCATTCAATAAATCCTGATATCACCGTGTAGAACACCTCTTTCATCATCCGATTAACTTCTGTGCTCCAGACAAGGGTAAATTGTGGCAGGAAGCTAATTTCACTCTTCCAATACAGTACTCTTCTCATCAACAATTCATAATTCCCTATTTTATTCCAAAAACTTTAATGTCCTTGTTTAGGCCATATTGACAGGACTACCGAAGTTGGTATCGATGCTGGTTTCCATGGTTTATACATATGAGTGCGTGATGAGGAATTAGTGAGGGTGGATATAATGTAATAGCAAAATGTGGTGTGATTTTTGAAAATGGAAGTAGATTATACAGAGTTCAAACCGTAATATTAGGTTTGACTGTTTGAACCGAGACTCCTGCCTTAATTTAACCCTGGAAACTTCATATTTTTTGCTCTTCGGTTGTCAATGTACTCGGTGAAAGTAGAATGATACTTTTTTAAACGACAAGACTACCTAACTAATCGTTGTAATTCAGAGCCAGATTAATGTTGGTAGGCGTTTGTTTAGCGTGACCCTTTCAAATTCACCAGTTACCTGTCAACTCGATTTTATACTTGTGAAATTGTATAAGAAATTAGGAGGTTGGCTTTTTGTTGCGTTTTCTTGCGTTTTTTAAGTGCAGGTTTTGGCCAATATCTCACTCGGCTTGGCACTGACAAGTTCGACTCATTAGTTGACTAAATGGATTTGATGTAGAGAAATATATCTTGCCATTTAATCATTTTAAGAAGCATCCTATGAAATAAGTACTGATTTTAAATGCACTTAATTTATGGCAGCATGGATGATCGTGTGTGGAATTGCTGAACATTGTGATGGCCTGGAAACCGAATTTGTAAGAGTAAAAGGGTTGACTGATGTGCTTATGGGAAGTTAAGCGAGTGTTCGAGGTCAAGAATTATCTGAAGGTGACTGGGACTGTCGACGATGCGATAGTAGCCGTCTTGTTAGTATCTTGCTGAAGCATTTAACCAACGGTAATTCGCCCAGTATTGGTAGTTGAATAGCAGCCATCAGCGAACACACCAGCCAAGAAAGTAGGCAAACAATCTAAAGAGCAAAAAAAACAAACGCTTCGTTTGTTTGGAACTCTTTGAAGCAAACTCCTGCATGCTTCATGAGTAAAAGTTTACTCATGAAAAAGCAAACAAATGATAATGAAGCAAGTTTAAAAAACAATTAATTTCATGGGATAATTTGTTGTTAAATTGACATAATCCAAATATGAGTGCGTATTTAACTTTTCCTGTTTAGTCGTAAATCCTGCAGGCAAAAGGATACGCCACCACTTTTCTCTTGTTATTCTACATAAATTTATAATACATTTACTAGTGTATAAGTAATTCCAACTTAGCAACTGTTGACATTAGTTGAAAATAACTTCACAGATTGGTTATTGGATGTGAATTTGTTTCCTAATCATGCCGACTGCAATGCCGTTGTATTTTTTCAGTGTTTCTGATTACTTATCCCCTAATCAGCACTCTCGAGATGGATGTCCTGCCCAGGACTGAATTTGACCTGGTCTACCTCTGACCATAAATCATTCGGCAGGCAACGCGCCATGACTCAGACATTAATTATTTCTCTTCCTTCTTCCCCATTTTGGAAGGCCCAGGTGGGAAACCCCACCCTCACTACGGCTCCCTGTTACTACCGCCGTCAACTGCTTTCCAATTCCTTCCTTCTTCAACTCCATATACCAGCTATTCCATTGAGTCAAATACGTTAAATTCAAGGGCTTTTTGCAAAATAAGCAGTCCACAGTAACTAGAGCCTGTCTGTCGATTTGTCACTCAACTTTAAACCCAAACTCAGGCGTTTTAATCAGTTCCAGCATGCTATTATTGACTTTTATTGTTTAATGGGATAGTTTTCAATGTCCCTTTAATGGGTACATATACCTGGAAAACCTATTTGCTTATAGCTCGTTTGAAACATATGCCGTATTACTTTATGATTTTAGAGAATGAATGATTATCTACCGAAATGATCGTAAACAGTGTTATAGTAACAGGTGAATAAGGCAATATTGAACAATGTGTCTAATCCTCCAAATAAATTGGGTTCACACTTTCACTAATTATTGGAAGAGGTGCCAGTTTTTCTATGGAATTAATCAATGTACAGACGTTCCACTAATGAAGTTGGAGAAGTCGGATGAAGAAATAACTAGCATAATCTTGAACTTCCGGAAATCATGAATCGGAAGTGCTTTTCAATAGCTTAACTGAAGGATTTGGCTCTCGTTATAGACAAAATATTTCGGGTTGCATACATAGTATTCAGCCAACACTGATACTTACCTATAGACTAAATGAATTGGTAATGTGATTCAACAGAGAGAAATAGTGTATTCTTACCCATGCTTTAAAGTCCAGTAAGGTAAATGTCTTTGGGATGCATCCAATTCCCAAGAAAAGTGAGACGAGGACTACGTACAAGGCGAGTGCTGCATAGGCTATTATTCTAGCAGGCCTCATGGCTTTCGTAATTTGCTCTACTGTTAGCATACCCGCCGGTGATAACGGGAGGTCAAATATCCTACAGGGTACCAAAGATTAGTTATCTTGCAAGTTGGTTTACGTACTGTGAATAAGTATGCGCCCATGGGTTAATTGGGTTTCCAAGATCCAGTGTACGCTGCCATGTTAATTCAGCTCTCTCTCTGTCTGATTTTTCTTTTTTACTCACCTTAGACGCCAAAACGACAATTACAGGTAGTATAAAACTACACATAATTCCAGCCCCATTTACTGCCAAGCATATTTCATCTTTACCTGAAATTGAGAAAGATCACTCTCATCATTGTGAAGGCTTGCTCCACTAAAGTACGCATTATTGCAGTTAATATAATTTAAAATGTAATTTTTTTTTAAATGAAGGCAATTGTTAAATTTCTATGAGTTTATTAATAAAAGTGGCAAAGATGTACTCAAATTTAAGCCTGCATGGTTTCGTAGTTGAAACAGCACGACCCAAATTATGAAAGTGAGAGTTGAGCTTGTCAGTGTTCCTATGAAAACGGCAGATTCTGTCAGTTTGCCCCAGAATAGGGCTAGAACAAAACTCCCGATCCCTCCCACAATGAAAAATGTCGGGAGTTCGCTTAAAACTGTTTCAATTATCTAAAAGATAAAACTCGACTTAAATCCAGATAATTTAGTGAATGCATTTATTCGTCTATACGGTTAATTTGGTAAGGATTCCCAACCAGCAAAGGACTTCCGCTTATAAGAAAAATGACAGCATAGACTTCTATTTTACCTATTGTTATCAAAAATTCCAAAAGAAGTCAGCAGGTGCCTCATAACGGTGGTAACTGTGCACAAAGAAGCAATCAGACAAATCGACATTTTGCAACTTGGTCAGATAAGCTCTTTACAAGTCTTGTGTTCACGCAAAAGCATTGCCACATATTCTTCCTATTAGATAGACTCTCCACAGCTAGTAAATGCTAGTTACATTTTCAAAGGATCAAATGTTTACAAGAAGTGTGTTCTGTGTTTGGTACACCATTGTCAGCTCGCAAAAGAAATCCACAGCCGAGCAGACGAGTCAGTCAGTGACCCCGCACTGGAAGAAAGTCGAATGCAACTTATCGAACCTTTGCATTTCCTCTCCTGGGTTTATATTGAAGTGAAATTTTTGTGCTGTATGCGTTTTTAAGCGGTATTTACGAATCCCATTTTTAATTTAAGGTTATGCAAACCGCTGCTGGTAATGCAGTGACAAATTGATGAGAGTTTTGAAGCTAACTCAATATTTCAAACAATGCCTTCGTAAGTTACTTCTCATGCTATTATAAACAGAAAACAGCGTTGCGTAAAATAGTCAACCCATTCCTCGAGTCGGTTTGCGTAAACAAGCTTAACTTTTCGGCGTTAATAGTTGCGCTCGCTAGATTAAATACTCTTTATTTTTCTCCTCGCTAGCCCTAGTCTCGGTTTGCCAGTCCAAAAAAAGTTTCTCGCCTAAGTATCTCGACAGATTTTAAGGTGGTCTGTAATCTCAGCTCCAATTTCACCTTTCTTCTACGCATGTATACGCATACTTACCGGGAAATGGTTCAAAATTAAACCCATAGGTACGATTACACAGAGGACGATGAGAATTGAAGATATACGGACATTTTTCAATCCTTTCAAGTACTTCAAATAGCCACTGTGCACATTGCATGCGTGAGCATAGTTGTGGTTACCGTTTTTCTCACTCCTTAACAAGAAAATGCTTTCTATAGGCATTTGCAATTCTTTTGATTAAAAACCATAAATTTAACCCATCTAGCCTGTGGGGAAATTAGTTTGCTGTCAATTGAGGCCTAAAAAAGTGGAAGGTATTGTTTTAATATCCTGTGGAACACCTGTTACAAACAAACGCTAAATGATTTAGCGTTCAAAAGGGGTGATGTTTGAACTACATCAAGAAAATATAATGAACTGCATTCTCTTTAAAGCTACTGAAAAGTTAATTCATGATCCATGAGAAATTTGAAACTATCTATGACCATCCACTGAGTGGAAGGTTAATATTCTCAGTCGCGACAGACTTTAAGTCCTCCTGGCACTGTTGACAGTTGGCTGGGTCACAGCACAGGCATTTGTCCTTTGGACGTGTCTTTTCGTCTTTCGATTTGCCGCAAAAGATGCAGCAGTTGACCTCGTAGCACACTCTGAATGGCTGGCAAAATAAATAGATTCAGCTTTCACTACTGTCTTCACCTTATAATCAGTGTGGTCCATGCATTTTAACTCACTCGCAGATGAACAGCATATATGTCGAGCGTCAGTATCTTAGTGACGGAAAAAATCTGCATAATTGTTGCTGTTGTCACTATAAAGGCGTAAAGAGAGAAGAGTGCAAAGAGGCCATTCGGACCAAGAAGACGCTTCGCTATCTCCACCGTTGGTCTTGCTAAACAGTGGATATAAAATGACCTTTAAATTGCCTCGTGGATCGTACTAGGATTATATGCTTTAGTAAAATTGTCTTTCTAGGTGTCATTAGGCATTAAAGCCGTGGTTAATGATGGAAAATTACGCTCACAAATCCATCATAATACGCTAAGTGAAGTAGCAAACATAGATACTACTTACTCGCTGGTTCAAATACTTGATCGCTTGCATTCAAAGCCAAGCTTCCGAAACCACAACTGCTACCGAACACCAAAGGAAATGCAGACCATATCAAAGTAGTTGCCACAATTCCCCGACTCTCTTGACCAGGAGCAAAAAACGAACAGGTTTCCCATAATGCTTGATCAAACATCAATTCCCCAATTTGTACTAAAAACGGTAGAAAGATACTTATTTGAGTCTTAAAATTACTTATGCTTTCGTGCTTCAGAGTTTGTACTCCTTTCAATATGCATGTTGCACAAAATGAGAAAATACATAAGAGATGTGAAGTTAGCAGAATATGAAGGAATTTTGTGTTGGATTTGTGTGATCTTCTGGATGCATTGGGACAAGACTATAGGTTAGAGATAAGTCCGAATTTGCAGTTGACGAAGATAAGAAGCGAAATTTGGCACCTTACCTAGAAATTTGCACAGTCCCATTTCGAGCGAAAAGTAGCTTCGCATAGTCAAATGATCGTCTCCATCCTTTTCATTAGAGAGGTCAACAGCATGTGTAGCATTATAGACCTTTTCAATAGACCCTAGAGGATTTGAAAAACACTTATTACTATGAGCACAGGCGATCTACAACTACAACGTGGCATTATATAAACTTAACCAATAAGACATACCTTTTCATTTTTGGCTTAATTCGGTTTTAATTTACGGCCATAATCAGGTCTTCTGATATATATGTATTTAAATTTACCATAATTTATGTAATACAGGATCATAGTGATTTTGTTGCTAGGTTTTACACACTTGAACAGTCGTTGTACGTTTTCTTACCCAGCAGACCGGTCTCGTCGTAGAAGAATACCTTGATAGTGATAACTAGACCCATTGTCAAAAGGTAGACGAATATGGTGGCGCTAAATGGAAGGATGTCAGACATACTGCCGACAGATGCGCAGATTTCACCAACAATAACAGTAATTATCCACGCCAATTCGAATGTCACTCTCTCCGATATGACTGAGTAGAATCCACTACCAGCTAGTTAACAGGTAAAATATCGTCTTTAAATGCCATAACTTTTTAAATTTGCGGTCTACTTATCAACTTACTTGACTTTTAAATTGAAAAATACGACTGCGTTCGCGGACATCCGCGTATACGCACACGGTGCCTCTGTGGGCAGAGGATTTCAATTTTAGCGAAATTTAGGTTTGCATTTACTACAGCACAATTGCTAATATTATTCGAGAAATTGTGAAACATGTGGTAAATGAGGTTCATTATATTAAAAATAAGCAGTAAATGTTCTCTTAAACAGCTGATCACAAAGTTTTGAAGGAAATAATGGGATTGTGATATAAATACTTAGCAAACTAAACAATTATCACAGAATATTTGCTGTGGATATAACTTATATTTAAAATACGGTACAACTTCGGTACTGTAGTGGGGCTCTTCTTTGTAGAAGGTACTACCAGGAACAACCTTTAGTCTGACGAGATGTTGGCGACTCGTCATTAGAGTCAGTGTGTTTGCCAAGATATAATGGTTCGATGAATTTCACAAGAAGACTTACTATTCACCACAGATGTAAGGATGGACAGGTTGTTGAGAATGGTAATAAAACAGAATAGGAGGTGTACTCTCTTCCCGAATCGTGCCAGCATCAGTTGGGGGAAGGTTTCGGCTCCTGGCGCCCTGGTTCGAAACTGTGTGATCAGGACTCCTATCAAACAGAGGGGCGTTGCAGTTCCCACCAAGAACCACATGGGACCGGACAATCCAAACTATTATTCGAAAAAGGGCAAAGCTTCTTCATTAAGTGTTCGCAATCCAGTGTTTTTTGCTTAACACAGGTATAAAATTCTTATGCACGGACCAAGTTCGTTTTAAATACATAAGCAGATGGATTTTACGAATGTTGGGACCATTGCAGTTTTCAGGCGCTGTGACTTGGTAATGATTTGTTAGGTATTATCATTTTATGATGGTGGGCTAAAGTATTTTAAGAACCCATTAACCACAATCGTACACAACACATTTTGAGAATTAAATCGACGAAATGGGACATTCTCCTGCCAAACATTCGATGAAGTGGGTGTTACCTGTACTGCCGAATAACTGCTACCAGTAAGTGCAGAGGCGCCTGTGGAATGCATGGCCAACGCGACTGTAACAATCCCAAAATTCAGTAGACTCCCCTTACTGTTTCCAAGTGGTTTAGGCTTTGAAATGCAAGCAACAGAATATTACTACTTACCTAAAGTAATGAATACCTACTTGCTAAATAACAGTAAATACTGCGCTGTTGGTATCTGATGTAGAACAGAAGTGTATTCTTCTCGCTAAACGAAATACAAAGTGAAGTATCTAGCTTTAATGACTAAGTTTTGGGTTCCAATGCTGAAATAATTTTCGTGCTAGTACTTGATAAAAATTAAAGGAGTAGTAATAGTGAAAGTAGTAGTAGGAAAAGGTAGTAGTCAAGAATAAAGCAAAACTTGCTTGTTTTTTAATCCATTTGGAATATAAGCGGACAGCAATATTGATAACCAGCAGGAGGACAGGGTAGAAAATGATTAATAGAAAGGGATTAAACCAAGCAGTAGTCATTTGATTAGCTTGAGAATCTAGCAAAGGTGGTACAATTCTTATAGGAGATACTTCTGAACTGCATTCATTGCTATTGACTTATGTTTTTTTCTGTTTCTACAGCAGCCAATCCGTTCGAGTCCAACTTCCTTCACGTCAATTGGCCACCTCTTGCTCCCACGCCCAAGTGAATATTTAAGTAGGATAAGAAATTTAATTGGCATGTTTTATATTTCCAATGCATTTCTCCAAAGAAATAACTGATTTTCTGTACTCTTGGAAATTATGATCTCTTATTTAAAATGCCTTTTTACAACAGTTAGGCACAATACTAGCAAACGGACAGGGCAGTAACTGTCCAATTTTGAATGAAATTCCAACGGCACTAACGCTAATAGTTTACGGCTCTTCAGTTTATCAGATGTATTGCTTGCAGACTCGTGAGATCGTTATACCTCTTCTTCTAACCGCGTTAAAATTTGAAAAGTACTTCCCCAAGCCGACTCAAAATCCTTATTTTTACAACGTACCCTCCATTTTCACATTATATTTATCATATTTTAGCAACAAAGACCAAGTCATTTCACTATACCTACTTCCTACTTTTTACAATGTAGTCTGTTATTTAATTTCTCAAACTCGTAATTTCTATGAGTTGGACTTCTTTCTTTTTTAATTGACACTAATTCGTGTTAAGTAAATATAGATCACCTTTCCAGCAAGTCGAAATTATCATTTTAAATGGGCGGGCTCACGCACATTCAGTCCTACTTTAATGACATAGATGCCTAATGGTCATGTGAGTTGCAGGACATTTCGTGCGCTTTAAAACGCTATCTCTTTTAGGTGGAACAGGCTCACTTTTTCCCCCCTCCTCCCATCCCGTTTACTACCAAGACAACACGCAAGGAATTTTGGTCCTCCCATTTATTACCCTCCTGGTTACTCAAAATAAGCCACCGATTCCGACCGCTTTAAATTTGAGAACATCCTCCAGCTCTTCAAAAATTAACTGTTGAATGATTCGCTTATGACTCTTGACCTCAATGCTCCAGTGTTAGTTTAACATGATACCAAATGGCAAGTTAAGCATTTTTATATGTTACTAGATCTATTTCAGTAGCACAAATTGTTGTGATTACCGTGTTGAAAAAAAGGTGGACCTTATTGTACTTAAACATCTTCCCACCTTAAATCTCGCAACTACAGCTTATAATCTTTACCAAAGCTGTGTTTTTAAACTGAATTTGCCTGCGCTTACGAAACCTACTCACGTCATTTTAAATAGTTTGCGTGGCAGAGCTACGCATCTTACAATATTTCCTAGGGTTGTGACTACAAGACTAAAAATATGAAATCGAACTGACAGAACTGTTCCTTCAAACTGCGAGATATTGCAATATCTCTACCCTTTCTCCATTCTAAACTGTTGAAACGAATGTTTAGACAACCACACACAGACACCTATGTGCGGCTAAAATGTTCCTTCGTAAAACGTTTAAATTATCTATTTATCTACCCTATTAATTGGGCCTAAACCACTTTCATTAGCAGTAAGAAAAACATGACTCCTTGTTTTGCGTGTGCCTGGATGGCTCCAAGGTACTGAGGAGTCCCCTTCCCGCTTGCGCTCGGAAGACGAATTTTTAAACACAGGATGTTTTATTCAAAGCATGCAGCTTCACAAGTTGTAAAATACAATCTTCATGGGAGCAAAGCGCGCATTTGCCAAGCTCAGTGCTTTTCCAGAGGCGACTCTCCTGCCTCATGGTAAGATTAAAACAAGAATTGCACACCTAATTAAGTCGCACTTTGTAGCGATGGCTCACACTGCTGCGTCTTTTGCTAAGCATAAGTTTTCGATTAACCTTAGAAGACTTACTTAATGTTTTATTCTAGCCTAACCAATCGTTTTGTGTATATGACCGTACTCATATTACTTGCAGCCAAAAAAGTTTTAGATGTACTTAAGCCTTATTTTCTTTTAAACAAATACTTACCAGAAGACATTACTGGCAGATATTGAGCTTGACAAAGATAACACGATAGGGAATTTCCACATGTGTTTCATGGATGATCATTACCATTGTCGTAACAAGATAACAAATACTATTGACTTTGCCTTCCGAATTCATTAAACAAACGTTTACTTCTGGCCCCATGTGTATTACATCAGTCTGCAAATATAAAAACAAGCAAATCGCGATAACCGTGTGCAAGGGCCACCTTAGCCTGCTTCAGTTGCATTAAGTTGTTATTCACATATCTTGCCTGACGGCGGGATCCGCTACCTGTTTACTATTCCCTTTGAGATTGGGAATATCAGCTTCGTCCCAGAAGCGCCACCACTTGTTTCCACCTTGTACTGTTTACTCACAAAGTGGAGTTACTACAATGTTTCATCAAATTGAATTTTTAAAATTTCAGAGAGGGCCAAATAGCAACACTGTACAGTATTCTTATACAATTTCTTTGAAATGAAGAACGCACTCTTTTGCCCTACCTGCGCGGATACCTCTCGATTACCATTGTTGGTGAGTTTGTCCAAATTCCTTAATAAACGCATCACATTCTCTGTGCTCTGACGGCCACCAAACACGCCCATCTGGAAATAGTTCAACCACTTCAGCAGTATCCCTTTAAATACAATCTTTACTTGTTTTTAGGTTCCCCTTTCTTATGAATTGAAAAGATTATTTACCCCACATTCTCAAGCAAATGTAGTCCTAATGATTTCACTGCATTAGTTTGCGACAGACTTTTAATGAGCTAAACATGCTTGCATAGGAGCTCGATGGCTCTGCGCCGCTTGGTTTGGGCGTTGGCGGGGCGCGAAGAGCTGCAGGCAGCGCCCACAATTAAGGTTAATTTAGCGGACGAGACGGCAACCATCCTCCGTTTCACACATAGAAATGGCACAAAAGATCAGTACACTAACAAAATTTATCCCTTTTTTTCACATATCTATTAAGAAAAATGAAATGCATTATTTGCGTCGAGAAATGGGAGAAATTTTGTGTTATCCATCGATTGAATCCCATTTATTGACCTAAAAAGATTCGCTTATTTCAGTTCATTTCGATGCTTTTACTAATGTTAAATCCTTAAAGGCATTCTTGTGCTTAAAATAATCACTTTAAATAGGAGCTTTTAGCCTTAAAACCAACCTAAATGAAGATAATTCGCCCTCATTCTACTCATACTTTTTAATGACCAAGAGTCGACAATGACAACCTTAGGAACTCATAAGCGTTAACTAATACTACGCTCTTGAATGAGACAATGTCCAGGAAATTGACAGTGTAGAAGAGACCGGGTATAATGAGGGCATACAGCACGAAGAACAAAATAGGACTGCCGAGAGCGAAACACCATGAGCGTTGATAGACTCGCCTCACTTCCTCAGGGTCAGGTCGGTTGTAACTTTCCATGCTATAATTACTGAGTGAAAGTGATCTGTAAAACGCATGGTAAAATGTCGATGGATTTGTTATGGGACGATCGTTAGATAGTCAAAAAATGTCAAACAGGGAACTAATTTGCATTGTGGCTTTAGCGTGTAAAGAAATTTCTTCTATACCGATGCATGTCGCACGAAAAAAGCCACTTTGATGTCTCCCAAATAGCACCTTCATTTACGTATGCCTCGTGAAATAGGTGTGGTGGAAATCCTTCTGCCAGTACCTTTATAAACTGCCTCGTACTTATGAAAAGCCAGATTAGCACTTGTTGTTGGATTTTTAAATCTGATATTTCAGTATATGTACACCCCGTAGCGTAAATGATCAGAAGACGGGTGTTTACCTATTAAGCGACCCCACAACAGATATTCCAAAACGCAATCCCTTAGGCGTACCGCATGAATCATTGTAAAACTTACCACTAATTAGTCTAACGAGCAATGTAGCACTTGATATCTCATAGGTTCCACTACATGTATTACCTCTAGCCCAAATTTAAATTTTTTGTAAATTTCAGTGGCACCACGTTACACCACCTTGACGTTAGCCTTCATTATTGGAAGTCATAGAATTTGTAGCCAGGCAGAAGGAAGACTTGCTAGCACTACTATATTCCCTTATTTAGCACGTTTCGAAGATTGTGACTCGCCTAGAATAAGACGAATTTACCGAATCTGCAATGGAAGTTACATATCACCGGAGTTTACTACACTTCACTGTTAGACTTGAAATGATATCGGTTAGCGCTTACTCTGCGTAGTCAAAAGTCCAAGGGGCTAATGGGTTGTCCATCTCATAGATACGGTGCCATGACTGGCGTCCCAGATTCGTGTTGTGTTTATTGTGAGATTCCTTACGAAGTCTCTCGATATACACAACCAGAGGAGAAAAAATGAATTTCCCCACGATTGCAATCGAAATGTAGGAAAGCCGATTTGATTTATTAAGCTGGTACAGATTGCTGAAAAAACTACCTAATTTTGGATTGCTGCTGAGAAAGAAGACGCCGATGAAGATTGCCATTGAAGGGAGCATGAGGATATCACTACCCACAACGCAGACAGGAAATACTAGTCGTACACTCGTGCTGCTCACGCAGATTCCAGCAATAGTTGTAGCTACAATCCACACCAAATCAAAGGTTATATTCGTGAAAGTGCTCGTAAAAATCCCGTTCCCAGCTTCAAATGAACGTAGGTTGTATGTGATGGAATAAAAGAACAAATTAAACATCTCTTTAGAGAGAACTCTTGACTTAGTTAAATGCAATTAACATGAGTAGCGGCAGTAAACGTGCAATTTGGGGTCCGCTTATTTGTTTTTGTGTCCATAAGTTGGCTTTAAAGTGTCCTAGATACGAGCTGGAGGTATACTTCATTTTGCTAATGCTAAATGTGCACCCGTGTGTGTGCGCGGTTACATTGTGTTCTCAATTTGCCTACCCATTGATTTGTACTGAGCTAATAACCTGAACCGACCTTCGTCAAATGATGATGTGTTTGATAGGGAAGAGAACAATAGCCGTATTCTAATATTCACATCTGCTAATGAGGAGTTAAGGCGCGTTAGTTAGTCACCATGTGGAGGTGCATTAATATGTTCGGCATCACTTAGGTCTAAAGGGCATGCATTGTGTTTGGCTTCCTGGAAATTATGCATATATTGGTGCATAATTTATACTTATCTTTTATTCAGTGATGTAATTGTTAATTTGGTCGGTTATGAATAGCGGGAAGCTGGTTGTATATTTTTATAAGATAGCAGTATATTGGGGAATTTTTCAACCAGACCTACCGACAACTAGCTTTATCCTTCAACCGTTCATGGAAAGGCAGGTGTGACGGAAGCATACTCTTAATGACAGTGGCGACAATGCAAAGGCTATGTAGGAGGACGAAAGTGCAGAAAATTAGGTGTGCAGTGCGACCGAGGCGACCATAGATAACGTGCAGGAAGGTCCGAACGCCTAGTGCGACCATGCGACAGCGGACCAGAGGAGTCATGAACAACACCTTTGGCATGATCCCCGCAAGTGCCTACCATAATGGAATAGGCACGCCCAAATGAAAGGTATCACTCACAATTGGATTACCTCTGCACTATCCTTCTCTTTTATTAGAGAAAAAAACATCTATCGTCCTCAAGTCCTGCTAGTTAACCAGTAAGGCAGTCAAGTCATTAATCGCAGTTCTGTAACAGTACAACAATGCACGTTGTATATTTTGGCACACGGCTTACAAGTGCGAAGTATGGTAGGTTCATCGAAAGGAATCGGATTTCACAATAATATATAGGCAAATATGTAGCCTATCCACAATTCATTTAGAATTGATTACGGCTAACAGGTCGATTCAATTGTTTTAAACTACCTCATCAGATGTTCATAAAGAACATCAGAGTTCCAAAGTTTATTGGCAGCAAGTTAATTTAATATTTCTACGTCAGAAGTCTTCTTGTAGAGGAGTCGCAGCATGATTGTTGAAGTATCCTTGACATTGTCGCATCAGCAAGTAGTTGGACTGCACTTTAATTTTTGTGGATCACAAATTGGTTATTGCCCTAGCCTTTGTAAAGTACCACGGTGCTTACCAGCTCTCCAAAAGCCGTGCTTTCAGACAGGGTGAATATCCAAACCGACTGTCCCAGAAAGGCGCATATAAAAAAGTGTAAACCGCAACTTCGTCTTTGACATTGGTACAGGTTCCACTATCTAGGGGGTATCGGTGCAACACAGTTGCTTGTGAATCAAAAACACCAAACCCTGACGGATTTTAATTAGAACAGTACTTTAACATTGTTTTCCTACTAGTTAGATCAAAACTACAAGTCTAGTATTAGCTCTAATTTCACAGTGGGTAAGGAAATATACACATGACAGGACGTGAAAAGACGTGGTTTACTGAAATAAAATTTTGAGATAAAGGGAATCCTAGTGTCACCCCCATGAAAGGGGACCTTAAATAGTGATTTTAGAGGTGATGAACGCATAGTTTTTCTGTATAACATAGCGCCTTATATTAATAAACAGATCGTATTCTCCGGCTATAAAAATAAATCAGGTTTCATTAAAAATATGAAGAGAATACAATGTTATGAATGAAGTTCGGGTAAAATTGGAATTTTCACAAGGAATTTGGATCCGATTCCGGAGTTGGTCTTCCTAAGTTTAGCGTTTCCACAACGGGTGTTTACAAAATAGTAGTACAGCTGCACTACAATTTTGGCACCTCTAGTTTCACCCAGCCTAAATACCAAACTCTTAACCCCGTGTGTCTTTTTTAAAAAAGAACATTTACTGTAGCATTATTTAACGTCTACACAGTCCAATGGCGAACAGAAAACAAGTCAGACTTCTGTCATTGTCCGTAAATTTGGGAGCAATTTGAGCGGTTGGTCTCAACAATGTTAGATTAGCAGTTTTTAATTGTCAGCGCAGAAGTTATGGTAGAGGTTTACGAGGGCGAACGAGACAAGTTACTTCTGGTCACAAAGAATGTGACTATTACTTACTAGAATGCTTTGTAATTGGAATGAACGTGCGCTTCCAGATATCCAGCCTAGACCTAGACCGGTGAAAGCATGCTTTCAATGCTTATCCATGGCTGACACAAATAATTTTGATTACTCATTCAAAAGACACATGAAACCTTCACCATCCCATTCCAGACACAAACTTCGTCAATTATTTTATGAAAATGATGTGCACATCCTGACAGACTACCTTCACAGGACAAGTAGACAACACTCATCACTTCGATTTATATAATGAGCATTTGATCAACAACTTTAGAGCCAATTTAAAAACGAAGTAATCATTTACTTCCGTTGAATACGTAACGAGTGGCATGCGATTGGCGGATCCTCTGACAGGGCTGTCGTGTGGTTACCTCGCCTGGACAGCAAACAAACTGTTGACAGTAGATAAAACCAGAAGAAATAGTGACTTACCAAATATCTATTTGCGAACAATCGCAACACCTCGCTGGTAAATGATCCTCCCCGAGTTCGCGACAGTTACCACCGCCACTCGTATGTGGGCAGTCTTGTGACCAACTTTAGCATGCGCCAGTCGGGTCCCGCGTCGACTCCGACCATCGATCTTCAAAGGCCGCGGATATGCACGCAGGCATACGACCGCCCGCCCATGCAACCTGGCCACAATGCGATTGGCTATTCGTCCCAAGCCAATCATTGTGGAGCATTACTCATGCATATTTACTACATTCGTGCATGCAAGCGTGGTGTCCCACAAACTGACCCGAAAATCGGCTATTGTTGCTTGTTTGTGTGGGCACACACGCGTGCTTCCATCAGTTGCCACTCCCCCACTCACTAGCTCACAGTCAAATGGCGTCGGCACAAGACAGTGCCGAGCGCATTCTCCCTTCCAGGGCCCCACTCATGCACTATAGCCCTCTGAATCAGAATGATGACTCCAAGATGCCCTGCAAACTCGAGGGGCCTGGTAACGAGAGTAAACGCAAGGTAAAGGCAGGTAGCGCCTCCCTGTTCGCCTACAGCGTGGCGGAGTTTAACGAATGCAGCCGCTGTGAAAAGGCGCGTTTGACCGGCTTGGATGCCTGGATGGAACACTTGGGGCAGGTGCACACATTCCCGTCTCGTTGGCCGAGCTCAAAAATCGATGACGGACTGATGGACAAAGGTCATCCCTACACGTCAGTCGTGGATTCTCATAAGAAACGAAGAACAGCAGGCGTCCCACGGCCTCTAAACAGCTTCATGGTAGGGTGTTCTCTTGCCCCTTTTGTCAAAATTGCATTCCTGTCGAAGCAACTAGTCTCAACTGCTTTGTAGTTAGTCGTGAACACATTAGACCATTAGACCAAAACATCTGTTTTAAACGCACCAGACAGCTTAAAATATTAATTTGCCCTTTAATTAAATTCGCTGACAGTGGTCATGTTAAAAAAGCCACGAATCCCCTAAAGCAGGCTTTTATCCCGTTGTTTTGTGGGACAAAAGTATTTTAACCTCGCGTCACAGTGCATGCGTTGGTAGCAACACAAATGGAGTCGGGAAATTTACCCAAACCCATTTGAACACGATTATTTTCGACGTTGTAAATATGTAGTAAGCATACGAAATTTGCATTTCAAGTAGAGTTAAGTGAGATAGTAGGAGAGATTACAAAAACGCAATTTTAGAGTGCTAAATGTGGCATTTTATGCACTGATCTGCGGATTCTATGTAATGGGAGGTTCGCGTAGGGGAATGAAGGGCGACCGGTAATTTTGCGCCATTTGAAAGCAGTTAAGAGCAGCAATGGTAGGCTTTCGTACTGATTAAACACGTGTTCCATTTGTTAAAGTTGCTTTTTGTTAGGTTGAAAAAAGAAACTATTATAGTATCCTTATTTTTGATGGCACGGTGAGGTGGTGCTTGCTGAATGTGGATCGCTGTTTAAAAAAAGGCTGTTGTTTATCAGGAAATGACAGCTAAATTTTAATTTTGCGGCATCTCCATTTTACGGTTATGGGTACTGCTCGACTATTTCAGAGCTCTTTGTTATTATTTAGCGTTTAATGAGTACAACGCTTGTTTATGTCGATACTTAGTTCATTTTCACGGCGGAACAAGTCACATTCTATTATTCAGATTGTCTTATAAACGTCAGACCACACTAAGTTTATTATCTTGATGGCTAGTGCGACAGCGCGAGACATTGACCCATAATGGCGAATGGCATTTGGCTGTAAGCTTTCTCTTGGCTCGGTCATCCTTTCGTCACTTTCATCATCGAGGATGATACCTGTATTTAGAATACAACTTAGTGTTTTTGTGGTTGTTTCTTGGGTGGGATGTAGGTGAGCAATCATGTCATTCATAGAGGTTTGTTTCTTGTGTAAAAAAAGTAACACTATGTTTTTGGTGTTATATCAAAAAATTGCATATGCAACTCGATCCATGCGAATTTGTCAGTGTTATGGAGTCACTTCTCACTTAAGCTCTAGCAAAAGAGTTGCAAAATTTTTAAATACGCTCGCTATTTACGTCATTGGTGCAAAAGAGTAAATCCCCACACCCTCAAGGACATGGAACGTTTTATTTTCGAAGCATTGGTGATCGGCGTTAATCTGTGTGTGATCCACTCAGTTTCTTAGATACCATGGCTTATTTGTTAATGATACATTTTTACTATCATTGAAGCAACGCCAAATTTCAGTTTTTGTACATTAATTTTCAAGCATCTACGTTTATCAATCCCCTGGGTTGACGGTGGGTTTAGTGAAACTGCAAATTTGCTTCATTACTATATTTTATAAATACCTAATTGCCGTGTATCATGACTTGTTTGGGTTCAGTTCATCTATGTTTTCAGATCGGGAAAATAAATGAAGTATTTGCGTCCATGTTTTTGTCTTAGCTTATACTCCATTTAAGGATTCTTATTTGGGTAAAACCCCAATGCAATGTACGTAGTGCTCGGTATTCCATTCAGCTTGACTTTTATGGTCATTGTCTTAACCTCTATTTTTATCCTCGCATCTTGAATGCTTTGACCTACTTTTAGTTCTCCTTCTAGCTACAATATTCCACGCTAGAGTAATCGTTTACCTGCTGTGCCCACAATATTAAGTCCAACTGACATCCAAGCGATTATCCTACCGAGTAGTTGTAGTTGAATTGAAGTTCACCCTGACAGCCTTCATTTAACGAGTTGGCGCTCTCGAAAATTATCGTCAATCTTTAAAACTACGATCGAGTCTGAATGCATATGGTCCATCTCATGTGAACTCTCCAGGGCACTGTGATGTTATAATTGTTCTATGGTACTAACACTGACTGCAGTACCCATTTTCCCCATATGGTGAATTTCATCTCACTGAATAGAGGTTGGAAGTTCTCTTAACGTCTGATTCGTCTCCTATGACAGTTGAGATTCTCTAATAATGTTTTTGTAATTTTATTCATATACTGAACAAATTATTGTATTTCCTGGCGTTTGAATGTACAGGCAGTTGTTTCAAATAGCTGTTGTACGTTGATCGGATTCCGCAGAATTTTCATAAATTTCAGCGTTGGACTGGCCTCAAACTTTTGATAATAACAATATTCCTCAGTCCTTTTATGCCCAGATATGCGGAGCATGGTGTTTCTCGGCTGTCGGTGTTGGTATGCCAAGTTACTGAGGTCCGCCTGATCTGATGGTGGATGAACTAGTTCGTCGACAAATTCACCTACACACCACGCCACCACACTCCGCATGACAGATGGTACACCAGCCGCTCATTTTAGTGCCTGTCACGACTGCCTACAACGCACCCTCGCACTCGCATTTCTTATGCATTCCGATACTCTCACTACTAAATACGTGAAGGAAATGGCGGGGGAATGTCGCGAGGGGTGCTGTAGGGGTGGGGAGGCAGGGCACCGGATGAAAGGCTTCAACAACACGTTCCATCTTGCAAGCCCATGAACCTCTCCCTCCCCTTTCTTCCCCTCCAATTTCATGACTCATTGTTAGTGTGGAGGTAGCGCTACTAAGTGTGCGTTAGAAACACTGAAACCGCTTTTACCCCGCACAAGTTAAATTTCCAGTTCGCGTCACGGATCGCTTTGGTTCACCTCCCAGTGTCGAAGTTTATTCACCTTCTCACACATAGGTGATTTCCTTTAAAAGCTCATTAAAAAATATCTTACCATGCTTAATATTATCAAGAAGGTTGAAGTGGTTCCATTTCTGTTGTAGATATTCGCACAATACATTCGACGACTGACACTTTCCAGTTTTCCCGACGCTCCAAATGTCCACATCAGCCAGCAGGTAGGGCGCCTGTGGCGAAATCTCTCCAACGACTTTAGAGAGGTCTACGCAAAGGAAGCGCGTCGTCTTCAGAGTCTTCACTCTCTTGAGTTCCCCGACTACAAATACCAACCACGTCGACGTCTACGGACTCTCGATGGTGATGAAATCGATTGTCACTCCTCCCCATTGCGCCCGGCAACCAATCCTCCACCATCTAACCCCAACATTATCAATCATTACTTTGATGAGCTCCTTCAAAGTAACCGCCCCAAGTGTCAACTGAAGCCTTCACCCCTAAGTGAATTGGGTTCCAAAGAGCGACCAGACTTCACAGATGGTCTGTTGGACTTTTCTGTACTGCGTCATAACCCTAACGTGGACACACTGACGCCGCTTCAGAGCGCTAACGGCCAGAGAGATGCCATTAAGCATCAACTTGAAGATTCCATCACCTACCAACCTACATTCAACTACCCTGCGACCACTGACGGTGCTGCCGACCGATTGGGCTGGTTGGATGATAGGTCTGTCGAGCCGTTTGGTCTTCCGACCCAAGCCCAAGCACTGGTTACTGCGCCTTCCTATCTGCAGCCAGAGAACATTTTCTCTTCCACCGAACACTGGCATCAATACCATAAGGAGGGCTCCTTTGGGGACGTGTTACCCCTTCCGGGGATTGAGACGTGGACATTCAGTGGCTCCACCATCTAGATAACCAAAAAATTTATACAAAGAACACCATATTTTGATATAAGGCTATCAGGTTTTCCGTCATCTAGATGTCTTCCACATTCCTGCGCCTAAAACTCCCCTACGTGCTATTTCTTGCAAAATTTTATCTATTCAAGCAAAAATAAAACTTTTTATCAAGTTATCGTGATGACATGATAACGTCTTCTTGTCTTTCATATTTTCCTTGATTCACCTTCCGTCTTGGCTGCATTTCCTCCCATCAAAGCCTCAGTTATATGCTTTGATGAAGTTCGTCAAGCACATATTGTTATCGGACCACCCTTGATGGTCGTTTGGATTAGGAAAATGTCACCAAGTGCTTAATCGGTACCAGCGCGTGACAGTGCTATGAAGCACCATCCTCAATGATTCAGTACAGCTCGGAATTTTAATTGAATCTCACTTACTTCTTCCCAAACTATTCTTTTGTCCTTGCATTACCTACCTTAGAGCCGTCGGCTGAGGCCTTTATTTCACGATTTTATAAAATCCACATCGAACAGCACAAAACAGTCCGTCCAAACTCTACGCCTACCGTTAGGCCCCGGCCACAATGATCTGCCGATAACCGAAAGACTGGCACAACTCACGTCAAGCATTTTTTGTCCATTATAATAAGTGACATTGATAGACGGGAATCTGCGGAGAATTGTTCATGCCACACATCGCTTTTTGGGCTCGGTGAGATTTGTGTGCTGGTTCTACGCGATACTGCTAGGGCAGGATTTTTGTTGGGTGGCTTCCTTTTGAGCTACTGGATGATAAGTTCCGTATTACTGGATGCGTATACGAAAATGCCTCACCCGTTCACGAACACGATTGAATTGCTTTGCTTTTCAAATCTTGCAGAGATCCAGCTGTCAAGAACGTGTGGTTACGAAACCACAATTTTGCACTAAATGGTACTGTCCATATCAATGGGGCGGTTACCCTTCTATGAACTTGCATGTTTGATCGAGCCACTCGTCAATACTACTACGACACCTGCTGCTGCCTTTCATCAATGCATTTCTACATAGCATACTTTAAAGGCTGGAGGACTTCCTGTCATGTGGTGGAGGCTGACACGTTTTTTCAAAATGGCTAAAAATGTTGACATATCATGCTGACTCATTCTGCTCTGGGTAAGTTGGTCGTTTTTGAATGCTCATTTGAGAGTATAAGCACACTCTAGATCTCTATTGATAAAAGACAAGGGCACTGTAAGGTGGGCTACCCGTAGCCCCTCATCGAACTGGCCTATTTCCCCTGGACGCTTAAATACCTTTTTTAATGCTCTAATAGATTAATCAACTTATTCTTCTTTCAAATCATCCTCCCTGTTTGCTCTGTTGTAATCGTCTCGAAATGGTAGTATGTACGAAGCAGTCTGTTTCGTTACGTATAACTTCAAAAGAATATTAGCTCCTTTTTAAAATAATTTTACTGATTGAAACGCGAATTTGTATTTGCATTATTCCGTACCATCCGTGAGATGAATTGTAGTAGCGTAAACCTGACTGAAGTCAGGTCAAGAACAGAACTAAATCCTAAGATTATGCAAATAATTTGACTCTGGGATACTAATATAGAAATTATTAAGGAATAAAGAAAAAGAAAACTGACCACCTCTTCACCAATATCATAATTCGTATTGGTGATGCACCACTCCAGAGCGTACTATCATGTCTCAAAGAGTTAAGTAAATTTTGCCCTTATGAAAGGCATTTCGGGTCTAGTTGAATCTCCTGTCCTGATCCTCATTCATCAAAAGCATTGGCTCAAATTTACATCTTTATTTTACTCGCCTCCATGTCCTAATGAAGGAAGTGCATGACATTTGTAAATAATTTTGTATGATCTCTTCATACAACAGCAGCCTTTTTCTAAATTTCTATTATATTTATCACTTGAGTCTCGGTGACATGTGGATGCATTCAGCTACTTTATGAATGAGTCAATTGTCGCTAACCCCCCTTCACAAGTGTTTACCTTAGCACACATGGAATGGTAGACCATGTTTCGACCTACCCCTACACCCTCCTCCCCCACTTCCAACCCCATCTACTGCCTCGTGCAGAGGCGGAGCGCACACGAGGCCTCTCCGTTCCACCGTTCTCTCTCTAGGTTGAAGAAAAACAAGGTTGTGACGCCGTGGCGGTAGGAGACAGATGATGGGGCCTTGAAACGGCCTTGATGAGCAGCACGTCGTGTGAGCGAATGATGTAGCGCAGTCACTGTAAGTCACGACGTGACGGCAGGATGTCTCATCGCTGCATTTTTTCAATGTAGCTTAAATAACAACGACTCCTACTTTGAACACGCTCTGGATGGCAATTTAAGTGGTTATTTTCTAGTAAAATAGGCATGTGAATGCAGGAAAACTGCGCTTTAAGACTTGATTTGTACACTGATAAGATTTAGGCAACGGCTTTGCTTAGCTTGCTGATCTCCGTGATGCCAAGGCCACCAAGATGTGGATAATTACATTCAAAATGGGCGGGTTAGCTAAGTGTTTTCTAAAAACACCCAAGTTTGGGTAAAAAGCCACGTAAATTAGATCAAAAAGAATCCTACAATCTAATGTGGAACTTTTGTAAATGCGGAGCATTGTTGTGCAAATGTTATGGCTGGATATTCATACATAAGACCTACCAGTCACTTCTGACATTTGATACCATTTGTCTTTCTCTTGAATGTAATCAACTGCTTAAAAATATTTCAGAAATAATTATTTCGATAACTTGCTCCCTAAATAGTGCTTTTAAATTTTGCTAAAGGTTAGGCGTTCAGTTTTTAGCAGTTGCCTTCTTGACTCTGGATGCGTAGGTTGTCAGGGTGCTGAAGAACCAACCCTCCTTCATGGTAAGGCAGCAAGACAGCTCCTTATTTTTTGGGAATATTGCATTGGGAATTAACTTTGGCATATTAGAAATAAAATATAATAGTACCTATATTTAAAATTTGACATGAGCACGTTTGCAGCTGTTGGTTCAAGTTAGTGATGTGAATATTTCTGTTTGCATAAAACCGCGTGGGGATGTCAAATTATAAATCAAAATAAGTAAATTAGCGAATTTTGCAGTGGTTCGACTAAAGACTGCATAGGCAGCTTGAATTGGTGATATCTATAAATGTGAAAGAGGGTATCATATAACGAAGTTCTTTGTCTATAGCTTATTTCAACCTACCTGGCCTTTAGTAACCACGAACAAAATTAAAATTCGTTTATGACCCAATTATCCCAGCCGCTCTGTAGCCAGCGATAAGCGATAACTCGACACCCAGTACACCTCAATTTTGCCTTCGAGTGCGATTCGGACCGCTACACACGCTTGAAATTCAAGCCATCTTTGTTCATCTTCTATTCACTCGAAAGGATTTGATTAATTCTCTACGTTTAATTTTGCTTTGATATACAGAGTTAAAACTGAAAGTAGACCTTTTCTTTGGGAGGGTTACTTGGTTGTGTTTCATCTTCTATCCCATAATTCGTTGCAGCTATTTTACAAATAAGTATAATTGAAGTGCAAGTATTTAACGAATTTAATAGTCCAATTATTTGGCACTTGGTTAGAATGCATGCTTAACTACGCAGACGCTTCAGTCTTTACAGTTTGCGCTTCCAACCTGTGAAGTGGCACTTGAGCTATGCTAGCAGCCTCCTAGCTCTTCTGTACCTTGACAATCCATGTTCCTTCACACTACTTTGGCTTGATTCAATTTCAGCTAAGTGAGCTGAAAAGTTTGAATGTGAAAGCCAAAATTTCCTAGTCGGGTCGTGGAATATTTGCTTTATGGGGAAATTATCAAAATCACAACGTCTATTCAATTGGTCACATACGAAACTTCAGATGATTTCCGATTTATGAAGGTAGTGCAGCTCAAAAGCAGGAGGACCGGGAACTCTATACTGTTTAGTAAGGGTATGTCACCTAGTGAATGAGATGTTTGGTTATTTCTAGTGGATATTAGTTTGTTTGTAACTATCTATTTTCTTGAAGCATCTTTACAAATCGGGAGTCTAAAATGTCAATGCTTGAAACAAGTTGTTTTCAAACATTCTCTAGGAAATTTCATGGGAATAAATATTGAAATAATTTTATGTAGGATTACTAAAATTAGTGAATGTTTGGCCATGTAGATATGCCTACACAAACTTTAGCAGATGGATGTTGGGCTTTTATTTTGGTGGCAATTCCGGGGACCAATGTCCGTAGTCCTCAAGATTTTCTGTGCGCGAAACAAGTTTGCTTTACAGGTATGGAGTGACTCTGACAGTGATTAAAGTACATGCAAGAGCTTAACCTAAATGTAAATGTTTGGATTTTAAAGCAGATTAGAAAAAAAATACCACCAAATCTGATCATCAACCCCCCATTTTCCTATATTTTCATTAACAATGATTTTGTGCATATGTTTAAAATCACAGTGGCATAATAATAAAATAAAATGCACAAATGCTGTTAATGCCCCTACAGCTGCACATTACTTGTAGTTAGTCAAATTTTGCCAATTGATGAAAATGTTGTTTTAGTAAGTTCACAGTCTGCGTTCCAGTCTTTGAAGATCCCGGTTTGTCGTGATGGCAGGTGTTGTCAATGTCCTGAGTTCAGGTCTGCTACATCTTGGTGTTGCCACATCGGTTGTGATTTTCAGTCTATTCATTTTCTTTAAATATCTCTACAAAAGAGGAGCTCCTGATTCCCCACTGAAAAGTTCTCAGAAGAAGAACACGAACAAGAAAGGAGAAGGGAAGTCTAACCACCAGGCAGCTAAAGTGAGAAGGATACCTGTATCTAGCTATTAGGTTGCTAAGTCTACATCAAAGGCTCAGTCACAGCCACCAAAGGACGCTTCAATCAATTCAACCTCTGGAGTAAAGAAGAATATTTCTCCGATGGTGCAGGTGGGAGAGAAATAGTTGTTTCATCGCATAGGTGCCTGTAACGATTGAAGAGGATGATTGGGTAAAGGTTAAGCCCACTAAATTGCAATCGGGTCAATCTCCTACCAAAGAAACTGCTAAGGCAGGGGCAAAAAACAAGAAGTCTGATAACCAGCCTAAGAAGTCCCAAAAACAACAAAATAAAAAGGCTGAGAAGTCTCCCAAAACAGAACATAGAGATGAGGAAAGTAAGAATTCAGACAATAGTAGCCCAGGAAAGAACATTCATGTGCCAACGGTTCCAATTGTTGAAAAACCCGTTGAGGATGAGTGGCAGGAGATTCCTTCCGCTAAAAGGAAGAAGCACCGAGCGAGGAAAGAGTAGTATGAATGATCAACTTGAAGTCGCTGGCGGTGTGCGCCTTGCCGTTTCTTGGACAGGTGGGGCAGAAGTACAAATTCTGACAAGTATGTTACTGTGTAATGAAATGAGTCTATAATCGACTGCGTTCTCGCTTCGTCTTTCCATATTTAAGTTCTTTTAACTCCCCTCCTCTATGCTGTCTTTAAAGCTATTGTTTTTGCTGTATATTTCCTTCATCCAGCATGTAAATGCACCATGCTTAGTTCTTGCATCTACTTTCAGTGCTTCTTTCTAAACCAACTGTACACAGTCATTTACACTCAAATTTCTTAGATGTGTACAGCGTCTGCGTATTGAGGTTTGGTAACATTTCAAGTTTATCAATAATGTACTTGTGTTATCCAGTACGAGGTTTTCTGGTTTAGTTTCTTCGACCTTTTTCAACTTCTGGCGTGAGGGGTAAAAAAGTTTAATTACTCATCGCGGTGGTCTAATTAGGATTGTCGTGCGTGCTCCTCTCCTCTTGCTAGAATTAGACCGCTCGATGTTCATGTTCAATTGTTGGTGGATCGTCATGAGTGTCCGCGTTGAGGTAGAATTTGGATCTCTATTGTTTTGACTGGAAATAGATTATAGTGAGGCATGGTTCTATCCTGTCTTTTTGTCATGCATGGGATACCTCGGTCGCGGTGTGCATTGGGTGGATAAGGCTCAGTTGGTAGAACAGTCCAACGGGCTAGCCTACTTGGTGGCACCTTTGGAACGTTTGGTTTTTCGGCATCTAAAGTGGTTTGGGCTATCTCCGGCTGGCTGCCCCTGGTTGATTGTTTGACCAGTGGAAACGGGTATTGGATGTCTCAATTCAGTTAATGGGATATCCCCCCCCCTCGCTAGTGTACTTTGTTCAATGTCCAGACCTGGTATTTAGTTCATGGACGAGCACTGGGCATCGACTACCCATTTAGAGCGCGGTGGCGAGGGTCCAGTGGCCACGTTGCGAGTCGTAGTGCACGAAAGGTCAAAGCTGCCTGTTTTGACTTGCTTTTACGAGCCCAGCGTCAAGCGCCAGATGACCGTAGGGTTGTTGTACTTTGCCACGTGTAACGTCAGCGGGCATCAATTGTCAATCTTGCTTTATTGCCTTGGTAGCGCATTCGCCGTGCATTCATTTTTAATGCCAATTTGATTTGTATTAATTAATTTGTCTTAATAGGAATGAAACATACTAACTGAAGAGAGGGGTAAAGTCATTGCAGAAAGGCATTTCCGACCATTTGCCTGAATGTTATCCCCTGAGTTGTTTTTTTATACCTCCCGAATCAGGGCCGAGATTTTGTTACCTCAGCAACAAGTTCCTTCAGCAGATAATTACGCGCGTCTACGGAGAAATACACAGGTATATCAGCAGTACATAATTCTGGGTATTTCAATGTAACATTAAGTTTTGTGAGAATTTTGAGCCTATTTGGCTACCATATTGGTTACGCCCATTTACATCGTTTGACTGGTTATACAAATAGGTATGTTCTTATCAAATGGTCATGCTACAACATAGAGATGTTCAAAAACAATTGTGCTATTAACCAGTGGTGCTGAAAAGCCCTGAAATGGAATAAGAATGAGAGGTCCACTGTAAGGACAGAGAGGTATGTAAACGCTTTGCCATGCATTTTGGCATTACTTTTGAACCGATACGTATGCAATTGCTAAGTCAGCGAATATAAATGGTCTTGAGTGCATGGACCTTTGGAGTTAGTGTAGCGTAAGCCAATGACATCCTACTTAAAAATGTGAGCCCTCTGCATTGAAATCCTTTTAGCCACGCAAAGTTATGCTTCAATTGGCAACCACGTCGCCTTTTTTATCTGTATCTACGGTCTGAATTCTCGGTAAATTTGACAGACTTTGATATTAGCAGGTTCCAACGTAATTGCGTTGAATGCAACCGGACTGGTGGGCTCATGTATTACTATTTTAACACAGATTTCTGAGCACGATTTGCTGACACAAGAATCGTTATAATCCTATGGTTCACTAATTCTGCACTCCACTTAATATCATACCTCTGCGTTAATCTCTCCGGTGGGTATGCTAGTGTTTTACAAATGAACGTGGTTGTCCTGTGCTATGCATGGACATATTATGGCGCTACTTACCATTTTCACATATATGTTACGAAGTACAGGGTAGATGTAGTCTGAGTACGTCCTCCCAATTAGTGCTTTACGTCAATCACTAAGTATTCCACTACCGAGAGGTCCCACTGACTGATCTCTTTCAAACTGTATTGTGCTTCTCATGCATTTCTTTTTTCAATTTTATCGCTTTTATATTGAGTCCGTACCATTAAAAGCAGAACGATTTGGACAGCAAGCATCAATTTGCTAAGGTGTTCCATGCTTTATTGCGTTGGAAAGCGTTATTCAGCTGTTACAGCTCGGTCATTCCATCTGTGCAGTGAATGGTGCATGAGTGTGATCGCAAACGCAATATTCAAAACGCCTCGTGCCGTCTGTTTTTTAAGCATGCTTATTCATTCCGAAATGGAGACTAACGCTCTGTGAAGAATGCGGACACAATTTTGTCCAGCCGTGGGTTATTATTATGAATCATGTTTCAATATCATGTAACAAAATTACCGTGAAAAATCGGCAGTTCTGAGAATGATGCTCGATAAGTGAGGCTAGATCCGGTACCGCTAACCATTTTGGTAGTTCACGGAGGCTGGGTAAAGGAAAGCTCGGTGGAAAAGATTCATTATTGGAACATAAATGCATTATTGCACTGATGAATTGGGTTGACAAATGTGGTTTGCAAAACTACACCGATGTACCATTTCATAGTTCTCTGATTTGGATTCCTTTAGTAGCACTTCAATTGAGTGATTTCAACGTGATTGAATCTTCTTCAAAAACTTCTTTTGATGTGGATGACTTACTACCAGTATCTGATTGTTCATAATTGAAAGGCGACCTCAAAATGCTTCTTCTAATATGTTACTGCATCTCGGTGAAGCTTCTCGCCTTCAAAGAATAACATTTGGCAGCAGTTGACTTTAGCCTGATTATGAAAATGACAGTAATGGGAGCAGTCCTTAAGAAGCAAACATTGAGACTCGCACAACCAAAATGATAAAATGCTCTTCAATAGCCATTGCAATATTGTGTAATGCGTTGGTTGTTCGTTTAACACCCGGTTTTGGTAAAGGGTCAGTTTGTGACTTGGCCATTGTACCTTCGCCAGGTGGGCTGGCCTCTGAGCCGTGCCATTAGCCCCAGCCCCTACTGTATGTTAAATATGTATATTCTACTTAAGTGTTACGTCTTCTTTCTTCTTCAGGGAAGTCTCGAGGTGCTAGAATTTTGTAAAATTCAACGAAATCAGTAAAAAAGGCAAGCTATGCGAAGGATCGTGTCAACAATGACTTACCAATGAAGACCAGTAACGAACGCGGCATTTGTCAAGGTAGACTCCATAAATAGGTCAATTTGTCGTACCAATTGCAGCCCCCTGCGACTCTTCCGAAGATGAAAAAGGGCACTACTTAGACATAATACCTATATTTGACATATAAAAGGGATTGTGGCTAGTGGCTTGGCCCGGAGGCTAGCCCACCCAGCAGAGGTACAATGGAGGGCATCCAAGTGATCCCTTTTACCAAAACCGAGAGTTATACAAGCAACTAACGTATCAAACTAATGTTCAAAACTCATTGAAAGATTAGGCTTTGCAGTAAGACCTAAAGTAGGTATACTCATTAAAGTATTATTGCTCTTTAACCTGCAGGAAAAGCTGCTTTAGCTGAGATTAGATTACCCATAATTTCCCTCCCCACACGTGGGTATTGGAAGAGCACAACTGAGTACATAATAAAATATGGTACAGGACACCTACTGTAAACTGTAGCAAAGGATGAGTCAACAATCGCGTTAATGGTAAGTTTATGAAAATACTTTGGTGTAATTAAGTTCTTACGTCAAACTCACATTTTCACTCGCACTGGCTTCTGGTTTCAAACGCTGATCAATAAGACTGATTTGCAGATTGTATGATATCCCCTTATAATAGGAGTTGTATTTGGGTACGTAAATCTTAAGGAAATTCAGATTTGTATCCCTCTTGAGAGAGCGACGATGTAGGCAGAATTGCGGGGTTTGACTGGTTCAGTGCCTTCTGTCCCGGAAATGCGTCGTAGAATAAAGTGTATGTTACGCCTTCGATAAGCCTAATTTCGCAAGTACCACCAGACGTGAATACGTATTAATGCGCAAGGACATGAGGAGTAGAAGTTAGAATTCCTAACTCAGGGGGACTTAAAAGAAACTACCAATGACAGCGTGTGCCTCAGCTATCAAATGTAGTCAAAATATGCCGTCCCACGGAGCACCAGTGAAATTATATCCAAAAGTTGTTGTGTAAGTCCATGAAAATGATTAAATGAGGTCGTTTTATAAAGGAGATATACGGCGTACCCCAAAGTTGGTGCAGGCATTTCCGGAAATGAAGCATTAAGTAAAGTTGTTGAAACGCAGAGGAAAATTCATACTAGTCGAGTTAAAATAAACGTGATTTTACACACTCTGGATACTTTGTGGCAGAAACCATCGACCAAAAACATGAACCATTGTTTTATAAGCCCAAAACGCCAAATTAGACCAATGAATTATTTGGAAATATCCAATGGGTCAAATAAACCCTGCTATATCTAGAAGATACCAGTATTTGAATGAGCAGGCGTTTGGTACATTAATGTTTCTTGCGTTACTATATGATGTATTCGACCTTCAGGGCTCTATTAATTTTGGTAGAGTTCATATTTGCAGCTCTCTGACAGTGTGTGTGCTAATATATATTTGCACCTTCTTGGCCTATTATAACGTTAGGGAAGCGTTGAGTTCCTGCAGCTGGGACATGCATAAGCTACATCTCAGCTCATGGCAGTAACGATTAGCTTTACCACGAGTCCAAGCTTTTAAAATAAAGTAGTAATTGCAATTTTATGGTTTGATTATGATAAACGCATTTGCTTTTTATAACGCTACATAAACAAGTTGGACTGTATTTAAATACATGCCGGCACATTGAAAAGCCCTGCCCCTCTTTTTATCGGTGCGTTCTTTTGCAGCATGGAGAACGGGTGTGATGCGGCGGATATTCGCTCACAATTTATCGAATTTTTCAAGTCGAAAGGTCACAAATATGTACATTCTTCATCCGTTATACCCCGAAACGACCCCACTCTTCTTTTTACCAATGCTGGAATGAATCAAGTTCGTTAATATCACGAAGTCCTTACTTTAACACGTAGTGGAAACCCATAATTCAGGGTACAGTGGATCCAAATACGGAAATGGCGACGTACAAACGTGTCGTAAACTCACAGAAATGCATTCGTGCTGGTGGCAAGCACAACGACCTCGATGATGTCGGTCGTGATGTTTACCACCACACTTTTTTTGAAATGCTTGGAAATTGGTCCTTTGGTGATTATTTCAAGAGGGAGGCATGCACTTGGGCCTGGGAGCTTTTGACCAAAGTTTGGAAGCTCCCGGAAGACAGGTTTTACATCACTTACTTCGGGGGTGATAAGAAAACAAAATTGGAATCTGACGAGGAAGTGCGCCAGATCTGGATTGATTTGGGGTAAATTCATCTCAATGACTCGATATTGTCTTCAATCAGCATTCCTTCAGAACGTATCTTACCGTTTGGAATGAAAGATAATTTTTGGGAGATGGGTGAGACCGGCCCATGTGGCCCTTGTTCAGAAATTCACTATGATCGTATTGGCGGCAGAGACGCCTCAAAATATGTGAATATGGGTGATCCTGATGTTTTGGAAATCTGGAATCTTGTCTTTATGCAGTACAACAGGTGCTTATATTCTTAACGTCTATTTGCTTGTTCGTATCTTTAACCATTACCCTTCTGGTAACCAGGGAAGAAGATGGCTCATTACGTCCTCTCCCAGCAAAACATGTGGATACAGGCATGGGTCTGGAACGTATTGTCTCTGTCCTTCAGAACAGACGATCAAATTATGATACTAATTTATTCCTACCCTACTTTGAAATCATACATAAGGTAATGTGTCCACTTTTGTGTAGCTTGATACGTTGAGTTCCTCACATTTTTTAACCACGCAGTAAATGTTGTTATCCTGCTGATTGCAGTAGAATACTGGGCAAAATCTCGGTTTCTTGTTACCTAGGCTACTGGGGTCCGGCCGTATGCGGGAAAATTGGGAGAGGAGGACGAAGGCAACCTTGACTTTGCTTACCGCGTCTTGGCCGACCATGCACGCAACCTCACGATCGCGCTGAGCGACGGTGGCCAGATTTCCAATCAGGGCCGTGGCTACGTTTTGCGTCGAATCCTCCGACGGGCGATCCGCTACTCCATCGAGGTCATCGGTGCCAAACCGGGATTCTTTTCTTCCCTCGTTGATGTGGTTGTTGCCTCTCTCGGCGACGCTTTCCCTGAAGTGAAAAGGGACCCAGCAGCAGTGGGTCTTTAATTGAGGCTTCTCTATTGTCACTACTAAACATGTCTTGGTTGCCATGATAGTCTGAATTGGACTTGAGGTTACTATTTTTTGGCATTTTTACAGGTGAAAGCGTTGATTAACGAAGAGGAGCAGCAGTTCCTTTTGACACTCCGACGCGGTCAGCGGCTTTTGCAGCGAGAAGTGGAGCGTTTGAAAAAGTCACGAGTGACCACCTTGCCTGGTGCCGTAGCATGGCGACTTTATGACACCTATGGCTTCCCTCTAGATCTCACTCAGGTCATGACAAGCGAGGTTGGCATTGAGGTATGACGGTCATCAAAATTTCGTTGAGCGTGATGTATTAATACTTTTTTGCAACATAGTTCAATACAGATTATTACTTCCTCATCACCATATTTGAGATTCGCTCTCGAGATCAAACATTGCGCCGAGTTCATGAGGAAACTGTTACTTACTTGGCGTGGCTCGAGTGATTTATACAAACGCTAGATTAAGCAGTGATTTACGGTGGTACGATCATCGTTTCGAGAGATGGATAACGCCTACGCCTCTGCTTTCATGCAGGTTGACGTCGAGGGCTACGAGAAGGCGAAGGAGGAGGCCCTGCTGAAGAGTCAGGGCACCTTCGGCACTGACGTATTTGGTATTGATCTCGACGTCCACGACATCGCCGCTCTGCAGAATCGCGAAGTGCCTCTGACCGATGACAGCCTCAAGTACGAATACAGGTACAACAGCAAAAGGCACAAATATGGTGGGTACACTCACTCTGGTGATCCTTAGTTTTATCCCCTTTTGATAACTTAGTAAGAATGCGTCGTTCATTAATGCCACACGTACTGTATGACTTGCTGTTATCTACTGCCGCAGTGTTCTCGGAATACATGGCGTCGATTCTCGCAATTCGCACGGCGGAGGGCTTTGTGGAAAGTGTAGAGGGGGCAGGCACAGTGTGTGGTCTTGTCCTTGATCGCACCATTTTCTACGCCGAGGCTGGCGGACAGGCCGAAGATCACGGCTTCATCGTTAGTGAGGGGAATGATGTAAGCCGGCTTCTTCCCTGTCATCACCTTTCTCTCTTTTAGATGGAGCTTGTGAATAAACAGATTAGATTAGATTATAATTTTCGATGGAGTAGACTTATCACTTGATCACGCAATGCTTCTCCACTACCAGTACAATCAGTAAGCACCAGGAATTACTTATTTGAGACGCATGATTACTATGTTTTCTAAATACAGCATTGTTCGTTTCCAGCTAACCAAAGTTTACTTTTTGTGTACAATTTTTCGTTCCGTTAATGGCAAGTGGTATTCCATTGGCTTGAAGTACGCCATGGGTTCACGTTACTTCTTGCCACTAAAAGCGTCAATTTGAACGAATACACTTCGCGTTAAAAGATGGCTGGGATTTCTATTGCTATAATTTTTGCACTTTAATGTAATTTGCGAACTGGTTTAACGGATACCGCATTCATTCCCCTTTTGGGTCGGTCAGTATTACAATGGGGAATTTCTGAGGAAGTATTGCGGAAGCTGATTTAAACTACGGCATACTGATTGGACGCATGTATAGTGGAAGGCTTGAATGAGAGAGACTACTAAGTTTTTGGAAACAACTGTCTATCTTACCGAACTGTCAGATTTGGAGTGATTTAGAAAAGAAAGCCTGCAAAATACCAGTAACCAAAGGTGCATGTATCTTTCTGTACCTTAGGCTAACGAATTGTCCGTTTTCGGAGTGCGAAACAAGGGTGGTTTTGTGCTCCACTTGGGCCGATTAGAGGGCAGCCTCTCGCGGGGAGAAAACGTACGTATGGGGTTGGACACAGTACGCCGAGTGGGTCTCATGCGCAACCACACCGCCACCCACGTTCTCAACTTCGCTCTTCGACGCCTGTTGGGCGAGGCTGACCAGAAGGGTAGTCTTGTAGCGCCCGACCGCCTCCGCTTCGACTTCTCCACCAAGGTATGTTTTACTTCGGCCAAAAACCAGTGACCATTTTCGCATCACATGAGCTGTCAATTTCTTCTTTGAAAATTGTAGGTGTAGCGTTACGGGATCATGGTTGAGAGTACTTTACATTTTTGAGTTGTGATGCATTTTAACAGAATGTGTTTGTATTCACTCATAGCAAAAATGGAAAAATATGACCTTAGAGGCCTCACTATCATGATTACAAAACCACATATTTTCCTCTTTCATGGACTATGGTTCGGTTTATATTGTGGAGTGTCAGAGGTATGTTTGTGAATGTTTCCAAGTAGCATCCCCTCACGAAGAAGCAGGTACGTGAGACAGAGGTGATTTCACAGAAGATGATCGGATCGGCGCAGCCCATCTACGCAAAGGACGTGCACCTGGCCGATGCAAAGGCCATCCAGGGACTTCGCGCTGTTTTTGGTGAGGTATACCCCGACCCTGTCCGCGTCGTCTCCGTCGGTGTGCCGGTGGAGAAGCTAATTGCCTTCAAGTCAAGTGACAAAGCCGCTAAAACCTCTGTCGAACTTTGTGGTGGCACGTAAGTTCTCAGGTGTTATCAGGATAGATCAGTACTAATTTTTTAGCGTTTCACACCATCATTCCACAATTCTGTTCATCTGTCATTCTTTCAGGAATAAACTGGTGCTAGTTACTCATCACCAACTTTACTCATGACTTGGACCAAAACGTGAATTTTCTCCCTAATGCCATGCGCCGCCTACCACGCGTAATCTCAGCCGATTTTTCCTGGCTGAATTTTTAGCGCTCATTTGGGAATATTCTTTCTCTAATAACTAAAATCGAGGCCTGTTGTTTTATTTTATACTTCTTTTGCGGGGAAAACCAGGCGCTTATGTTTTATCTGTTTGTAACTAGGCACGTAACAAATGTAGCTCACATTGGCAAGTTCGTTATTGTCTCGGAGGAGGCCATCGCAAAGGGCATTCGGCGGATCGTCGCCGTCACCGGCCCCGAGGGTGAACGTGTCAGTTGCAAGTCCACCAGCATCTTAATCAAGCTTGCTTACCATTCACATTGCCACTTACCAAGGTCATCTCAAAAGTCACCTATATTACTAATTTCCCAAACGTTACACTCCCCAGGTTTCGCTTTCGTATGCCGAACTTTATGTAAATAACCTTTTCCATATTCAATCTGGGTGTTTTAGTGATTTATCACACTAATTGTATTTAGAACAAGTGAATTATTGGGCCCATTGGCACTGAAAAAAGTGGGTAGGTGAAGGGCTGTTGGCGCAAGAGAATCGAATGTCATTTGGCCGTTTCAGGCAGAGAAGCAGGCAAAGCACCTTCGAGCTGAAGTGGCTAAACACACTGGTGCCATTGAGAGGGCGATCTCCAACAAACAAGTGGACTTGCGTACCTGTCGTCAGTTGGCAGCCAAACTTTCTGCGGTGGCAGAGAGCGTTGACGCCGCGCAAATCGGAGTGAGTCCGCGGGAGGCGATGCGTGCGGCAATAAATGTCGCCAAAAAGCGTCTAGACGACTTTGATAAGGCCTTTAAGGCTGAGATGGCTAGTCGGGTCATGGAGGAGGCCAAAAATCTCTGCCACGGCCACACAGGTGACTTCATAGTCCACGTCTTCAATGCGGGATCCAATGCAAAAGTTCTCAACACCGCCCTGAAGGAGATAGAGAAAGCACTGCCCTCAACTGCTGTTATGGCGCTGTCATTGGATGCAGAAGACGGCGAGGTGCTCTGTCTTACTCAGGTTCCCAAGGTCAGCTTATCCAAATTGTTCTTGATGTGAACGTTTGCGCTGGTGTTTCTTAAAGTGTCGCTCTATCATAGGCGTTAGTGACACGCGGTCTGAAGGCGAACTCGTGGGTGGGATGTGTCTCTTCCCTCATCAGCGGCAAAGGTGGTGGCAGAGAAACCTCGGCTCAAGCCAGCGGGTCATCAAACGGGGTCTCTGTGGCTCAGGTGGTCGCTGCAGCAACTGAATTTGTAAAGGCGAATCTTAAGTGATCTCGGGTTTAGCACAGAGTAACCACTCAGCGCCGTTCCCCGAAATAAAGGTCTTGTACGTATGATGCAAAGATTACACTTCTTGATGGAAACTCTATTGGATGTGACTTTTTTGGGTAGGTAAGCGGTATGATCGCAATATATTCTGAAGGCGCAAGAGAGCCTCGATGGGCTGATTCAATGTTGCCCAGATGAGGCATATTGGAAGAGCCTTATTTTCCTGCAACTGGCACTTACATGTGTCCACTTGAGGGGAAAAATTGGCTTTAGGTCTAGGCTGCTACTAGCATCCAAGGAGGGCTAGTCTCGCGAAATCTTTAGCAGAATTTGTGGCATTTCCCGGACGCTACAGGCGGATGAGTGTAAGGTATTAGCCCCCAGAGTCTACAGAGGTGGACATGATTTCAAAGTCCACTGTGGCTTATGTGTAGTAAGGAGTACAGTCTTGGCATTCAACAGTGAAGTATTTAGGTCTCCATGTAAATGAAACCAGCAAAACCAGAATTACAGATATGTTTCTGGAGTTATGAGGGGGGCGTTTGCCCATCCGAACGACTACCGCGCATACCAGCAATTTGACTACCTAGTTGGGGCGTTGAATGGAGGTGAACGGTGGAGGACTCATTGGTTCGAGCTTCTTTTGCTTCCGCACTTTTTCCATATAGAGCATTCTCTTCTTCTAGAGTGGTGGCGATTAAAACACGACTAATTTACGGATTTTTCATACGTTGTACATTCCATCAAATCCTCCCAATAAATACGACAAATCTTGTCGGAATTTTGGACTCCAACTCTACTGAGACATCTAAAGGAAATCGGAAAAGGCAACGACTAACCTAAGGTAGTCACGTTCCATAATTTGGCAGAACTTTGGGCGGAATGGACGCAGGTTGGTCCCCCATGTCGTCCCAAGATGTAAGTCAGTGGCGAAGAGAGGTCTTCCAAGATAATTACCAGCAGGCTTATACGAATACGGATATCCCTTATCTAGAAAATAACTATCGAAAAGAGCTACCCGAGTGATAAGGATCTTTTGGGGAGAAAACCCGAGTCAACCACTTATCAGTGACGGATATGGGGGAAGGATAAAATCCCAAGTCTCTATCTGGCTTTGATTCCGCCTCCTCATTCAATTTACGAAGCTTTTCCGGATTCGTCTCACAGTAGGACATTTCACCCGAAGATGTATCACACAACACTAAAGTACAAAATTGGCACAAGTTGGGTTGGTGTTAGTGCCATGGGTTAACATAGACGTCTTTTAAGCATACATGAATGAATGTTGTAGAAACCTCTTTTTTGGAAGAGGAAAATTTTTTTAACAGAAGTAAAGACAAATTACGATCACTAATCAGGCAATTGCACTACTAGGAGGGCTTTTAGGGATTAAAACAGGCTGCGTTCAAAAATGGCAATCGCTCAAAGCTATCTTAGGCGAATTTCTGCATTTAAAATTTAATGCAATTTGTTTTACGTTCTGACCAGGCGGATCACTTCGGGCACGCCGTTTGATTGGCTCGACGATGGATGAAGCTCTCTCACTTGATGAGCTGATGGAGTGCAATAGTTATGTGAAAGGACGCTATTTGTCCTGCCAAAACCACCTTTGCGTTATACTTTGGGGTTCTTTCCAGAAAGCCATCTCTGAACTTGCGCGGTTATACAAAGGTGTGTTTCGTCCGTATTTGTGTCATCGTTTAGTAGTTTTCCCTGGCCACTTTTTGAGCAACGAGCGTTTGCGTTCTAGTTTTACGCAGTCGTATCCTCAACTTTAATTGCACATGCTTTTTGTCCTTTTTTTACTCTCCTTCCATCGACCTCGATATCGTGTATTAAAGAATCCTCGCATTAATGATTTTAATTCCATCTGATAACCTCTCTGTATTGCGTTAATAATATCTGGATATCATCTTCTTCCAGCACCTTTTATTTTTCGTCTATCTACTCTTTCCGTTTCTTTAGACAAGCTAGATAACCGTTGTGACAATCGATGTCTTGTTCAAGTTCTCTATCGAATCGAATCCTTCTATCAGTGTAGGTATCTTGATTAGCGATAACCCGCACATTTCAGTATCCCAAAACGTCTTGAGATATGCCAAAAACTTCGGCATTAACTTGGGTTATGATTGTCGCAGACTTTTACTTCGCGATGCTCTCCTTCTGTCCTCTACTAATGATCTCTGTGCGTATGACGTTTATGCAGCTGTTTTGCAGCCCTTTATTACTGACAATGTGGTAACTTATGGCCGCAAGCGGAAGAGGGTACAGCGTTGTAGGCGATGTTTTAAACGGCGCCAACGACTTCCGATGAAGCGCTGCTGTATTATTTCCGCAGGAAGTGAGGGAAGCATCAACGAGGTTATACAGCCATTCCTTAATCATTATGATTTCTACGCACCAAGTCTGGATCGCCATGGCAACTGGGCCGTATCTATTAGTGATATTCCGTCTGCAGCTCCTCCTGCTTTTAGTAGGTTTCATGCATTGTAACATAACTGCGTCCTCGATTGGTTAGAATATTACTCTGTTGATTAATATTTTTGTAGGCAACTGGAGGTCCTTCCTTTCCTCCGAAGCCACTGGTCCTGTCGACGCGGTGGAATTTATCATGCCCCCGGTGGATGAGCTACCACTATCTCTCTCTCAAAATCGGTCTCTAATAATTTCTCGAAGGAAGCGCCATATGGGTTTTACGGAGGATTATCACCCATACAGTGCGTTGTGTGCGTATTTTCAAAAATAACCCAGATCTATGGACTGCTTTGGTAGCTTGGGAACTGCTAAGTAACTTCGTCTGTAGGGACTGTTTAGCCATGTATTCCTCGGAAATTACTATCGGTGGAGTCCGACTACAGTTTCAGAGATACGAAATTTCGTTTTGAGCGCAAATTGTATTTTTTACTTATAATCTTTGAGGTCATATAGTTTTTTGGAGTTCTTTTGGCTATTATGTATTTTAATGACATATTCGCGCATCAAATGGTTTTCATTGGCTTTCTCCCTGTATTTGTTTAACACGACACCGAGTTTTTGAGAAATGTGTAATAGGTCTTATTGGACTGTTTATTATTATTTGAAAAGACCGACACGCCGGAAGTGCAACCAAATGCAAAGATCCGTGTCGCCAGCAAAATTAGAATGTTTCCACAGTAAATATCTACTTTCTTTCACAAGCACATAGACATCTTATTTTTATTGGAGCTCACCTTGTTAATTGCCGTTTCAATTCCCCACAGGTCTCGTCGACTCAATGTCCAAATTCTGCTTGCATTCAAATGCAAAACTTCAACGTCTTGAATCTGTGATTGACACTGACATCCACAAGGATCTCTCAAAATAACTGATCAAACTATTCGATGTAGGTAATCAACCTTTTCTTGTTTCGGTTAGTCTCAACCTCCCTCCCTTTATGTTGTCTAGAGCTGGGACCAGTTTAGAAGCGGAAACCGTTAGATTAAACCAATGTCTGGATGTGGCTGGCAGTATTCAGTCTTCAATTACAATGGCATGCTTATTAGAAAAGGCCGTAAGTACTTTGCGTTAAAATTTTCGTGAAATTCATGCCTTAACACGAAATGCCTCAAAGCAATTACACTTGTGCGCTTTAATTTTTTATCTTCATAATAACAGCGATTGCTTTTGGTGGTGGAATTCTTACTTTTTGAGGTTAGTACGCGCCTAAAGATTGTATAGGGTGTCTGTTTGCCTTATTTTTGATAATTGGTCCTAAAACAATTTGTGTTCTTTTAGGAGATACTACTTGCCTCCCTATCTTTCACTCCGGTGCAAAGAGATGTCTGGTCCAGCTTTATTTTTTATCATTATATGCAAAATACATACGGTTGTAATTTCATTAACTACCTCGGGGGGAAAATGGTGGGTCGTTTATCTCTGTTTCTGCGTCTTTCACACTTTCTACAGGCAAGTGTGCTCCTGTTCGGAAGTACCTTTGCCTTGCGAGACGCAAACCCGGATGCTGTAGGTATTTTGGATGAAGGAATTAAGCGTGTCTATTGCTGTGACATCAGTGAGGTCGGGGCTCCACAGTCTTGTCGAGCCCCTAAGCTTCAGTTCCTCACTGCGATTAGGAGCGAAAAATGGCTTTAGGGTCACGTAGGAGGAGGGGTAGTCCACACCGGGCTCCCGATTTGCGAGTTGCGGGGTGCACGTTGGTGCTTTGCAGCCGGTGAGGCCCAGTTAACTCCGCCAGATTATTTCGCCGGGGGTGGGTACGCTACTCTAGGCTCCGTTACCGAGATGTGACCTACTGATGGGATTGTGTGGTTAGTGGCTCTCCAGGGATGGAGTAGCTCTCGGTGGGGACACTGCCCTGGATCTTCACAGGCATCGGGTAGTGGAAGCTGTGGCACATGTATTTGGAAGAGGCCTCCGGAGGACCTACCTTTATTCGCCGGCATGGAGGGTTGTAAATAGCAGCAGCGTCCAATTTACAGTCTTCCATGAAGACGTGAGAATTTGGTAAAGTGGTGGGGAGTACGTTACTAACGGACGGGGATGGGAGGCTGCTAACAACCTGGAGTACAATGTGGTGAAAGGGGGGGGGGGAAACTTAAGCGAAGCATGAAGGCGTAGAGCAAACAACGCTACGAGAAACCAATTGAGATCCTAGGGTGTAGCTGATGTGACTTCGACCATGCAAAGCGATAGATGAACCAAAAATTACAGGAATACTATGCCTACAGATTGAAATCCAGAAAGGTAATTTGTTAACAGTAATTGCAGTAGCAGAGAACGAATAGATTTTCTGGGTTATTGGCCATTTTACATCGTCAGTTGAAAAATATATGGGAAAGCGATTTTGCACAACGACATGAATAAGTGATTTATGTATCGTTCTGATGAGGCGATACTATGTGATCTAACGTCTTCTTGGTATATAGGTGCTTGCGTACCGCACACACAGAGTAATTCTATGAAAAATTTTGTACCGCTTTCAAGCAAGTTTTACAACTGTATGCTTCCCTTTAAATGTACTCTGCCACAGTTTTATGCAATAAATGAACTTTGCTAGCTTGTTTTATCTTACCACCATGGGCCTCCTAGGCCAACACGTGCAGGTTATAAAAAGCGTACTCTACTTTTCCTGGTGGTCTTGATGGCGTCTGAGGGCAAGGAGAATGTCGTATGTTAATTTCCGTTAGCCTCTGCAATGAGGTTTTGATAATCCTTTTTGAAGTTTTTTGTGTTTCTAGGCTGTGGAACCTTTACTTGTTCCCAATCCTCGAAGATTCGTTGTGATGCCCATCCAATATCATGACATTTGGGAGTTTTACAAGAAAGCTGTTGCCTCCTTTTGGACAGTTGAGGAAGTCGATTTGGCGAAGGACCTCACTGATTGGGAAGGCCTTAATGATGGCGAACGTCATTTCATATCTTATGTTTTGGCTTTTTTTGCAGCCAGTGATGGCATCGTTAATGAAAATCTAACTTTGAACTTTTGTAACGAAGTCCAAATTCCCGAGGCTCGTTGTTTTTACGGGATGCAAGTCGCCGTCGAAAACATCCATTCCGAAATGTACTCTCTTCTGATTGATACCTACATTAAGGATCCAGTGGAACGCGACTTTTTGTTTAACGCCGTTCAGACGCTGCCATGTGTTGCTAAGAAAGCCGATTGGGCTCTTAGGTGGATTGCAAATAGGAAGGCTCCATACGCCGAGCGGCTAGTGGCATTCGCTGCTGTTGAAGGCGTTTTCTTTTCTGGTTCATTTGCTTCTATCTTTTGGCTCAAGAAGCGCGGTCTCATGCCAGGCCTCACCTTCAGCAACGAGTTGATCAGCCGGGATGAAGGCCTCCACACCGACTTTGCATGCCTTATTTTTAAACATATTGTCAACAAACCTACGGCAGAAAGAGTTTATGACATTATGAGGGAGGCGGTTAGCATTGAATGCGAATTTCTCACAGACGCATTACCTGTCAATCTTATTGGCATGAATTGTCGCCTAATGTGCCAATACATAAGGTTTGTTGCCGATCGGCTACTTACAGAGCTGGGATACGATAAGGTTAGCTTTTAGTTGGCGCTAGTGTTATTCCCACCTTTCCATTTATGGAGTGAACTCCCTTTTTCAGATATACAAGGATAATAACCCTTTCGATTTCATGGAGAATATCTCTCTAGAAGGGAAGACCAACTTTTTTGAGAAGCGTGTCGCAGAGTATCAACGTGCCGGCGTCATGTCGCGCATGAGAGGTGAAGACACTCACAAGTTTACTACTGATGAGGATTTCTAAGTGTTTTTTGTAATTAAATTTTTGTAACGATTAAAGCCTTTACCATTCCCCTATGAGAGTGTCTGTGGCTGCTGCGATCTTGCCTTGACCCAGGTGAAGCCTGGAAGTCAGTTTTGTAATTCGGGGAGCGATCATGGTGTCTGAAAGGCTTGAGAGAATATTATTTAGAATGGTGGGCTCTGCCCTCAGGCACCGTGTCCTGGCTTTGGGACCATTTTCCAGGGAAGGCAGCACGGCGCCTTTGCCGCTACGACGAGTATTGGGCGGTCGTCTGTGTTGAAAGGCAGTAATGGGGTTGGGATTACGGCATTTTTTAAACATATCTTTGCTAACAAGTGATCTTCGTCGTATACTAAGTCAGCGTGGGTCTTGACGAATGCAGCCCCTGGTGGGGTTTGTTAAATTCAGTCGATTACTTATTTAGGTGTAAAATATGCGATGAATGTTTTTGAATAAAGCCAGGTCTCGAACACTTGGAATAATTTGAAATAATACTGCTGTGTTCCTGAGGCTTTGCTGGCGCATCAACACCACGATCTCGGGACTTGTGATTTTACGGGTGTTTTTTGTGACTGGTCTCCTATTAGGACCCAAGTGCAGCAAGTTGCATGCCTAACTGACTTCGTGGGTCATGCCCAAGTCCTTACTCCATGACGTCATTTTCGCGCACTCTCAGTGGATTGGCTCTACCACATGCCATCCCGGCCTGCGCAAATCGTCCATCAAGGCTGCGAACCAACCCCCAAAGGCACTAGATCTAGGGAAGTCCCTTGCCGCATCTTTAGACGATGCAATTGAGCACCTACTTCAGACATTTTGGGGCAGTGAACTGTACCTATCTTATGAATTCGCATTTAATGGAGTTGAAAATTCATCTTATAACTCAATGTACATCTCAATTATCTAAAACACCCATGTTTTTCGCTCGAAAATAACCACTACCAGTGGTGAAATAGGTTCAAAGGCACACTTCTTTATGAAGGAAATAAACTTAGCGATGCTCTACTCAATATCTGCGACAAATACCTACTTCCAACCGACCCAGTTCACAGCAGTTTTTAAAAGCTTGACATTTCTTGAACTAAAGCTACGCTTTACAATTAATTCGTCCGGTCAGAAATGGTTGTATCAGTAAAGAGTGATTTTAGTCAGCATTTCAAGTAGCAGTACCGATGGAATGAAATTTGTTTTCTGGAAAAGAGAGTGTGTAGAATTCAGGCTTTAAATCTGGCGCGATTCGACAGATGCATCCAACCCATGTTCGCCTTCAATGGATGATTGGAAGACCGACTTTTTGTAAATGTTCTATCTTACTACAGCTGAATATACTTTCCCAAGAATTCAAATTACGCGGGGATCCGCAGTTTCGGATGATTGAGTACACCTCCATTGCTGAAAATGGACGGAAATATAATTAACATATGATCACACATATGCCAACAATACCCGGCGGGCCGATCAATGTTCCCTCCTTCGTGCACATTCCGGGCCTTCCACCTGTGATTGGCAGTGAGGAGGGGTCTTCCACAAGTGGATAACGGCTCATGGCCTTTGTTCAACTCCGACGGATTGAGCCCGCCGCCTTTTGGCAGCCTCAGTCGCCACGTGTTACGAAATCCATCGAGTACTGCTCCATCGGCTGCAGGTGAGTGCAAGTTGCCCCCCAAAGCGATCGGGGCACTAGCGGTGCTCCAAGTTCCTCGTTGAGGGAAGTGAGTTTATCAATCATGCAAGATTGGTGAATTGGGAAGTTAAGCAAGTAGTATGGAACACCTTAAAAACGATTGTTAGCTCGTCTTTAAAGTGAGGTGCTGTCGTGTGTAAGCATCGCGGTAATTCATTGCTCATTCAAGTCACATCATATAAATGTGTAGCATACTAATCTGACAGAAATGGAGCTATTGGTCATACCTAGACCACTAGTCCTGATCTAATCCCATAACTCCTCACTATCAGTTTTATACCCTACGCATTAAAATCACTTCCACTCTTAATATAGATATAACTCTGCTTAACTTCCTAAGCGGTCCATCCAAAATTTATCAAAAACAAATGAAAGTCATGTGGAGCTAAAGTAGGAAATGAAAAGCCGCCTTTGCCCACGTCTAGACGTGTATCCTCGTTGATGGATGCTAGGCCCACCGACCCCGGATGCTGGCGTCGCCTTGCTCAGGCTCAATTGGGGTCGCAAATTACACAGTCCGGGTGGTACGGTTTTACCATGGAATTATTTTAACACTTCAAGGGCAGGAAATGGTCCAACGTATCACGTGACCCACATTTGTTTACTAACCCGTCACTCAAATAAATTTCTATGATCGGATTTCAGTCTTACCTTTTTTCACAACTATGGGAAGTCTTTTACGGTAGCATTTTCCTCTGCACAATAAAATGGAAGGAAATGTAGTGTATTGTACTTCAAAAAACCCACTAAGCGGCTGCATTACATGTATCTATTGCGATTTTTGTGGTTTAAGTAATGCGGGCGTGGATTGAGACAGCCGATAAGAGGGGAATAATTTGAAATTGAATACATGCGTTGCAGCATATGCACAAATAAACCCTTGGGGGTACGGACTCGTCGATGGGGCCAATACAACCTACAGTTACGACAACAGTGATTCTACCATGAAAGTGCTTCCATGCGGCGACGGTCGCGACTTGAGTTGAATCAATCATAAGAAACAGGGAAGCAAATTAGTGGTCAAAAGTAGGTTTCTTTTGGATATTTGCGATCATATTCTTGAACAAGCATATTGATGCAATTTAAGCGCGCACATATTAAAGGATAATTTTTTCTCATTTTTAGCTATACTCGTTGGGAATTAATGCACGCAATAAGGCAAAATTACCTGTAAATTGAGACGGCTTTTGGTACCACAGATCTTAGGGCACGCACTTATTCCAAAATTCTCCATGAAGAACAGTTTTCGTGGTATACGAAACCGTAAAGTCATTTAAATTTTGTCGCCGATTTCGCTGCGTGGAATTAATGTTATTTGAGCAAATGCTTGCTAAAACTCATTGCAATTCTTTAACCTCTTATTTAACTGCCGATTTTGGTCGCGGGAAGCTTAAGTGCTCCACTATTGTACCTTCACCACTGAGCCTGTGATCCGGGCCTTTCCAGTAGGCTCAAGCCCTACTATACGCAACAACACATATTCTGCCAGATTATTGTCATCTTTCGTGTTCAGAGAAGTCTCAAGGCGCTACATTACCTGTGTATCCTATCCTAGAATCCAGATTTTATATGATAATTTGAAGGTGTTATATTTCACTGTGGAAAATTAATTGTGGACCCAAAAGAAAAGTTCACTAAATACTTACAATTCAAGCATTACCTGAACCCCGATTACTCCCATTAAATAAGAAAATATTTCTGAGAATGATATGACGCATAATAAAGCGTCAGCATACTTCAACACACTTAGAACGTTTATGGACAAGTGACGCCATTAACCTCGTACAAGCAAAGCGCGATCAGTACTGGACGATATCGATGTTGTGGTCAATGTCATTTCATTGAGGAGGCACTTCGGTCTCTGCAGTTTGTACACTTGTTTGATAGAATGGTTCTCCACCCACTCGCACAGCCCCTAATCCTCACATAAATTTATAATATAATATTCTTTTACATTAGTGTGCCCCATTACGGTTCCAGAGATTTGTGGCGCCCCATGTCTATCTTAAATTCGCATTAAGCCAAAGTTCTGTTGAGGAACGCACACAACTAACATACAGTAGAGTCAAAAGGTCACTGGCATGATCTGGAGGCCATATCATAGAGCAGAGGTCAGAGTACCCGCGGAGTTCGGGATGCAGCTAAAATAAGTTCTAAATCACCATATAAATACACCGTTTGTGCAGTTGCATTGCCTTGTAGGACCAGGAGAAACAGACACATGTTAGTGCTCACGTACCCCTATAATATATGTATATTTTTGATACACCTTAAGGATAGCAACAAAGCGAGCCCTAAAAAGGGAAGGTGGAATTGCTGCACTCACTATTTTACCGATGACAAATTAGGAGCAAATGCGTTTGTTTAAGACGACGCTCAGGTAAAACAAAATAATTAGGTATGTAGGCGAAATCATTTTTGCTTAACGCAGCAAGAAGTAGTGCAGTGAAAATATTATATTTGAGGCGAACTTGTTTGAATGACTGGTCTAATAGGTCTTCATCCCTAAACAGACCAATCAGCGTTCTAGCACAGCTTGTTTGCCACTTACTGTCCTGGTTTGATGGTCTGTTGGGTCTCTACTACTCTGAGAAGACCATTTTTACCGTGGAGGGCATTACATTTTATGACACTTGTCTCAAGTTAATGTTCTAAGGTTAGTATTATCCTTGGTTCTCTCAGTTACGCACGCAGTTGTGGCAAAAATTCGGCAATAATGTCGGCAATCACTGCAAGCATTTCGAAACCTCAGTCTTCTTCGCATCGGGCTGTGGCTTTACTTAAATACCGGCCGAAATGTGATGACGAACTTTGTCTCACCACTGGCCAAGCAGTTCAGGTTATCTATGTGTGATACTTTTTCGTTTTTCAGAAGCGTTATATACCATTGCGGTCTTTGGGCCTTATTGCTTTTCCATCTTTCTATGTGAAGTAATGTTTAGGTATGTCTTTACTTAGCATAAATGATGACCAAATTTGGCCTTGGGACTTCATTCACATTTTTGGCCCATGTTTATTACTTTACACACTCCACTAATTTTTGGTTAGTTTACCATTGCCTGACATGTTTATTTTTAGGAGGAATTTTGGTTTTTTGGGACGGCGAATCATTTGCGTTATTCACCAAACCTGACCAGAAATGTGTTCACTTACATTTATCTAGTCGTTGAAATTTTGCCTCTTTGAGTAAACATGCATCCTGATTAAGCCCAACTTTATTTTTAGTTTTCACATGTCTCGCTTTTTGTTAGGTTTTATCTATCGATCCTAAAGTGTCAGGAAGTGAGGGTTGGTGGGTTGGCCAGGACAGTTACGGGAAAGTCGGTGTTTTCCCCGCCAACTACGTTCAGCTCCAGGTGGCTAGCCCTGAAAGTGATGACAACCGTCTCCAAAGCTACTGTAATCTGTCAGAGGGACATAACTCCTCACTGCGGGACTCTTCTTGCTCCTTTCCCATGGATGGAACTCTTGTCCCCAACCGTGTTCCTACACCACTTTTGCTCACGGACTCAGTACGTGGAACCGGAGATGGCGATGGAGATTTTCGGATACGTCAAAACGGCAAGGTCGATGATTTGAAGGAAAGCTTGTCACATCTACGGGTCATTAAATTTGAGGACATCAAACTTGGGGAGGTAAGTGGCTCTTTCCTTTTCCGTCATTTGATTTTCTGAGACGTATGCCAACATCTTTGCATAATTCGTGGCTATTAATTATGGATACTCAACTCCTGCATATTTGATACCTTAATTTCATGCCTGATCCGTTATCATGTCGACTTTTATCAAATGTGACGATAACTCATCGAATGTAAAGTGAAGTGTTTCTTCATTCCTTACTTTTTCGTCCGATGTAACTAGCCTTTCATGCTTTTTTATTAAGTGCATGGAAAGAGTCAAACTTTTTTGTGGTAATTCTGCATCCCTAAGCGAGGCATTTGACTGGTATGATTTTCTTAAAACGCTTGAATTTAAACTGTCAATAGTTTACCGCGCATCGACTAGTTAGTGACTACAGCAATGTGCAATCTTTCGGCAGGCGCCTTGATTAAAACATGCCGACTTCACCGGACAGATATATCTCGTGGTTGTTGAATGCATTCTTGCTAAAAATTGGTGCCCTTTTCATTTTTGATCTTGATAAAGTAAATTCATCCATAATTGCCTCATCACCGCATCATTTTTGAGATGGTTGCCTCATATTGTTTACGCGCTGGAGAAGCATTTCTACCTCTAAATTTGAATTGGAGTGTTGATTGTGGTTTCCTTCCAGATCGCACGACCTATGCGTATTCCATACATTTAAAGTATGGAGGTAATTGAAGGTTGCCTCTTTCTAGATAGGAGCCACGCGCACTCGCGTGTGCATCACCGGTTGGATGGATGGGGATTATGCATGCAAAGTGCGCACAATCTAAATTAACTTTGGTAAACGTGTACTTACAAGCACTTGCTTAAACACCAGAAGGGATTGAAATAACAGGAACTTAGTGTCATTTCAAAGTCTATTTTCAGAAATCAGTGGCAAAACTGTTTACGGTTATAATCCTTGTCTGGAGGTGTTTTATGAGCATTGCAGTAGTGCATAAATCATGCAAAATTGGACGTACATTTCTTGATTACTTTGCCCCTTTTAGCTAAGTGCGTAGTCATTCAATAATTTCGGGATCCTACCTTTCGAAGCTCGCCGTTTTTGTGTCTTGAATAGGTACATTGAAACGTAAGCCGAAAATGCGAGCTTCATTGAAAGCTACATTGTCGCTATATTTCCGGTTTCCACTTAGGTCTGCCGGTGTTTGCTCAATTCTGTGGGTTGCTATTTTGCTAAAATGTTTGTTTTCTTTTCCCACATCACATCACAGCTTACCCTGAATTTGTTTGTCTTAACAAAGGCGGCTAAACCCTTTTATTTTATGCACATTCATGTAAGCGCATGTATATTATCTGCTTACGCGCACAAAACGGTATTTACACGCAATGCTTCAAGCGTGGCTTTGGATACCCACTTTTACTACTTTCCTATATTTAACGGTGGAAGTTTCAAAACCAGACTTGTTCTCAGTTCCGTGAATGTGTATAATTTCCATCCATCTTCTCGAGGCGGTATTTACTGCAAATGAAATACAAAACTCACCCATTAATTGAACGCATGAATCTAGAATATGTGATTTATTAAGTGATGAAATGTCAATTTTATTTGAAAATGTATGATATTACATACACTAGGATTCTGTTGGGATTGAACTTGTCTAAGTTGTTACCCATATTTTTGGTGCTACAAAATTGATGCCTGATCGAAGCTGATTTCCATAGTTGAGTACCTGTTAATTATAGCATTCAAACAATCATTAACCTTCTTCAAAAGTTTAGCTCAGGCACACTTTCAAATGCCCTTTAAGCTCAAGTAAAACTATGACAGACTTTTCTCCTCTAGTTCATTTTGATTCTGAAATGCGCAACATTGCAGTGGTTTTGATGGAGCAAGGTCGTTTGATTTGTCTTTGGTGCAGTACTATTTTTTGGTAGGTTCCGGTTAGTTATGATGAATTATTGTAATACACAAGTCTTTGAAGTTACTTTAAATAATTGGCACTTAAAAGATACTGAAGTTTTTTCTTCATTTTGGCTTTAAAGGTCATCGTCCTTGCATTGGCACTTTTTGCCACCTCTAATTTATTTAACCTCATTCCATTTCGGGGGTTATTAAGCAATCCGTCTCACGATTTGCACTTAGGCTTTCCCATAGAAATCTGGAAAATATACATGGGAAGGTTCAAATTTTCCTGCATGTTTTAGTTAAGTTTGTTTTCAGAAACCAGGCGAATTACATGACTTAACTCTTGCCGCGTTTTTAATTGCGATTGTACTTCACTTCGGCTAGACACCCGGAAGCTTGGCAAGATTGAACCCCTTTTTGTGAGGGGTCTAGAAGGATTTCCTGAACACTTGCGTGCACGCATTAAACAGGGAATTTACGAATTTTTTTTGCTTGAAACCCACTATTCTGCATTACGTTTCAGTGATTCAAGCGTCCAACTGTCTTCACAGTTTTTGAGGACGTTAGCATATGCACACTTATGTAACACTATTCCTGTGCTGCACCAGCCGCACCTATCAACCAGGTGGACCGTGTTTTGGGTCGCTATCACTGGCTTACTACATTTTAACTCTCAGTCTCACTCCATCACTCTGTGGACACGTTTGTCCAATGGTTGCTCAAATGGCAGGAATTTGTTGAGCATATACTTGCACTCTTAATCTAACCCCAAAAGAAGTTTATTTTGGATGAAAATCTTTAAATGAAGCGTATATATAGGTTGGCTTTGATTACGATTGGCCGGTCGGCCTCATTCCGTAATCCGCACGAACTTGTGCGTGTGCTAATTCCGCTTTCTTCATGGTGACCTTTACTAACGACAACCCTTCAGTGCCGAGTGAATACCGTTATCAGTAATCACGACTCGACTATGTTTATGCTTTTTTCCTCATTTCCCATCACTAAGTGCCCCGTCAGTCGTTTTTCGTCTTCGCTTTTGGGTCTCTTTATTTTCTTTTACTAATCCGCTTGACTCCTCACCCCTAAGGTCTCGTGTCCAGCCACTTGGAACAGTTTCTTAGTACCATGTCAGATTAGGTGTATCTAAATGATTACTCTGCCTTCAAATTTTGTTTAAGAATGGGTTGATTGCAAGTCTTTGACAGTGCCTGTTTCAACTGTCAAGCTTGTCATTACTCCTGAAGTACACGGACTCTAACAAATGGGTGGGGAGCTTCTCACACATCCCCAGGTAAATGCTAACGGGGACACTTAAGAGCCTGGCTTCCTACCTGTCTTGTTGTTTCTTCATCAGGTTAATAGCAACGGCTAAGGCATCCAGGTTGGACATTCATAAGGAAAAGACTCCTTTTGAAAGGCAGTCTACTTAGTCCAATTCCATGAGTGAATGTTTCAATGTCCTACACCTACATGCTAATTTATAGTAGAAGTTAATGCTTCTATCAATGGTTTAATGTAAATTAAAATAATTAGTGTTCTTCTTTTCCTAACCAAAAAACCAAAATATTCCATTCCATCCACTTGAAACATACATTGTAAACATAACTGATGAATTTAAAATCTTCTTTATTTGACATAGCTGGCCGTATCCGTTTTGTCTGTCTTCATTTCTGTCAGTTTGATGGCCTTATTTTCTTCGCGAAATTGCTCTTAATGGTGAAGATGGGTTACACCTTTAAAAGGGGGTTAAATGTGACGTTTATCCGATAGCGAAATGGTAGCCACTTCCCTATTTCCTTTACCCTTCAGGTAAATTATGGAAAAGCACTCCCTTATCATTGATATTAATTGTGGATTATCGAGCAATTGACTTTGTTCTTATCACAGTAGTCGAAACTAGAGCTATTTGACTGATATCTTCATTTACGTTTTGGCTGTTTTAAAGCGTTTTCAGGGGTTCTGGATCTTCACGATGGTAATCATAATTACCATGTTCCGTGGCTTTAGTTCTGCTTAAGTGTTCAAAGTCTCGTGCTGATTCAAAGTCACGGACAATTGCAAAATTGGCCTGCTGTCTGATACACAATATCACTTTTGCCGCTTTTGTGACCATCAGTTGTGTCAACCTTATTGCTTTCTTTATTGATGGGATGGTAAATCGTCAGAAGTTTGGTGAGATTTGAAATTAGAAAAAGTTATGCCCTTGTTAAATTAAAATTCGTAGCACACCTAAATAGCATTTGTGGCAGTCTCAATTACATTTGAACTCTCGAGATTTTGGCACAACAATCTGAAAAAAACCTTTATTCTCTCTGGTTATTTAATTCAAAAGTCTAGTAATAGAAATGCAGTTGCTGAATATACGCTCCTGATTAATAAGTTTTATTTAAATATTTTTGTTGTTTTTCGCTACTCCTATGCATTTTACCTCTACCTATCCAAGTCAGATTATCGACGACACGCGTTTTTGGCTACAAAGATGTAGACGACTGTAAAAACCATACTTCTTCGGTGCTCTTTTGTGCTTGCCACTTGCATCACATTTCTAGTCACATGATTACATGATGTTTGAGATGTGCCTTTTGGGAAGATAGCGCGTTGCTTTGTGGTTTTGATGTATTGATGACGGTGGGACTGCAATATTGTGAAAATATTGTTATTTATAACATGATCACGATTTTGTGTGAAGTGCCTGCATGATTATTTGGTTTGAAATATTATCTGAACTTAGGCTTCCTATTTTGTGCAGTGTAGTTTCGTAAGTTTATAGACTCGTTATCTGCATGTAATCGTCTTGTGACGTCCATACTTAAGTGTATGCGTGTTTGGTTGTTAGGTTTGGTCAATGGATAAAGCGAAACAATAGTATTTTAGGAATAAAAGAGAAGGTGTACCTACTTAACATCGTTCCTGCTAGTTGGTTAACATTTTTCTTATTTTATCCAGTTAAATTGATCAGAATGTACACATAAAGGTAAGGTCCATGGGTCTAGTGTCAAAACCATAATGCGATGATGACTGGTACCATTTTTTCGGTGGTGCTATTGAATGGGCCTTTTTGCTCAACTTGATTTGTCACAAGGTCGCGTTTCCGTTCCCTTATTTTCCTTTAGCATCGCCGAGATCTCCGTAAATATGTACGAACTCGTCCGTGGGCATATCAGCAAATGCATTAGCACAGTACCTTAATTTTTAACTGCCAAATCTATTGCACCTTTTAACCATATATTTATAAGTTTTTATTAGAGATTATAGGGTTTTTGGACCCATAAATTATTTAATTTGAATAATTTTGGTGCAGGTCATCACAATATGGATTTATTCACACTGTGTTCAAGGGCACATTGATTCCACTATGGGGACAAAGTTAGAATTGTGATTAAAACATGGGCTTCGCACTTACTTTGATTACCCTTTTATGTGTTCATGTGACTGGTTTTTGCGAGTAGAGGCGAATACAACCTACTTGTTCACTCTCCCTCATCCGCGAATTCATTCTGATCGCAGGTCTCTTACTCTACCCGAATGAAGGCTGCATTCATTCTCTTCTCACTTACTCAGGCGTCATTTACTTTTAAGCAAATTTTTCTCAGTGAAAAAATTAACCAAACTCGTGTTAATTGGATTACTGTTCTTTTTGGAGGTCTTGTCTGTTCCTCATTTGCTAGGCTCAACGCACCTTCTCTCTTGTTATTCTTTTTAGTTTAACTGACGTCAAGCAGGAAGCGCACTCAGTTGCATTGTGAATCCTTGAGTTTAATGTCAACCTTTTTTCCTTCAGTCTATCGGCGCGGGCTCCTTCGGAACGGTATACAGGGGCACATGGCAAGAAAAAACCGTTGCGCTCAAAGTTTATCATCAGGCGTCTAGTCAAGTAAGTAATTTAATCTTTACTTCATTCTTCATGATCATGATGGTAGTCGTGAAGTGTTTGTCTTTTGGTTATGGTAAAATGGGGGGGAAGGGGGGGGGGAGAATAGGATAATCAACACTGGGGCTAAATCAACTTCAGAATTCTATGCAAATTGCTACTCCTTAGGCGTAGAACTAAATACCAATCACAATTATTACATCGACACAAAGTGGTTTGCATCACCTTTTAACTTAATTACAGACATAAGAAAATCTCTTAATAAAAAGTATTTTTAGCAATTATTGTGCCTGTACAGATTGTTCATGTAAAATTGTTATATGCTGTAATTCTTTATCTAACGACTAATCGGGCTTCGCAGACCTGAGTTTGAGTGGGTGATTTATTACCATAAGCATATCTATTTTGCACTGCTCGTTTTCTTTTTTTAAAGACTTTTTCTGAGGCAGTGTTTTTAAACTTTGTTTGTTTGTTTTCTTTTCTCTATGCAAATATACACCACAATCCTTTTTTGCACATTTTAGTGCCAACATGTTTACTCCCGAGAATCACCTTTGAGCAGGAATTAGTTCAGAAGCACTGCTACCAAGTTGGGCTTACGAGTAGCGATTTAATAAATACATTTTTGCGCACCACGATTGTGCGCAGTTGTGTGTGGTGCATAGTGAAAATGTCAGCCTCTCGTCTTGGGTGGCTGTATCTCCTTGATTTTGGGTCATTGTTGTTATTTTTACTGCTTCAGTTCCTTCTAATAAAAAGTAGAACATTACCATTGTTATTCATTGGCCTCTTCAAAAAAATTCCGAACTAGGTTCTGCTTTTTATTCAAAATCTACTACCGGTGTGTCTGACATTCCCATTGATTGAAATGCACTAATTAGGAACCGAGGAATTGGAGGACGCCCGTCTTTCCTTTCCTTTCAGCAAATGAACGAGTTTTGCTTAGGTATGTACTCTCCTAATTTGTCTTTAGACCGCATTGCTTGTGTTTATTGAAGTGAATTAAAAGTGGTGCTCGAGAGAGTTTCTCTTTTGACGAGCTGTAGTCCTCCTTGCAAGATCTTTCCATCACCTTTACTACGGGTAGTTTGACTTCTAACAAAATTTTAAAATAATTTTGTGCATATAATGAGGCTGTGAGTTTTGTTTCATCTTAAGCCTTCATCTGTAGTTCATCTGAAGTGATAAAATAGTATCAAGTATTTCATGGCTGCATAAATTTTTTGCCTTACAGTTATATCAAAGTTGCTTTTCCTGAGTTCTTCCGTTTAATCTAATCAAGCGACTTATTTTTGCCGTGTATAGACTTGCTTTATGCCTAAGCAACAGTCACCACTTTGGTCAGTTTTTGATGTTGCAGGGGCAGCGTTTATTCTTGGCTGCGTCTTTATGGGTTGGTGCCACAGTACCACCGAAGCTCGTGCACAGACGCGTCCATCGAATTGTAATAAGATCGTATTTTAGTGATTTACAATGGTTTGAACGTTATTTGATAATTTACGAATTCTTGCTTTTTGTTCCAGACCAGTACTTTTGAAAAAAATTCTGATTTATGGAGCGGTCCCTACCTTCGCCCAGACGTACTTGAAGTTGGTATTTTAACACACAGGCAAATAAAAGTCCGTCTCAAAACTATCGAATTCGCCGGGCAGAATCTATTCACTCCAAATGACCCGATAATTTTGCGTAAAATTGAGCTGCCTTTATTCATAGAAGCTGCTAAATAGCTGTTACCACTACCCGAGCGCCGTATTAATGGCTAATCGCAAGTTTTCTATGGTGTTCATTGCTTTTTGCGGATGTGCGTGGGTACGTAGAGCTAACTCTGTTATTCGTATTTAGGATAAAGAGCACAATTCGCGTAGGTTTTGCACTTGCTCCAGCATTATTTTTACTTTCCTCGTTGTAAAATGTACCTATTTTTATTCTGGGATTCTTCCTTTTGATGTGAGTTTGCGGCTTCATCGATACCCTCCTCATCTAACGTCATGGGCCCTACAAACCATATTTACCCCCTTTTCCTTTTTTATTTGTGGCACACTAGTGTAGTTGTGAAGGTCCTCAATGCTGCCAATTAATCAGTGGTGCTTCCGTGGTCTTATGCACCAATGGAAATGTGTCTGCGTTTCCTGCGAATCATTTATCCAAACTTAATTTTTACATTACTCACTATTGAGCTGCCCTCTTAGGCTACCCATCCTCCTCTCGATTTTATACAGCCGATCTGTGATTTGTTTAATTTGTCGAGACCCCATGAGATCAGCTTCCTACGAGTTTACTCGAATTGGGCCGTACATCTATTTGATTACATTTACATTTAAAGAATTTAGGTTATTATCTCTTTGAGGATTTTCCCATTTTGGTGCATCCAACCACAAAGTATAGTTTGCCAAGTCAACCCTCCATGTAGGTTTACCCAATAATTAGTCAAGTATCCGACTTTCTTTGCAAGGTCAGTTTATCTGTCTAGTTGACCCTTGCGCCATTTGATCAAATGCCCTTTTCGGACGTGGCGCTAGTCTGCTTTTGCACAGATTGCATATAATTGTAAAAATTATGCTAAATATGCTAAACTGATAATAGGTGTGAAGGTAAAAGTCTTGAAAACCTTATGCATCTGTTCGTTTGACGCCTCTCTTTTATTTGGCGGTAAGGTTCTGCATCGTGAGTGCTAACAGAGGGCTGTCGAATTTTTTCTGCACGTGCGTGTACGCGTAGTATATAATAAAATGGTTCACTAATTCGGGTGTGATTTTGCTATTTATTTATCAAGCCATCATACGAGCAATTTGGATAGCGGTGCTAATTTGATTCTATGAAAGTCCTTCCACTTTATCTATCTTGGGCCCATTTTTTCTAAAAACAAAGCCTTCAGGAGCTAAAAATAAGCCTAAATGAACATAACTGAGCGACAATTTTGATTGAAATCGTCAAACAACAGTGCCCTTCGATTAGGAAAAGTACCACAGTATTTCAGAAGCCCAACTCTTGGGAGCTTCTAATCCGCGTAGGCCAAAAATTATACTGACTATGCTGTGTATTGAAAAAATTGTATACGAGATTTGATCTGACTGTTTCGGTGATCCCCAAGAAGATTTGTGATTTTTTTTTATTTCCAGCGATAAGCGTCCTCAGACACATTCATTTCTGTTTGTGACATTTGTTCGTATGCTTAACTGTATCTAACATTTTGGTCAATAAAAGGGATTTTTTATATATTTGACTTGTCCCCTATTGCAACGCTTCTTTCCAAAATCCTCTGCCGTTTACGCTTTCTAAAGCACTGTGTGTTGGCAAGGTATTGCATAAATGACCTTGATGTGCGTGTTTGGTCTCTCTAGGGGTATTTTACTCCAGAGCAATTATTTCGTGAATGTTATGATAGATTATTATCGCAAAACGTGGGAATTCCAATCCGGGAATCTGAACTCTGCTTTCTGTTATTGTTCGCATTTTTGAGTAGTCGGCATTCTTATGAGTGATTTGTTCTGTTTCAAAGTCATGCTGGTTTAATGAATCCCTACAAATTCCAGCATAAAACACGTTCGTCTTTCCTATAATATTTACTTTACATTTAACCGAAATCAATCGCCATTACCCGTAATCTCTAGCACTTTGAATAATAAAGCTTGGATTAAAAGAGGATTTTGTGAATAAGCTTAGTTATTACTGCCCGATGTCCATCTCTGGGCCCATGAATCTCTGTAATTTTTCAACTGATGTATCATTGGAGCTGAGCTGCGCTTATTTGTAAATGTAACTCGTTGGCCTACATTCCCCTCAATTACATGTAAATTATGATTCACCTCCTTCATCGGGTGGGCTTCAGTGTTCCGGTCCTAAAACGTTTCCAGACGAAGGAAAGCAGGAGCAGGCAGTTGCATTATTCGCGTCGCCGTCCATGATTTATCCCATTTTGTGCTTCTTCATGCCTTGCCAGCTTCCCAAAGTCTGTCAAATTCCACGATAGCAATATCAATTACTTGGCTTCAAAATGAATTTCTGTGATTTGCGTCACTGAGCGAATGCTAATCATATCAGCGGAAGTGGCAGTGGTGGTGCTGTTGCCGCACTTTATTCAGTTTTTCATCAAAATGTCTTCCCTTTTTTCTCCATCAATTTTGTACTCTCCTAGTGTAAAACCATCTTGCACCCTGCCCGTTTCGTAAACAGAAGCAGCCTGGTTGACCGTTGACGATTAGAGCCTTCGTTGTTTATTTTATGCAGCTTGGTTTCGTTTCCTTTGAAGTTGAATGGGCAACACTGATGTCTGGCGTGTGTGTGCGTTCCTAATGTTGCGCTGCTTGTGCGTGCGGCACCATCCCTTTGAAGTGACTTTAGTGACCAACATACTGGCTCTCATGGTGCTCCCCTTTTTTTAATGTCAGTGGTAGCAGCAATAACAGATAGGCGTACTGAATGCGAAATATTGTCCTAATCAATCCCAAGGCACTATCTTACTTGTTTTTTTTTCATTCTATGAGTAATCATATGTTTATGTACTACTCCTATAATTTTTGTTTCAATGAAACATTGCTTATTAAGCAATCTAGTCTATAATTCCGCTTCGTCTTCCGATCGAAATGGATATAGTGAATATAAAAGTACAGATGCTAACCCACTATTGCTGGTAATGCTGGTAATAATCCTAGTTTTAGCATTCTCATGAGTTTTGAGAAAAATTGAATAGCGTAACTGTCAAAATTACGTATAATAGTACAATTTGTTGCTACTTGCTTTTGACCGAACAGTGTTTGCCATCATAAGTGTTCTCAAAGAGCCGAAATAAGTAGCCGCAAATTCTGCTTGGAATGCGTGTTGCAGGGATACGGCCAGTTTTATTGTTGCATGTGACTGATTTTATCTCCCCTAGTCTACGGAATCGCGCATGTGCGCATTTGTCTGGTTAAATTCTCGCATTGCGAACCGACGATCCTAATTTTCATTCGTTTTAAAACTTTTCCACTTGAGTTCATCTTTGATAAACGTCCTTATCCAACAAGTTATCACATCGATTTTCTACAAGTGCTGGATGAAATTGTTGGAGGACGAGGGCCTGTACTTGCCCTGCGAGGCCGTTTGGTAGACAAGAATCCTGTGCTTGAATCAGGCTTCAGTAAATACGCCTTATAGTAATGCTCAGGTCTTCTGAAGGTGTGTGCTCAAGTAAATTTGACGCTTCCCAAAGTATTTTCCGCAATGCAGTGAATAATGATTAATGAACTCACAACTCAGAGCACCATGTTCTACGCACAAATTTTCTTCATTCATTCAGCACTTTATATCAATTTGTAAGGAATTTGCAATTTTTTTATAAAAAGATCCAACACTGCAGTCTCCTTTTCCGGTATAGGTTTTGTTTGCATCTGTGGTTGGCGAGATCGAGTTAAAAGACTTTTTGGGTTTCTAGCAATTGTGTATGACTACTATCCTTTATTGGTACCTGCTATATCAGCTTAGTTGCCTTCCTCATCATCAACTGTGTAATTAACAGTCCTCTCATCTGTTTCTTCCGGTTTCCACAACCTCGGTCAAATATACCAAGAAAATCTGGTTCCCGATATCCTTTGCCTCGGATTTCTGTATCGTTCTCTGTAAAAACGCTTTACCATGTACACCCTCGGTGATTAGCTTACTGTTTAATAAGTTAACTGTACATTTCCTCACAAAAATGTAGATTCAGCGTGAGGCCTTCAATCTGGGTCAGCTGGCGCACCGAAACGTAGTGGAGTTCTTCGGTCTGTGGGAGACCCAAGAGACGATCAGCCATTTACCCGCCCTGGTGATGGAGTTCGCTCACGGAGGCGCTCTCCACACCGTTGTGCGTCGGCGACCCACCATCCGACCCCTCACTCTCGCTGATTGGGCCCTTCAAATCGCCGAGGGCATGCGCTACCTCCACGAGTGTGCCGGTCTCGTCCATAGGGATCTGAAAACTGCTAACAGTGGGTCCACCCGTCTAGGCGCCTGAGTTGCTATTGGATAGAGACTAACGCGTAGAATTTATGAAGTACTGAATTGTGTATAATTCAAATATTATACAGCTTCCATGGCAAATTAGACACTATTAACTGCATGGGATAATTGGATAGGTTAAAACGGCGCACGAGAAAGTAGATGTTAGATTTTTATCCCTGGAAAGAGGAATTTCCCTATATTAGACTTAAAAACTAGATAGTCTATTTAAAGGAAAGACATATTTTGGGCAAAATCCTACATCTTCCGAGTTTTGGAAGAAACATTGAGGTCAATAAGAGTTCTTACAATTACCAACAAAACTCCAGTTGCCTACAATAGGTAATAACGAATTTCCTTAGTAACCTTATCATGATCGTTCGTAAGCCCAGTTCTATTGCTGTCTTGGTATTTCCTCCCAGATTATTATAGCGTAGCAGAGTGCCAGTTTTTAATGTTTTCGTCGTTGGTCATAGTTTCATTAGACGCCTTATATGGGGAACTATTTTTTATTGATTGAGATCTTGACCTATTATTAACATTTTAGGAATTAACTTCAAGAAATTTAATACCAAGATTTAGTTCAACCTCCACTTAAGTCTTTCGTTGGGTTTCCGCAACTTTAGTTCCCACGTCATTGCTTGTGGAATTTATTTTCCCATTAGATTTCCTCGAAATTCTATTGCGACGCCTCCTGTAATGCCTTCAATTACTATAACTCAGCAAGAAAATTTCGCTGGGACATTCTCGTAGACGCATTTAAGGCGCAGGTATCTCTGAATGACGATATAATAGGCTGTGCTGTCTTTAGTGCAAGCCACTGAGGTTCCCACTGTTACTGACTTCGCAAAGTTTGAGCCATAGTTTATTTTATAAGTTTTTTTTCTATGAAGTCTCTCGGTTACTGTCTCGTTCACATGTTTGATTGCTCCTATTTTGTCGCGCAAAGTAGTTATCCTAGTTGACGTTAGTTATAAACAACCAGACGTGTTTCAGCCTTTGCACAACTGAATAAAACTTGAAATCTAGTGGTGTCTGATTTAGCGTTCTTTTCAAGCAAGAATTTGCAGGATATCGCTTTTCTTAGAGAGTTTAGGTGTCAACTAGTTGCCTAGTTTTTTGCCTATGTTCACTTAGCAAGAGATACCTTTTCGTGAAGAAAATCTATGGCAGTTACTGTCTGAGTCTGCTCGCGTCCCGCATGAAAGTTTTTTTCCCCTTCATGAGGGCCCGCAAAGGACAGTCTGAAGCATCTACCTTTCAGCAGGCTGAAACCTCTGCCGTCTATCTAAATCCAATTTGATTATTGGAATTGCCCAAAACCGAGCGTGATGATTTTTGCACATGCTTTAAAGAACACTTGAATGCGTATTTAAAACTGATTTCTAATGCCGAGTATTTTCCACAGTTCTCATTCGCGAGCCTCTGGTTGCCTCCCCCGGGCCAGATGATCTGATACGCAAGACCCTGATCATCTCCGACTTCGGCATGTCCTGTCCCACTGACATCATTGATTCTTGCGTTTCTGGTATCGGTACGGCTGCCTATGCTGCTCCGGAGGTCATTTGCATGGTAATGCATTGCGCACTGCAATGGCACAGGAGTACCCTCTCATTCAAATTAAATAATCATTTTCACGTGTACATTTTTTGTGCTTCATAGACCGTCTTGATGGCTTCACGTCTCGATTGATGCGGTGATTAACTAACCTTAGACATCGAGAGTGTTTATAGAGTCGCGTTAGTTTGAACGTCCTTCCTTCCAGTAATGTGAATAGACTTTCTGTCGTAACCATCAAAGTTCACGGAGTTGAATGCTTTGGTGCCTATTGGAGACAAGTGATTCAAATTGCCTTGATAACATCAACAAACAGTTGTGAATACATTTTAAGGAATGATCCTTCGATGGACAAAACTTAGGCGACATTGTTTTGTGTAGGATAGCGAATAGTAGAGAAACCGTCTTGATAAAGCTTCCCTAAAAGTCGTAACTTTAGTGCAGGCGATTATACTTCTACACTTCTTATTTTCCTGACAATTTAGTGTGTGGTAGCTGGTGTTAATCATATTCAACGTCTTACCGAAAGACGCACTCTAGTTACTTTTTTAAATGTTCATTTCACATTACCATCGCGCGTTCATTGGGAGTTGTACGTCCTTGCTTCTCGAATAACGCATTTTTGGCAAGGTACTTGCTGACAATTTGTTTACACTATAATGCCCTTAATTCAGAAATAGTAATGCAAAATAATGGGACACCTTCATTTAAGTTGAGTGACTGGTTGTGAATTAGCTTCACCTTTTCATATAGTTTCTTCAACGCCGAGGCGATATTTACCTTTATGTTGAATGCATGTTTTAGGCGATATTCAGTCTGGCGTCCGATGTGTGGTCCTATGGTGTGGTTCTGTGGGAAATTTTTACGATGTTGGAACCCTTCCAGGAGTTCGATAGGGCTCAACAACTGGTCAATATAGGCCGGTATCGGCAGAAATTATTCATCCCTCGGCCAGAAGCAGGCTTCCCCGAAGTTATTGGTACGCTTCTAACTTGTAAGTTGTTATCTCCTTCGTGTCATGTTTAATGTATCAGTTATTCCCCATCTGACTTATTCATCATTGTCAAAAGGCAAATTGAAACTAATCGCATCCTAAAGGTTAGCGTTCTATATTTGCAATTCTACATAACCTTTTATTAGCCATAACATCATAATCCAAGGTCTCTCCAGGGCAATCGTGCCATAAGTCACACATTGCGAGCTCCACATCACAGACAATAACGAGCTTTCGAGAAGTTAGATTATCTACCGAGGCAGGTGCAGAATGTGATTTATGCAAAACTTCAGCCGTATACTGCTAACTGGCGTTGCGTTTCAACTAGCACTCTCTCGGATGAGTATTGTGCTCATTAGTCGAAATTAGAGGCGGGAAACTCGTTCTCAGTTATTCTATTGTATATGTCACGAGGCAACTTATCGCACCTGAAATTCTGCTACATAAGTGTCTATCAGGGCAAATTAAAGTTTTTCGATCACTGCAGTTTCAAGAGTTCTCGCTGCATCATCTCTCAGTTTCACTTGCAGCCTACTTTAAGATATTTGGTAAGTGCTAGCGGGCTCTAATAGTTGGTGGCCTTGCATGGTTGACTGATCAGAAACATTTCTTGGGGTAAATGAAAGATTTATATGTCAATTAGACCAGATCTATGCCGAGACATATTTATCCCCCGTCATGTTGCTTTTATACTGGTCTTAGCCACCTTTGATGTGTGTGTGTGTGTCTGTGTGTGATTCTGATGCTGATACCTCCCAATACTGACCTGTTTGCTTGCTTGCTTGAAATTCATCTGAAACTCCTATCCATACGAATAATTTATAATGACTTTGTACTCCATCGTTTGAGTGGGAAAGTTCATATTACTCTGGTTGACTTCCGCATAATAGGCGTATGGGTAGGATTGATCGAGTGATCGCGAGAAAATGCACAAGGAGCTTGTCTTTCGTAGTGATTAATTAGACCAGTGCAGTTTCGAATTGCTCAATTTTTTGATTAAGTCTCAAAATATAAACATATAATCATTTTTCCCTTGAGTATCCATTTCTTAAAGTTGAAATCAAAGTAAAAACTATATTGTTGTCTTATAATGAAAGAGAGTAGTCCGAATAAATTATCTGCTTAATCATACCGTTTGCCTTTGGCCGCTTCTAACTACAGAGCTCTTATAAAGAAACACTTGTTTTTTAGCTTGCTGGGCCGACGAGCGGACAGATCGACCAACTTTCTGTGATATTTACAACCGCATTATGGATGCACAACATGACTCATTCTTCTCCCTTTCCACGGAAGAGTTTACGGCTCTTCAGAGCGCTTGGATTCGCGAAATCTCCGATGAAGCCGAATTAGTGGGTTTTCAATATATCTGTCAGTTGTGTGTTTACTTAAATAATATTAGCAACATAAGTAGAGTGCAAGATCTTTGAAATGAAGTGAGAAGTTGAAATTTGTGCTAGCTGAAACACGTGATGTGTTTTTGATGCGGAACGGAAGATACCCGAGATGCAACTGACCCATCCAACTCGCATGTTTTAGAGCCTTTTGTCCGAGTCATGCTCAAGTGAAGCCAGCTCTCCCTTGCGACGGCAAAATGAATACCTTCAGCAAGAGAACGCCAAGATGCGCGATGCTCTCCAAACTCTGCAGCAGAATGAGGTGCGCTATCGGGGCACTATAGCTGGGCTCCAGGTGGGTGTTCTCCTCTCCTCTCTTTAACTAACTTTGTAGACATCGCGTCTAAAGCTGGCGTGTCTCCCCGCCTCGCTTTTGCTTTTCCCTCTAGAAAGACAATCAAATTCTCAGCGTTCTCGTGGCCAACACCCTGTACAACAACGCAGCACCGCTGGCAGCACCGGCGCCCCGAAAGAGGCCCTTCATTTACAACCCCTTTCGTCGTAATGAACAGAAGACGTCAGCGGTCAACTTGGCGTCAGTGTTATCGGGAGAGGGCGAGAGCCCTTCCGCAACTACCACAGCTGCTGTTGGTGCTGGTGTTGTTACCACCACCGAGTGCTCCCCACGAGACTACTCACCTGCGGTGAAGTCGACCGGTCGTCGTTATGGCGGACGAAAGACCAGTAAAAGTGGTCCTGGTATCTCCTACCCCTCTGACGTTCGTCATGTCTTTCACGTACCCTGCAATCTCGTCTTTGAGTCGAATAACGAACTTTATTGTGAGTACCTCGTACATTTTTTCAAACTTTCCTCCGCTTTCTGGCCTTGAGATACGAGTTCTTTATGGTTGCAATTGATTGATTTTGCCTTCAGCTCCCATTTACCGGTCCAATTTTTCTCCGGGGAGTTACAACACCTTCGTAGGACCCTCAATTCCCTCACCAACCAGTCCCACGATATACGCCAGCGGATCGGCCTCTTCATCCTACCTTCGTCCTCGTACGGACAGCCAATCCACGGATCCACCCGTCCATCCAAGCAGCATCGTCTTCTCGCCCACCGAAGACGCTGCTGATATCGCCCGTCATTTCGCCTTCCTTTATGCACAGAATGGGCTCACTGGCACCACTCCCCTACTTACGCAAATCACATCCCAAACACTACAGCAGAAACATCAACGGTTTCCCAAATTTAGCGGTACTGGGGGTTTGACAAGCTATAAGAGTGCTCCTGAGCTCTGTGAAAAAATCAGGTGCTCCAAGGCTAGACTTAACACCCTTGAAGGTCGGCACACTGTATCGCGTGAGTTAATTTTATTTCCCTCAGCAATTGTGGAACCCTCACTTTGTTTTTTCACAGTATTATTTGGTCATTTTGAAATTGATCATATATGTACTACACTGGTAAGGAAAATTATGCCCGTACCTCTGGTTATGTTGTGTTTTCATCGTAGGAAGCTCCGCTTTTGATCCCACGGACACTCCAGCTGATCGAAAACCCACCACTTCGTCAACCTCGGGTGCAAATGGCAGTGTCAACACTTCAAAGCGTCACCGAATTGGTTTGTCTGCCCTCTTTCACACCTCGAGAAGCAAGCATAACAGTGGCTCTGGGAAGCCACCCTCTCCTGCCTGCGAGTCCATCCCGCTGTCGCCCTTACCACCTTCAGTTCCTACAACAGCATCAGATTTATCGCCCTCTTCCACACTCTCTGGCACGGCCTCCCAATCCGGTCGAGGCTCTGGCAAACGCAAGTCTTTGTCAACCACGCCAAGACGCCTCCTGCTTCACAAGCTCTTTCAAACAGAGCGCAACAGACAGCGGCGAGTAAGTGCTGGCAGTCGGAAGTCGTCAGGTTTGACAAAGAAGCAGCGTGATTCCGTCTCACCCGACTCATCGCAAATCCTGCCCGAAGGGACCGTCCAAAGTAGTCCAGATCTGGAAAACAGGAAGGTGGTAATAGAGCCACCTCACTGGTAAGGTCTGAAACAGGAAACTTCTTGATACTATTTCCTCCCTCTACTATAAACATACACAAATGTTGTAGCAACTACGTTTCGGCCACCGTGCAGATTCCTCCACTGCCGCCTTACCTCTTGCGTCAATCGAACCACACTTTGGGACCTCGACGTCGGCTTCTCGACATCATACCCCCACCCCCAGCCCACCTTCCCACAACAGCAGCATCTATTCCACGACCTTGCACCCTCTCAGCCACATCCGACGGAGAGACAAAAAGCGGAGTACGCAGACGTCCCTTCGTCCTTCGTATAAAGTCGCAGAGCCTCGATATTCTCTACCAACCAGATGAGGCAATGGCGATGGAGGCCAAGGGGGAGGAGAGCAATGAGACCGAAGCTGAGGGTGAGGATGACGAGGGTGAAGAGACGGGAGGAGTAGCTTCGATGAACCCCGTGCCACTGGCTCTATGGTCTGCTCTTCATGTCGCCTCCATCGCACCGCTCTTCCTCGACTGTAACCCTGCGGCCCCTGTGCGTTCCTATCCTCCTACAGCTCCACACTCGGCATCCTTCGCGCGAGTCACCTTTTCCCCATTCACCACAGATGAATCGAATGTGAGCATTTGCCGTGTTTTTTTTTCTTGAAACAGTCTATCTTTACCAAAAGCTTTACCTTTATTAGCACGCAGCCGGTGTGTTGGGAAAAGCCCAGTCTTGTCTGGGTCGGATATCCTCCACTCTAGCTCTGACAACAGTTTCCGTTGATCGAAGTCGACAGCCCACACGCCAGCAGTGGAATACACAACGTGAACTCTCCGCCCCTGCACCCAGTTCATCACCATGGCAACGAAAGTTGAATAATCTCTCCCCGGTGTACTATTCGCCTCCTTCAGGCAGCGGTGTTGGCAGAGGAGACGGCAGTAGCGGTGGTGGTGGTGGTAGCGGACAAGAGCCCTGCTGCAAGTGCGTTTGCCATTCGGCGGGTGGCGGAAGTCGACAGTCCTCGTCGGCTACTACTACGACAACCTCTTCTCAATCCTCCTCTCCGTGGTTGCCCGTCGACAATCCTGTCGCTCTTTCCAGAGACGCCTACCTCAAAGTATGGAGATTTGTCCACCACCTAATTGTGGTATCCATTGTTCATCTATCGTATTATTGGTTTTGTGAGATTCCGCTACGGAGAAGTTTTTTTATAAAAATAGCATATAGACATTTTCGTAAATCATTAAATGGCTGAAGTGACGGAGACGCGCTGTCTGCATTATAGTGAAATTTGCTTGACTCAGGTTACTCAGGATGGGTACCTAAATCGTTCGGCGGTTGGCGAGGCTCTTGACGACGATGATGACGATGACGGCATCGATATGACAAGTGGTATGCGGTCAACGTCGTCAGTGCTGTTGTCGCGATCCCTGTGTGGCTTCTCCCCCTCACCCCTCTTTTCCCCCACCTCATTCCTTCAGCAACAACAACAGCAGCGACACCCCAGTAATAGTCCGCCCACTTCTTTCCTTGATTCCTCGGGCGTGGCTGTGGACCCCGGTGACCAGGTGATCATTCTACCTGAGGAGGAAGAGGAGGAGACGGGCGAATTGAGTTTTGGCGCCGGTGAGGCTGCTGAGGACACTGACACCCTCTACGCCGAATTCCAAACTCTTCCCCATCAGGCACTTTACAAGACTGTCTATGACGGGAAGTTGGATGGAGATTGGTGCAATGGCTGTGTGAGTTGAGCATACCTTCGATGGAAGTGGCTTGAGTAGCTTGCTTGTGATCACTTAATTGAGACTATCTATAGCCTAATTTGGGGGCGACCCTCTGTTGGTTACGACTGTCATCAGAACACTAACTCCGAACGGATTTCGTTCCTAACCATAGTTATTTTGGCGTCCGAGATACCTTCAAATACATGGGCATGTGGGTTTGGAAACCGATTTACTATGATGTTTCCGAAAAATTTGAGGACTGATAGTATGGACAGCCTGTCTGGGATGTCATGACGCTAGCTTGATACCCGAACGGTGAAGATTGAAAATATCTGCATGGTTAAGTATTCAGCAAAAAATTGATATCACTGTTAGGTTGTAGTGCGCTTGAAGGTCTACTTAATTCAAGGTAGCTTTACCTTAAAACAGGATTGCTGATACCGACAGATGACTCATTTCTACTTTTCAGGCACCTATTCCAGAACCAGAGGTGTTGTCTACAGAGTTTCCCTCATATCCTTGCCGCCGTAGAAAAGCCTTCCGAATGAAGGATAAACCAGAAGGTCTGCTCAGTTCGCCCGAAGATGACAGTGCCAACGGGACCGGTGGTAATCCCACAATCCCTGCTGCTCCTTGAAGTATCTCGCCCCGCTACATCTCCACCCCGATGTGATCTGCATTTAATTCGTCCCCATCCCTCTCACTGTCATTGCTGGTTTCGCTATTTCGTCTACGAGTACATTATTTTCTTTTTCTTCTTTGTACAGATTGAAGAAATAAGTCATTTTGTGATTATGTTAGTGACTGCTATCAATTAAACCACAGAGATTATTTCCTGTGCTAGTCTGGGGAGGCTTACTATTTATAGCCTAGTAGACACCGAGTAAAATTGAATCACAGAGGCTCCACGTAGTTGGACGCATCAGCAACTGTGCTGTTTGGCTGCTTGGCTCGTCGGATAAGAACGTCGAAGGTAGTGAAGTGGGCCAGAAAAGCTGTCGGCATGGCAACTCCCTGAGCTCGGTAGACGAGTTGGTAGGGAGAGTCGTTCGGCTTTACGTACTCTGCTGCAAGACGGCCTAGGAGCCGCAGTGATACTATCGAAAATCGTCCAACCAGGGAGGAGTTAGCGATCATGGGCGTCTTCGTGTGAACCTAAAAGGGATAATTAGGGTAAAAGGACAATGTATGATGATTTTAAACCTCTACACCTTGTCCTATAGGACACCGAATAGTTCAGACATTTTGGAAATGTCAAAAAATGAAACTACCTGAACGTAATTTCCAACGCGATATAGAGTAGAGGATGTTGAACCAGCCTCTTTACGTAAACATGCTAGCCTGTAGGCGTCTTGCAGGATGTTTCGAGTCTCCTCTGGACTAGTATCTAGGACCTCGAAGGGTTTCGCGTTGGACGCAATGATTTGACCGACCTGAGACAAGGCGCGCAACTCGCATTCTGTTGGACTCCAGTTAACTATACCTTCCAAAGCACTCTTTGAGTTCAACTCCATTCGGAAGTCGGCGACAAAACTGCCCGATTGGAGGGAGGTCTCGTGAAAGGAGAGCAACCGCATGCGAAACTTGTCCTTAAATGCTGACTCGACAGCAGCAGCCATTACCACCTGACATGAGCGCCAAAAAGCACGATTTGCCTCTGTTGGGTCATTATGAATATCCTGTAATAAAATAACAGTGTGATTTTAACATTATGATACCAAGATTATAGTAACCCATAATGGAAATATGAGTTATGAAGAGTACAGAAAGCACAAAAGCTAGTTGTATAAAAATAGGGAGCAAGGACCCAAAATACGCACTTGCCTTAAAATGTATAAAATCAAGCGTCACGTCATCATTAATGGGCCGATGCATATCATAGGGAGAACCATTTACGAGAGCTATTACACTTCTATCACAAAGCAACTGGGACAGGTGCTTTGCGCAATCAAAGGGCGTTGATATCCCCTTTGCCATGCTCAGTTCCATTTTTGGTCTTGGCAGACCATTGTATAATACTTTGATACGATCAGCACGAGGTGAAACGCATAAGCTTGTAGCGGCATATTTAGCTTCCTTCCACCTGCAAGATCTGCTAATAATGTCGGGTGCAAATTCAATATTTGTGAGTTTATTGGCCACCTTAGATGCTTCTACAAGAAGAGTAGCAAAGCCGCGCCGCTTTAACAGGGGGTCCATGGTTTATTTAGCGCGCATGTGAAATGAGCAGTTAAAATATGGCGAAGATTAAATAATGTCACTAGTCATTTAAGTTGATTTTTATACTTTAAAGCAATAAGAATCAAGCAATGTTTTAATTTATTTTTTAGGTGCTGCCTGCATGCCTGTTCATTGCAACTCTTGGAAAAAATCAAAATCAGTATATTTGTTCAGTGTCAAAGAAATTTCTCAGAAGCATTTACTTCCTACGGTAAAACATGACTTTTTTGCAAACATTTCTTTGGTGTTTATTTAGGTGCCAAATACATTGCTGTTCGCCTTCTAATATACAACCCAATTTCATCGATTAGAGGTGTACCAAGATCTAATAAATTATTTACATAAGCATCCATTTTTGTAATCCTACTTCTGCAATCACTCTCGTATCGGCAATTTTATGTAGTGCAGCTTCACAATGGTGGTGTTTTTTCAATATAGGCAAAATATCTCCTAAACTTATGATACTAGAAATTCAAGGACTTTTCAATCCGTCGTTCTTTGTGTAACTCCCAGTTTTGGTTAAGGGCTACTTAGGGGCCCCGCCATAGTGCCCCCATAAGGCGGCCTGGTCCCTGGGTCATGCCAGTAGCCCCGAGTCCTACTGTGCGCCGAATATATAAATTCTGCCTGGATATTATGTCCTTTTTGTCAACAATCTTGTGCAGTAATTCAGTACTTAACCACACCAACCCTGAAGTTGCAGTTTCGCTCAAAAATGTGCCACCTAGACTATGCAAATTTACTCACCCCCTCTCTACGCAAAAGATAGGTTTGCTGTGCTGCTTTGATAGTCTTTTAACTCTGTGTTTGACGGTGTAGGCACTTGCTTATCCGTATATTGTAGTTTCGCTAGGCGCCATGACCTTCGTGCCATGCCAGTAGTCTCTTAGCCCACACTACTAACTCACGACTTCAGGGAAGGCTGGAGGCAGCATACTTCTTCCACGCTTGACCGTATTATCATGAATTCAGAGAAGACTTGGAGTGCTGAACTTATGTACACCCACGTTAACACTCATCGCTAAGTACGGTGCCTGTCAGCTACAATCCACTTTGCGGCATAAAAAGTTGCAATCACTAGAAAGGCGCACATGCAGGCAATAAAGACCGCCCAACCTTCTGACCCACTGCAGAAGGTAAAACTTGAACCTCCTACTCCTAAAGCGCCCCATAAATCACACCCACGAAACTAATGACAACACAAGCAAAATTTACAACATAGCTGCCACATCAAAATTCACCGTAAGAGCAAAGCATACTTCCCGAATTATTAGTGAGAGAACACTAAGTAACGTGTATTATGCTGCAGTTGTGATAAATCATTGTACGTACACTTTGAAGAGGAGGGGAAGCGTGCCAGCATAAACACGACACCATCAACAGAAATAACAACAGGAGGTCAAAAGTGGCATAGTGGTGGATAAAGGGAGGAAAAGGAGGCCAAGAAAGACGCCGTGGTGTGTGAGATGGGGCCAGGGCTGGACGACAGGGTAAACAGCTTGCCATCAATCGATAACTGAGTCGACGTCGGCAGAGGCGGTGGGGGTAGTCACAGGAGCGAAGACGAAGGGGTTGGCGCGATGGGGCGAGTCGAAAGGAGTGCAGTTAAAAGCCTCAAAGGCTTCTTTCAGGGTGCTCTCGTCCGCGCGGTGTTGGAAGATCAGTCGCACAGGCGGTCCCTCAATCACGTGAGCGCAGAAGGGACATTTCGATAACATTGGTGTTTGACTGGTAGCTGGTAGCTTCAACTTTGACCAAAACCTACAAAAAATACGACCCAAAATGGCGATACAACAGCTCAACAACCCCAGGATGAGAACGTGGATCAAGATTTTAACCGGAGAAATTAGCACTAAAGCAGCGGGTGTTGAAAACAAAACAAACGAAAAAATAGCTGTCAACAGGTGGATTACCCTACTCGATTTATGCGACGCGTTACTTGCAAATCCAAAATTTGACACAGGTCATCATTTAGCATTTCCGTGGTGCTAAGATCTTGCCAAACAAATATTGAAGCAGAGGCTGTGACTCAATGGCTCTGAAATCCTAGTGGTAGCAATAAATCGGTTACGACAGCGAACTTGAGAGGCTAAAATGCACTTGTTTCCAAAAGAAGAGGAATTTACATGGGACGAAAAAATTATTTGCGCATTTGACTAAAGTAACAGTTCAATAAGAAGAGTCAGCAACACTTAAAATCGAGGAAAGACAGGAAGTGTAGCAATATTAGACAAAACAAAGCCATGGTTAACCATCTCCCACAATAATTGTCGTGCAGTTGAGCGATGGAACCACTTGCTGATTGGCTTAGGGGCCGAAGAGCGAATGCTGTTTGAGCGCCTTGTACCGCTGGCATGAAACAATTCTTGTTAGACAACCTGATTTACTCGGATAGATAGCCAACATCAGTACCGGCTACCCTGTCAGTGCAATTGCCTGCACAAACACAGCGTTAGACTGTAAATCAAAGTGTAATCGAATTTAGTGGCACAAATTGATGCTTTTTTGACGAGAAAGTCGTAAAAGATGACCTTCAAAAGGCCACAATTCACGAAAGCAATCTCCCATCCCGTTGATTAGTTTTGGCAGCACAGTCTCGTTTTCGTGAAGTTACTAGAGCCCACCTGACAGTTGCCTCAGAGGCGATGTGGCCACAGGGATTGAAGCAATGCGAAGGGGCGCCCCGATCCACGAAAAAGCCGACCTCCTCGCCAACGGAGATACGAACAAATCGCGACGTCTGTCGGCACAGGGGACACGTCCGTTTATCCTGTTCAGATGAGAATCTACAATACAAAAAAGTGTCCACGCATTTACTTCAAGTGAAATACAACCGTAGACTCAAAATGTTTTTGCAGCATCTGTTCAGCACCAGACCACGAAAAATGTTGACCTGCTTAAACTTGGGAATACATTCCCCGTACAATAATCATTCAATTAAACAATGAGGCGAATAGTAAAAGCGAAAAGACGTTGTGGCAGTCAGTACTGATATTAAAACAAATATAATTAGGCCGAAAAAAGACTACACACCAGTGGGGTTAAGTGACAGTTTAATACGATTGAGATGGAAATACTCATCATCCAAATAAAATTGGTCGCCACAATCAACTCGCTCTTCCATATCACACGCTTGATCAACATTTGAAGACCTTCGGATAGTACGAATCCGGTTTGAGTGGGGAACGGAGTGTCAGCGATTTAAGTGAAAAGAACTTGGTCCATGCCAAAGAAACATCTGAGACGACAGGGTAGTCAAGCTGGCCCCACTGTGGCCAAAACATTGTCTTAGAGTGCCAAAATCAGATACCAACGTGAAGTTATGGATAGCAGAAATATTGACGAAGCGACTAGTGATGTTAGATCAAATTTAATGAGTGAAGGAAAATTTGGATTTACTAAGAACAATGAGTTGTTCCGCTATGGTAAAAGAGCTTGATATGCAAACCCTATTGCTCTTAACATTGAGCACCCATACTGCGGATGACACTAAGCACATTCACTCAGCTTGAGCAGCAGCAGTAAGGGAAAGCAGTCGACGACGCAGCTGAAAGTACTTTTAGTCGCTCCGGTTAGCAGTGCCCACAGCAAACACAACTAGAAGCGTAAAAGTGGAAAACAACGCACTCATCTCTTTCCAATACCAGAGGGACAGTGGTAAGCTCTAAGACCCACCTAGTCAAAAGAGTTCAACGAAACAAATGCCCTCCCTGACGGTAGGACGATAAAAACTGGAGTTTCTTTTTGTGGACGCGTGGGTATGGCAACAATTGACCGGATATCTGCAATTGAACAACTCTTCCCAGATTTGAGGTTGTGCTCTAGACTCATGAATTTGATGCTGCTATTTAGTTGCCGAATGTACTGCAGGCAGGTAGTTGGTATAAATGCTATCCAGATTAACATAAAAAGGAAGTGTGGGCTTACTGCTGGTTGCTGGGCTGCCAGTCGTGATAGCCGTGCACATGGCCGCAGTTCAGGTATACGTGGGGCTGGCCCCCACCACCAAAGGTGGCACCTATAGAGGAGCTAGAGAAATCCTGACCTGATGCTGCTGAACAAAAGTATTCGGAAGGAATTCGGGGTGCACCAAATCCCTCGAAATGGAGAGTTTTCAAGTAAACAGGACATTGGATGTGAAGCTGATTGAGAATATTCACCTAAAGCAAAACAAAGGAGCTTGCTCAAGAAGAGTTCGAAACAGCTTAAGTGGTTCAGAGTAGCTCCAGAGCTTGCTTACACATCAATGTTGATTAATGGTTCGGTTTCATTGCATAGAATAAATCTGCTATTAGCAAAACCACTAAAGAGTTTTAGATGAGTTTTGACGCTGACTAACACATTGCAATTACGCAAAGGACTTTTACCATAGCAATACCTTCGCCTCAAGAAACGCGAATCACAAATGTATGCACACACCATTTCACCGATGTCGGTGAGGGTTAGACCGTTTTTTAGACCCTCTGCCGACCGCCAAATGAGGATAGCGCCGAAAAGATCAATGAGGGTCCCGTCCTCAAGCACGTTGTCTTCTTCTATAACCTGCAAAAACACCACGTCAGCGGAAGAAAACTAGAACATTTCGTCCACTAAAAAGTACTGTAGGATAGCAAGTCGCCTAACGAATTAAGGCTAAAATGAAGGGACTCCGACTGCAGGTAAAAAAGGGAAGTCCAAAAGTTGATCACTTCTGGATTGGGCTAACAATAATTGTTAAATGCGGTAGGGAAAAATGGATAATAAATGAAGGTATAATTGCAACTAACGAAGAAAAGAGATGCGTACCCGATCAGTTTCTCCAGGTACAAACATGATGGAATGCAGTTTGTATACACTTCCACGCACACTGACTTCACGCCAGAGCGAACTGCAAACGAGTGCACCGTATGAGGCAAAGTAGTAGCTGCTTATTCCCATCAACTCCCATTACTGATTCTCAAAGCCGAGCTAATATAACAAATAGGAATATAGCGATAGGAAACTAATTTCGTTGATGGTCCGATTTACTGTTAGGCAAAAACCGCCGTCTAGGCAAGTTTTACCCGTTTCATAAACAAATATGACAAGGAGTGATTACGCTGCCTTTGTGTTTACTTGCGCTCTACTTTGCACTTTAAAAAACAGTTCCTTAAATAAGACAAGCTGCAGAAAATTATTTGTGGTGAAAATGCTGATACCTTAGAGAATCATGCACAAGGAGCTAATGAGGCAAAAAAAGTTACGAATGCAAGTGGTATTGCCCATGGCAGTGTATACATCCACTTAAAAACATGCGGATCCCACAAAATTAATCATTCTTCGTCATTTGCATTTTTTATCGAATCAGTAAAAGTACCGTAACATTAAGGGAACAAACTTTCAACTACCTGAAATTGAAGCTGCTAAGGCGGTTTTTGCTTATCGAAATAGGTTCCCTTCTCACGAGGAAAAGTGTGTTTAAAACTAAGTAAAAAATAGAACATTTGGGGGAATAAAGTGTTTGACTTACGATTGTTCGCCATCTAAAATAAACGAAAAGGCGTTTTAGTAAAAGGTAACAACTCGTGGAGAGAGGAAACAGCGAGTTGAAATTAACGAAAACAAACTCCCAATGAAATCAATTTGAAAGGGAGCTAAAGCACGCTAAATACTAACTGCTTCACCATTTCAGAAATCCATATAAACAGAAAAAAGCACTTATCTGGATAAGAATAACAAAGGATTAATAAAAATGGGTAAAGGCATGAAATGAATGCAGCGTTTTCTCTCAATGCAATACTTTACGCCCCCAGTAGGGGTCGTTACAAAGTGACAGACTGTATCAAAAATAAATTGCAGGTTGGGATTGGACATTAAAGGATGCGCTGATCACCTGTTTCACCACTTCTGAGCCATTGACTTGGTTTTAATATCCGGACTCCATTGGTAGTAAACCCATCCATAATACCATTATGTCTCCATTTGCAGGCGTTTACCTGAGTAACAAAAAATAATCAATCACACTATAATCTGCCATTTAACAATTTGAAAACAATCCTCAGAACAAACACTTTCTGCTCCTATTTAGTGTAAAAAAATTTGCTAGAACGAAAAGGCAGAACGAAGCTTCATAACAAGTTGTACCGCTGATTGGAAGCTATAGTAATAAGGGAGAAGCAGCATGCTTGCCAACACTTTTAAACACTATGAATTTAGGAGGCGGTGAGGCAAGTCTAAAAATGACCAGTGAACCTCGAAAATATTGGACACACTGTTTAATCACAACCAAGATCTATAGCCATTACCCCGCAACACATGCACACAGAAGCAGGGATTTGTAAGGTGAGCAACTTTCAGCATTACACAGCACTGCCGGCTTTGAGAAGGAGGTTTTAAAGGGATGGGATAAGTTGCAGCTTGGTTACGAATATGAAAAAAAAAATCATAATAAGGCGATGGAGTGCATGGTTTAGACTTACACCGAGGAAAATATTATTGCGCATATCAAAGCCGGCTGCGTAGATGCGGGCCGTGTGCGGCGGCCTTCGATCGATGTCGATGCGACAGGCGAAGCGGGAGACAGTAAAGAGGGCACCCATCGGTTTCTTGGGTGACGGAGAGGACCTGTCGAATATACCGGGGAAAAATTTCCCACGCCTCCGGCATAGAAACGGGTTACTCTCGTTGGCGGGTGTAGTCTCCGTCGGCAAGGCCGCGTCTCCGATGTGGAAATCGATAACCGGAGATTTATATCGGCCGATCTGTAAGGTAACAAACAATTCCCACAATCCACCAACGAACAGGTGCCAATGGTTCATCCAGCCAGGTTAAGATGGATGGGAATACGAAATCACCAATGCGATCACCAACAGAATCGCGGGATGTTTTCGGTTCCCGCATAGAACAGTTGCCCAATCGCAGCCCGAGAAATTAAGAAGCAAATTTAAAAAAACTAGTCTTGGATACGCTAATCTAATGCAAGACTAATCAAGCATATGGAAGTTTCAGGATAATAAACCTTTATTAGGTTTCCCAAGATACCCAAAAATGAAACGACACCACATGAATTTTTAAAAAGGTGTAAGTTAATTTAAAATCAAATTACGGTTTGTAAAATACAAAAAGCTAAACCCTTACTTGGGAGATGAAAGGACCCACCTGAAAGAGGTCAATGTTTGGGTTAGGGACATATTCAACTACAACCGTGTTGGTTCGATTGAAGGTGTACGAAACAGCATGGCGGTTAGGATTAACAAAGACCTAAAAGAAATGCAAGAAATCCCATGTAAACAAGCATCATTGTAAGAGTTATGACTTTGTTCGTTCATTTTGAAGAAGCTAAAACAATGAATAGCAGGGGAACATGATTTATATACGTGTACTTAAGTCCCATCAGAATTTTCACAATTTAATAAACACTGAATACTAAAACTCAAAGTTAATTAAAAAATAAGAAAATCAACCAAAGATTTGACTACTGTACAGGAGAAATGGTATAGCGTTGGAATATGCATTGTCTTGGTCATTAACCAACGAAAACAACCATCAAGGCATAGAAAATCTGCGGAATATGTGATCCTGACGGACCATCAGTGGAGCCATACAAGTGATGAAATGGTGGTGGATAAAAGTATACTAATTTTGTGATGACAAAAAGTCGTTTGTCATCTTCAGTCTACGCAAATCGAAGAGTAACACTAAAAAGTCGAATTATTGCATGGATATCAGGAAAATGGCAAAATCCAAATTATGCCTGCTAGAAAATATTAATGACATTTTCTAAACTGAACATTGACTAACGGTGTTAGATAAATCGTAATTATTTGACCTCAAGCGAGTACAAGGATTTTTGGTCCCAAAAAGTGTAGTACGAGGGATCAAGCATTATCGATCTTGGTAAGTAATACGGACAAAGTGGTCAACATGAGTGGCCCGCAAGGTGAAAAAAGATCACGGCATATTTTATTCAGTTATAAACATAACCTCGCCTAAAAGACGCAAACAAACGATACTACACAGTCTACTCAGTCTTACAGGTTGTAGCGCACATAAATCCACTCTAAACGGAATTTCATTAATCACCGCTGACGTATGAATTAACCAGGAAACATACAATTGTGGCATCGTTGTTGGGAAATTCTCGGGAAGTCACGAGAAGAACTTGACGACCAGAAAATGCGCAATTTGCGACGTTGACACATCACAGTGAACACAATCATGGTAAGCACAAAACGACTCCATTCTATTTTTCCGATTTCATATGCACATATTGTTGGAGGAGGGGAAGTTGAAGAGACAAAAGTAGCTTATCAAAAGCGTTTTATTATCGTAAATATTTGCGAAAATTGTCGTATTTTAGGAGATGAAAAAGGAAGGCTGAGGCCTACCTAATAGGATCACAAAAATACTATCATGACAGAGGATCTGTATTCCCGAAGTCCACTGCCAGCTAAAAAGGAACTCATGCATCAGTACCCCAACTGGCACCTTTAGCTATTGAACAATATTTACTCTGAACGCTGAAAAGAAACAGAAAACTCCCTAGGTTTTCTGGTTTAAAAGCCATAACAAGGATTTAGAGGGAGAATAGTCATGATTTGCAAAAAGCTGCATGCACTTTTTAAATTAACAAGAGTCCTGAGTTGGCCTTATAATTACTATGTACAACAATAGTAGATCATGTTAAGTGACTAGATTTTTAATCAACCCATCACAAAGGGTGATCAAGAATAGCATAGTCTTGCCTGTAAATTGCACAAGTGAGCGTCGTTAAAGAGCTAATGCCAGCATTCAGCCTAAATATACCGAGTTACTCTTCGCAAGGCTGACGCAGGCAGCATCCAGTAAAGTTTATGAAAGGAAGGTCCGACGTCTCAACGTTAAAATTAACTGACTCACCCAATGGTGTTAAAAGGGATTAAGATAAATGCAGATTTGTGAGTACTTTCCAAAGATTAAGATGATCCGAGAGACAAGGATTCAACTTCCGTGCATGACGTAAGTTGGAAAAAAGTACGTATGGGAACGCAGTAAGTCAATCATCTAACCATGTATTAAGTGCTCAATGACAGCAGGTACTCAACCATATAACAAGAACTTATTGCTATTAAAGCAAACTAAATAAGTAAGAAACGATAAGCTACTTCAGACTTTGTCGAGTCAGGAACAAAAGATACAGGCCCAGGAGTAACACCGTTAGAACATGGCCTTTGAAAGAGGTCTAGACATGTGTCTCCATTCCTCGAAATTTCCGGCCTAGTAGCTCCACCATTTGTCCTAAAGTAAAATTGAAAACAAATCACAAATAGTGAATACAAAAGAAAGCTTTATCAGATATCGGAAGATCCTGTCCGTCTGATGACAAAATTTGAATGCGATGGGCCGAATAGCAACACCTATGACAAAACTTAAAGTATATTATGATCTCAGAGATAAAGTTATGGGGTTATTTAATTCTTTGATGACGCGTAGAGGCACAAAACGAGTAGGTAAAGCGGAAAAAATTGCAGATAACGGAAAGCGCAGAAGCTGAGTAAATTTCAATTAGTAATTTAGGGAAGGTCAAACCAGCATCCCAATTGAAGTAAGCGGCATACCCAAGAAGAATAAGTCTTCCATATGATGGACCCTTCAACGCAGCTTTATCGGTATTAATCGAATCCTGTAGGCTGGACGAACACCCGACCCCTGACCTTTGACGGGCCATCTCAAGTTCAAATAACCAGATGCCGACCTTGAAAGCATCGCAACATTATCATTATCATAATGACCATATGTAGCAATCAAATCCAGAGTAAAACCAAAAAGATACATCTAGGTAAATAATATCAGAATTCTTTATTAGTCTCGTCAACTTTAACACTAATTAAAATCTATTTTTTGCGCGTGCGCACTTTAGTAGGTTTGTATGGACAAATAATACATTCCAAACGAAAGCACATTCGAGAAATAACTTGACAAACAAAAAACCCTTCGAAATTAAGGCGCGACGGTTTAGATCCTTTTCAATGCTAAGGGTAGACAAGAACACTGGGGCAGAGAACGTATTTTAGACATGGAATTTTGTCAGGGGTTATTGGAATGACCCAAATGTCATTACTTTCAGCGGACGTACAATTGCAGAACTAGAGTGCCCACAAAACCAAATTAAGGAGCTAAACAAACAATCGAAGAAGTGGAAATAATCTTTGTGTAACACCGTGCAAACGTCAAACTTGCCAAACAAGTATTTTCCTCTTCTTCTTAAACTATTAGGAAATATCCAACTTACTAAAACGATTGTGACAAGAGCCATTTGTAATTATCTTGTCCTCTTATTTCATAAAAAAGCCCTAATTAAAAATCGATTAATTTGAAGCATCAAGCCATGTAATGTGGTATAATGAGAGTAATTTGAAATTTTATTTGTAAATCGAAATTAGGATAAATATCTTGCAGTATGCGAATGATGACTTACTTTAATCCATTTAGAAACTCACCATCTAGTTTAATGAACATCACTGCATTCTGCGGGGGAGTATATTTCCCCCAAATTTAACAACACGCCCAGGAACGAGATGGACTTATAAATGCATCTATAGTGGTTACTCCTTTGCCCCTTCCTGCTCGATTACCCCTCACATGAGTGGATTATTGTGTACAAACACATTGTTAAATTTCAGAATCTTCTTTTATGGAAGGAAGGCGTTTAGCTATTTGCAATAATTGGACATAAGAGACCTAGGCGTGATTGTAGTCACTCCAGTTATTGTGCTGTGGTTTTTTCTAGAAATATGTGGAACTTTCGAATGGAGTGAAAGGATACACTGGTATCCGAATGGTCACAATTGAGACACGCCGGAGGACATGGTGGTTTTAAGGTAGCTAGTCCCAAGTAAGGTTGCATTGTACAAACGTTTCTAAGGCAGAATGTTCGCACAATCCAATGTGGTTGTCATTTTGTTAATTTAATTTAGTGTATTTCTTTACCGGTCTACAAGGATTGGCTCATAGTCCCCCCTAAAAAGGTGATATCATCAAATAAATACCCGAACATTTTGTTTCCCCAGTTTACACTGCTTGAACGTCACCATTTGTGAATGTCAGCGTGTTAACTACTTGTAAAAAGTATTCTATGATTTTGACTTAAATGTGAATGAAGTTGAAATGTGCCCGGGGAACTTGGTTTGTAGCATATTTTTCGCGGTAATGAAAGACGCATAGCTGATTGGAAAATTATAAAATTCAAATTTTGACTTTATTTGAGGCGAACGTAAGAGAAGCTACAAGAAATGCTTACCCTTTTGAAACCGAGCTCACGCAGTATATAGCACTCAACCTACCGACGTGTGACAACAAAATTTGCTAAGAGTAGTTTGTGAATAACGCAGCACCATTCACTACGCACACCTAATTTCGATTCGCAACTGGGTAACACACATCCCAATATAATAAAACTCATTTGTCAGTCATCATAACACCGATAAAGGCAATAGTGCAATTATGTTGCAGTTGAAATCCAACATTTAAAAAAATAATAGTCAGGACTGCACACAAACGTGGTGTCAAGCATTTGGCTCATGATGAACATCGGAATGATTAAGTGTTAATCATGCCAACAAACGGCAATAAGGACGAGAAAGTTCTATGTACCAGATCATAGATTTATGGGGGTGGAAAAGTGTTTCTAGGGGCAACTCTTAAAACGTTACAAAGGGATGTTGAGATCAAGGGGAATCTCCCATCGCGGCAGGCATTTTAGTCAAGTCAAATTCATTTCAACACTCACTACCTAAACTTGGCAAAATGTGGTGATTATGCAATTCTTACTTACTTGAGTTCGTAAATGTTAGACGTTAATACCACGAACGATCCCACATTACAAAGAGGTTTGCAGAGTAGTTGATACTTGGAATATGCGTGACATCACCATATTCTGAAGCACAGTGATTGAGAAGAAGGGGAAAAGCTAAAATGATTATCACAAGTAGGGCCTATTAACTCTTTAAAGCATAAGAAAGTTGGCTAGTAGATATGGTTTTAGGTGCTACCATTCATTTATCAATGCCCGATGGTAGAATTGTTTCCAGCCACTTTAAAATTACCAAACCTGTAACTTTGTCCTTTAAACATGTGGAATCTATGCAAAAAATATGGATGAAACACATCGAATGATTTGGCTCCGTAATCACTCAAATGCACGACTTTAAACCGATTGAGGGCTTTAACACCAGCAAAAAATAAATACCAATTTTGTAAACGCCAATTAGGAAATCAGAACTTTGAGCCCATAAAAGTGGGAACCACGAAACAACTGGCAGACGTTGAGATATCAAATGCTGTTCACTTTTGATGGCCATTGCAGCTGCAAGGCCAGACAAAAGTGCCAAAATGCGAGCATTCAGCGTGCAGGGTCGGCAGACACCCGTTGGCTCGCAACAGGAGAACCACAACATAGGAAAATCTGAATGTAATGCTTTCGAACCTTAGAATTGTCTTATTACTTCCCAAAAACGAGTGAAACTAGTATCACACTGCCATGCTAGTCGACAATTAACCACTTCGTATGTTCATGGGAAATGAGATGACAAACTGTTTTACCTGAATGAAAACAAATAGCGAAATAATTTGTTAATTGTCTAGGCATCGTCAGAAAAGACCTAGCGGGTTTCGATACGATGCCGTGTGTTAGACTAACCCTACTAAAAAAAGTAAAAATGTACAGGTTTTTGAGAACAAGCAGATAACATCTAAAACATGCCACAGAGGGTCGTAAAAGCCGTTCCTATGTAGGGTTAGCATATCATTTGGAAACTATGGCATGAAATCACCTTTTAATAAATCAAGTTGGACACATTGGCAACTTTACTTTATAAATTTTGGCTTTGGAACTAATAAAAAATTTGACGCAATTTAATGAGTTCTTGATTAGTTTATTTCAGTGGGTGAGTTTTATTTTGGCACCCTTTACGACCCAGTTAAGTGTAGTGCGAAGCATTCCCATCAAAGCTGGTTTCATACATTGGGGTTCCCCAAAAAAAGTTATAATTTCTTTTTTTCGCAAAGATAAATTTATGCTACGACAGGAACATCGTCGCCAACTTAACAGGTACTATGGTGTATTTGTTTCCACTGCTAAAAGATCTTGTTGAAGTGCTAAATTTGCCAGGAAATTTTGTCTGCCATCTGAAGCTTTCAACTCCGGCCAGTCAAAAAACTGTTTATGTGAAATTTGAGTTATAAGTTCTTCGCAGTTGCAGAACTTTTACGTCTACTTACGAGAAAATTAAAGAGCTTCCTCACCTACTTTACCTCATTTCCTCCTGATGCTCTACACCTGTTGTGGACCTCTTGAGAGGATGACTTCATAAAAGATTGACCAGGTCACAAGATGGTTTATGTGTCTCATCGGTGAAAATACTGAATGGTAGCTACTGCTAGAATTTGACATCACTATTTAAGTAAAATTGCATTGGGTTTAGAGTTAGTGCGGCTCTCCTATTCTTCCTTGTCGTAGTAGGCAAGTGTTGTGGAGGGACAGAGATTGCTAGCGTATAAAAGAGCTGGAAGGCAGCATCCATGGTCTGAAGGCCAGGCAGTAGAGTAGAAACACAATCTGCGGAGATTGAAGTACATGCGTAGTTGAACACACGGTTAGGCAAAATACCAAATCACTACATTTAGCACAAGATTTACAATAGGCTAAACTCGAAATCGTAATTGTGATCCAATGTACTCGTGATTTTAATGGGTGTGTAATATTTTGTTTGATTGTTTATTTCTTGATTTTAGCTATACGGGCACTTAAGGCTCCACTTACGGACTTCCACTGCGTGGCGTAGCACCCAGACTATGCCAGTGGCAGTACACGCTCTGCCCTAGCATTTGGTCTTCTTTCGTATTCAAGGCAGTTACGCAGCACTTTATGTGAAGCGTTTCCAGGTCATCAAGGTAAGACTGTATAAGATATGCGTTATGGAAAAATTGGGATGACGTAGAAGTATTCAATGTGGTTTGAATACTTTAATAATAAGAACGTTGAAAATTATATCTTAATGCAGTGAAAATTTCTAAAGTAGGAATAAAACATATTACGGCAAGTGGCAGCGTGATAAATAGAGAAGACAGATGCTTTTCAATCATACAAGGCTAATGGGTAATGGAGGAAGGATATAGTCTCTCCTAACCACTTCTAGCCTATGTGAGGTCCATCTAATGGTGAAGTGCAGTCGTGTGACGATACGATGCGTGTGACAGCCTGTATAAAACAAATAATAATATACGGTTTGGAAAATAGCTCAGCCACATATGATGGCAAACAAGTGGACAGTGAGCCTCAGTTTTGTAATTTTTCGATATGCATTTTTGGGATTCCACACTGGTACACTCCAAAAAGACTCTTAGGGCCTATTTACACTTGAATAGGATTAAAATAAACCCGTGAAGACATTAGTAAATCACTCCACAATATTGTTCCACAGCCCACAACTATGAAAGCTTTATTGGGTTACAGTTTTGAGCTAAAATGAGAGTTAACGTATGGGAACTTAAGGCCTATTTATCATTATGGCAAATTAATTATGCATATTAATTTTCACCACTTTCAAGATCTTGTGGTTTCACTTGGAACAAACCTGTACCCCTCACAACGTCTCAAAGAACGGCAATATGTCAATTTACATTGACCGAATTCACTACAATTTCATAAAACACTCGGAGTTGAAATCAAAAAGAAGGTATAAAATAATGGAATTAGTCCCAGATCCACGTAAAACGCTACCTTGTTACATATTTTAAGGACAAATTGTGCATCTAAAAGTCATTTTTGGGGAATATTTTGTAAATGGGTCATTTAGAGCATTTGCCTTTAAACGAAGATCACCAAATTGGCTATCTCCAGCATCACAGACCTTGTGAAAATTTAGGTTTGCAAAGAAGTAGCCCCACCTGTGGTTGCCCAAAGGATGCATCAAGTACGTTGACCTCTGATTGGTTGTCCAAGGCCATGAAAGGCGTATATATTTAGGACCGTCTAGTTGGAAATACATGTACCCAAGTACACGCTTTCAGTCAGTATGGGCCATGGGTACACTTCTCCGAGACGGCGATTGATCCCTCTTCTGTTCCTCCTCCTGCTGAGGTCGACCAGTGTCTTGACAGGACAGACTGAGCCATACAGGAGGGACAGCTTCAGTCCTCTCTTTGAGGGTCAGAATGCCGTGTTTGTGTGCGACCCAAGTGGCCAGGTAAGCGGCACTCTTTCCTACCAGTGGACTCTCAACGATACCCACATTATCGCCACCCGACGCTCCTTCACCATTTACAATGTGCGGGAAAGCGACAGCGGACTTTACAAATGCATTGTGCGAGGAAAGATAATGGACAAGGAGGTTGTGGCTGAACACGCCACTTTTGCGTACGTTAAGAAGGGTGAGTTTACGCTACAGACCGAATACTTATATGGAGACATTAAGCATACGTTTTGTGAATTGTGCGTAAGTGAAAGTCATGAACATTTCTAATTCCTGCCAAGTTGGTAAAACTTTCCTTCCTGGGTGCTGCAGGGTAAGGTTTTATACCTTGCGAACTAAGCCAAGTGTGACGTAAAATTGTGTCATTTCCCGTTAGTTTTACTTGGGAATTAAACACTTCACAAGAACTCTCGGTAATTTGCAATGTGATTTTATGTACATGATGACTTCAGCAGCTATTTATTGCTCGGTAGAAAATCACAGTAAACAGACAAAGGCTAGAGAATACTTATTTGAAGAAGATCTAGTTTTAACATAAACCTATTTGAATTAATTACTTGGCATTAAGTCATTCTCTGGCTTCAATTATTCTATCCTATAGGTACTACCTGTTCACGGCTAATAATAATCACCCGATGAACTAATCTCCCATGCGTCAAACCCAGTAGGTCTAGTAAAAATTGTACCAAAAATAAATCACGGCAAGGTCTTTATTCGAGAGTAGCTTCAGGTACTCGAGCCTTTTTGAAGAAAAGTTCGACTGTGAATCACCGCATCGGTTAGCAAGCTATTACACTCGTGTGCACACACACCCAAGTAGACACAGCTGAAGTAGAGGAGTGGTTTGCAAGATTAATTCATTACAAGTTAGAGGAATAAAAAAGATTTCGAAATATTTGGGGTGGTGCACGTCCACTTTTAATCACCGTAGTCTTTTCAGTACTATGGTAACTTTTCTAACTAACAGAATTAATTGTCTTTTAATTTAGTCTTTGTCATTCACTATTCGCAACCCTTTATTAGCTAGTCCTTATTAAAAGGCTTTATCACATCAAAAGTTTGCAGTCTGCAATAGTCTTCCAACGCTAACCCTGCTTGCAGTAAGGAGGATGCGCAAAATTTGAAAACAATTGTCTCGAGTAGTCAGTTGAATGTAAAACCCATGGATGCAATTTCACCCTGTCTAGAATTTATTTAGAAGCACTAGTCAGGGAAGAAATTTGAAGGTCCTTAAAAATTTGCTGACTGATTTAATATTACGCTCTGAAATAGCCCCAGTTTGATTCGTCACGTTGGGCTTAATATTTCATATTCCTAGACAGCCTCGAAAATTGAGCTAGAAACAGTATTTCACTTCCCTGTGTTATTGAATTTACAATTTGTCAGCCATAAGCAGACTAAAACTTTATCTTATTAAATGTAAAAAGGTCGTGGACTATGGAAACCAAGGCATACATAAAGGTAACTACTAAAGCCAATCTGGATTTCATGAAATCAGTTACAACGTATAAACAACGACAGTACCTTCATCTTGACAATGCATTTATTTCAAACATTACCTACTTAGATAAAATCTAACAATAAGTCACATATCCTTGAGTATCGACAATGTGGACTCCAATAAATCTACTGTGAAGTGTGACTAGTCAGTACTGAAGTAGTGATTTATGTAAACACAGGAACTTGATCCCACGGTTGTGGATGTAATGATATGTTCAGTTCAAGAATGTCTTATTTGGAGGCGGGTAAATACTAACAGAGAAGCTGATATGTTGGCAATGCATTTTCGTCTGCCTAATCTCTCAAAGTAATAGTCAGTGGTGCGCTTCACTGTCTTTCTGGTTTTTTGAACAATACGATGCCCTAACTGCACCGTGTTAACCTTTTCTGTTGGCTCAACTACATGTAAAATGCATTTGCTTTTCACAAACTTTTATTCCTGGGGGCATGTAGTGACGAGCTTTACTAGCGGTGATGGCTGGAATGAGAGGAAAAAAGGTTTCATGAATGTCCTCAGATTTCCCACTGACCATATTGCTTACCCACATCCTACCCACTCGTTTTTGAAATAAATTTTAAAAAAATTAACAGGTTTGTGAGTTTTACACATGCGTACATTATATGTTTAAATATCATCCATGTAGGAAATATTTTATTTTCCGGAGTTGAATTTCTACTACGATCACCTCTTTTACAAACACAAAGGCACAAATTTTTGAGTTGTGGACTTCTTAACTACACACTTTTTTTCTCTATGAGGCCATACCAATGCTTTATAATTGAGTAATTTTCGAAAATTGTAGAGCAAATGAATATTTACGCAGTCACAAATTACAGCAAGAGCTGCCAAGTTGTAATTAATAACAGAATTGATAATGGAAACCACTATTTCCCTTTTTCTTGAATCACCAACACTTGGGCAGACATTGCACCTATTGTTACCTGCATGCAACGTAGTGGCCGGCTAATTCGGCAGCGCTACCGTTAATCTGACTGCTTTTTGCACCTCCTTTCTTCGTACAGTCACCAGTCTGTTAAAATTTACAGTCTGTTACTTCTAGCCCAATCACGAAGCCCAACAAACACGACTGATAAATTTGTAGGTGTAAAAATTTGGATTTCTGGATATTGCAATCCTTTCTTGTGCAAAACTAGAACGGCAATCTGACTGCTTAAAATGCCTTAAAAATTTAATACTCAGGAGTCAGGAATGGTCTAAAAACCTTTAAAGCATAATTTCTACCATAAAATCCCCATCATGGTGTGTAACAATGATGGCAAACATAATGACTTGTGGATGGAAAAGGGGCATATCCATTTGATATTTCCCAGTGTACTTACGAAACAAAAATGCGACTCTTCAATGTTGATAGAACTGCTCCTTTTGCTGTGCTTGCTTTTAGCTGAAACGATGCTCACCCAGGTGGTGGACGAGGGCGTGTCAGTGATTATTCTCTGCAATGTCACAGACAGCAACGTGCCACCGGGGTCAAAAAACTTACGCTATCAATGGCACAACCCAAACGGGACACTAATAAGCAACCGGGGTTTCCTGAGACTCGCCAACATTCGTATCCACGAGTCTGGCGTCTACGTGTGCACTGCGTCAGTTGATGTAAATGGGACCCGCCACGAGGCCAGCCGTGGCACCAATATTCAAGTCAAACGCGGTAAAACGGGCCTAGTCATCAATAATGGCTACTCTCAGGTTTCACACAAAAAGTCATTATATTTACCGTCTGATGACACTAGGGCAAATCAGGAGGTAGACACAAGATAAGGTGCTAAATTTGACTACTTAATAGGTCTAAAACCACCCTCAAGGATGCACCAACTATTGATAGCATTGATGTTTACTTGGTGATTTCGGACACTTTTAAAAGCAATGAAGCAAATGTGAGCTCGTTACTTGCAGATAATTCTGGGGTTTCGCCGACTTGAAAATGCTTAGACAAGTTAGACGGTCGACTTGCAATGAACCCTTTAGTTGCTTTTGATTGGTTAAGTGCTAATAACTTACTTACAATCCGAGGTAATTGAAAAGAAACTCAAACCATATTAACTTATCAAATAAAACCTTGAAACACCGTCAACAAATAAATTATGTCTGGCCAAATATCAGTTGCATTCATTTGGGGTCATAATGAAATAAAAGAAGGTGGGACTCGATGCCACCAAAACATCTGGAAAATTGTCGGGTTGCTCACACAGATGAGAAATTTCTGGTTCCGTTAATGTATGGAATGCATGGGACCCAATACAGGGATGGATTGGCATCAGGAGACTGGAAACGCCCATTACGAAGTGCAACAACATGACACTTTGGCCAGTTAGATGCTCGACCCCGTCATCATTTTATTACCTGTTTCCACAGATCATTTTATTGCCAAAAAATTCACAAAGTACTGAGGCAATGTCGGTAAAGCAGAGCAACAAACATACTCATTCATGTATTGCACTCGATACTAACCAAAATGCACAATCGCCGTGGTGGTAGTGGAGAGGTAGGGGGACTTACAACTCCTGTGGATACGTTTTATGCAGAGGAAAGTGTCAGGGAAACAGTTAAAGACAGGTGCGTTAGACATTTATAGGAAAAGGCTTATTTCGATTTTCTGTGGATTGACAGAAATTTGGCAACCATGATACTGTTCATTTTTTAACTAACACAGCCGTTAACATGGCAATTCGCAAATAGGACAACTGAAAGCTAATCAGTTACTTGCATTTTATCACCAGTCAAAAAAGAAAAGTATGCTAAAAATCTAGGTTAAGTAGGATTGTCGGAAAAAATTAAGCGCTTTGTATTTTCGACCAAATGAAGCGCATAGTGAATGAGAGGATAATTCTGCAATAACTGTGAATGACAGACATGCTTCTCGACTTGCTTTAGCAGGCAACGTGATCTTCCCTGGTCTCTCAGGCCACACCATCCACGTGCTGGAGACCAGTCCCGTTCACCAGACATGTCGAGTGGAGAAGCACCACCCTGGCGCAAATTACACCTACCACTGGCTAGGCCCCCACCGACAAAAGATCGCCGATGGCAGTCAACTAACAATTGATTACGCTCTGCGCTCCCGCCACTCGGGCGCCTACACCTGTGTCGCCAAGTCCATTCAGGCTGCGCATCGCGATCTTGAGGGCACCGTCTACGTCATCGTTTTGCGTGAGTCTCACACACACCACACAATTACTAAACATCTTAGTTAGCAGTTAACTGCTATCAAGTAAAAAGCCGTTTCGTCTGCAAATGCCGCACTTCATCTTCCACACTGTGGCATTGTCCTACCACTGTAGCAACCTCCTACCATGGGCTTTTGACAAGAAAGGGAAAATGAAGGAAATGGATGACGTGCCTTGTGTCTGCATTTGACGTCATTCTGAAAAGAGCACACTTTCTCTCCTTAAGGAGGACTAGGAGGAGAAGGAAGAGGGGGCGGAGGAGGAGGCGACAGTGCGCTACTCCTCCTACTCCTCCTCCTCCTCCTTCTATTCGTTAGAAACTCGTGTCGATTGCAAAGCAACTCGTACCAATCGTAGTTGTCGAGTCATTCTATTTGGGTCTAACTGACTGAAGCACCATCTCTCAGGACAACATCTTCCACGTTAATGACTCCCACGAATGATGATGGTAATGATAATGGTGATGAACGGCTGTTTTGACTGCTAAGTGAATGATTGGGTCATTAGGCGAAACGAGGTGGAATTCAAGCAATTGCTGCATTCTTGGCTGCGATTTCGCTAAGTGGCAATTTGACTCTGAAAAGCGGTCTCACATCCGACTTGGAAGCTGGCCAGTTGCAAAGCGCAGACGAAAGTGGGTCATCATGGCGGATTTGGGTTTATGTTCAACACCACCGCTTCGTGGGTTATGAAAGTGTCGTTTTACTGCACATAATGCCCCACCGCACTGGTCACCAGTTAGGCAGGAATCTACAAATACCTTGAATGCAACCATGCGCACAACGGGAAGGTGATAAATGAAGGAAGAGGACGAGAGCGGAACGCATTGGTTTGTAAATAATTGCGTCTATGGGACCACTGCCAATTCATGGACTTATCCAGAGAGGTCTGATTTCGATGTGCGAAGATTTGACGAATGCGAATCTTCCAGTGACGAAAAGTGCTCATGGGAGCTGCGTCTTCTGGTAATCGATTCAACGGAATCGCACAGAGTTGTCAATCTCTTCAGAGCGAGGTCAAACATAATGATGACTTGGGATGCCCTTCTGCCTCCTCCCAGTAATTCGTGCTTCGCTTCACTTGGAGTGCACAAAATGCAGCCTTTGCTACTGCTCAAGAAAGCACAAGCATAGCACTTCTTCACTGCGACTTTGACCAAACAGAGTCCCACTTCTTTCTCGTAACCGTCGAAGGAGCACAGAACAGCAGGTCTCATGTGCGTCATTCATGCATGCGCTTATTTGCTCGTTTGTTTAATAGTAGAACAGCCACATTTGGTGACCACACAGGAATGTGTTGATAGGGAAGTAATGATCATTACACGGGGTTGCATCCGTTTTTGAGGTCACCGATTGACATTGCCTCATAACAACCAAATAATTATACCATCTGTCATTACCCTATGTTGTTGGCTTTGGATTAGCAAAGGGAAACAGGCAGGTCTGTAAGGTTGGTCAGTTAGAAAAGATAAGCAGATGGAGTTTTGCAATTCAAACACCCCTGTAAACTGTGCCTCATAGGAATACGAAGCCGTTTGATGAAACACTTTATTGCATTCAGAAGCACCAAATAAAGTGATGGACGTCCTCTGTCTGGGCAAGATCTGTCAAGTGCTCATATGGGGGTAATAAATGAGGCGATTCCAATCACTCTGAGGAACACATGTGAGGCGGCCAAACCAACACGCACTGTTCTCACATTACGAGGTAGGGAAATGGAGCGAAGTCGCCTTAAAGTCGTTATTCGTTGGAGCAAGCATCACTGCAATCCACAATCCCTGCACAACGAAACAGCGCGTTTGCTTCTTGAAATACACCATCCATCACTGGCCACCTCCGTTTCCATACCACTCACTGCTCAACTGCTCATGCAATTACGCATGTGGGTGTCCAATACTAAAAAAGGCGAGCATCCTCACTTGGGAGAAGGTCAGGGTCATGTGTAGGATGGGATGAGGCAGCTCCTCGTGCAATTACTGCTTGGTCTTCAATAGGAAGCTTCCAGTGATCAGTCGCATCTGCAGTCCACCACATGCACTCAATACACAGTCTTCTGGGAGTAAGGTGATGCCTTAGAAGTGGAGGGTGGGTAGTGAGTGGACAGGTCTGGGATAACCAGTCAGGTTGTTGTTCGCCTCACGAATGCTTGAATACAACACGCAAAGCATTTCTCATCACAGGCCTGTCGGTCAGTCAGTGGTTCAACAAAACCTAACCTGGAAAGCAGTTTTACAACGCACGTATTACAAGTGAAAGCCACATCAGACAGCCTTTCAAGGTAATTTCCTCCTGTCACTCATCAATATATCTGAGGCCTGCTTACTTAGTAGACTCCACAAATTCCCCTTCTCCATTGATGGTTGTGCAAACTCATTGTTTCAACAACCACTTTAAACATCACTGTACTCACTCCACCCTGTCACCAGGCACACGTCATTCTCCCTCCTCCATGACCAAGATTAGAGGACACTCCTCAACACGATGTATCCACTTCGTGTGATTTATCACCAGGACTCTATTTTGGGAAGCATTTCTTGACAATGCGCTCCACTGCCACGCTTCCTCCAAGTACCAGTAAGTTCGCAGTACGAGTCACTCCTGCAGCTTCGGAGCCGACTTCGAATCACACACTCTGCATTCAACCGACACTGCATGACATGAGGGTTCGAAATAACAGAAAGGTAGGACAGACCACAGTAGAGACTATCTCAGCTTCGAACTGCGCACACAGGCAACGCCACTTGACAAGTGTCTGTGTGTTATGCCAATTCGTTGCAGCGAGCTACACCAAATACTGCGCTCACTTTATTGTCACCCCGTTCTCTTACCACTTTCCGTCACAGTGTCATTCTCGAAACACCACCAACAATTCTTGCAATACCAATGACTCGAAATGCATAATTTGTGCAACTTCAAGTGAACGCCAATTTACCATCTTCTACCAATGAGAACGTCTCCGCACCCCATCCGCTTTCCAACTCCCCTCGTTAATTCAACCAATTCTCCTCAGCTCTTCGGGAATTCTTCCAACTACGAGTGATTTGTGAGGACTGCCTTTGGGATATTGCAAATTTAGGAGAGAACTGATTCTGTTGATAATTTGCACTTCCTAGAACTGAGTGTCCACTGAATTACACGCTGCCAAATTCACACTGCTTACTCTCTGCCCTTTGAATTACCACCCACAACTTCTCATTCCTTAAAAGAATGTGCATGCCATCATGCTTGGTCAAGTCCGATCCCCCTAGCACGCCTGGTTGGTGAATGCAGCTACTGCACACTCAGGTCGTGCCCATCTCTCCTCCTCCTCCTCCTCCATGCGAAAATGGCGTCACGACTACACAGTGCTGCGGAGAGTCTGTGTCAGGCTCATGGTTTTCAGTTCTGTGATGGAAAGTGCAACACAAGGAGGTGAAATAGACACCAGTTCACGTTGCGTTGTTCAGGCATTCATGCACAAGTTTGGTTTGAAGAGCACATTTAGTGACTTTCCACCCACTCTTCGGCATGAGAGTATCCGATGGTCTAATTCCCCAAAACTGCAGTACATCTATTTTTGGTCACAGACGAGATTGTTGTAACAATGAGCATATCAGACAATATTTCTTAAAGTGTATTAGGCATAAATGAAAATGCTACCTGATAGCAAATGGCAAACGTTCGGTGTTTTTAGTTTCATTTGATAATTATTTATTTTTCAGGGATCATAATATTTATCTTGTCTTCCCTAATATATCCCCCGAAACCAATTTATAAGTGCAGCTTTGTTGAGTTATATAAGTTTCTCAAAATTTTGCTATCTTTAAAGTTTTCGTCGATTTGCAGCCCTACGTTTTCAAATATCTACCTTGTCGGAGAACCTGCGTATAGGAGGCTTCACGCACAGGCGGGTGTCGATACCTTACCTGCCTTTCCCTGTGGGTGTGACTCAGGAGCAGTTCGAATATACATGGATAAGCCCCGAGGGCCAACCAGTGACTCCTCAGCCCAGTCCCGAGATGTACGTCCAACTGCAGTCGCCCCAACAGTTCGGCCTTTACACCATTCGTGTACGCGGCATCCACTCCGGCTATTCACATGAACTGCAAAGTGACGTCCTTCTGCAAAGTAAGAGTTTTCCGTACCTTCGCTTTTACCTTGGATGGTGGAAATATGGCTAGATCATGACCCTTAAGCCAAAGGTATTGCCTCCAACTGGAGGAATTTGATAAAAAAGGAAATATTTTACCTAAATAAGATTAGCCTTCTGTCAATGGAAAAATACGGCATTGTAATTAGTACTGTTTGTACAATTAATTGAAAATGTATGACATGTTTTTTTGTTAAGAACATTTCCAATTAATAAAATAATGATACCACATTATTTTTAATAAATTTGTATACGATTTTTAGTAATTCCAAGTTTTTTATGGTAAAATTTGTGAAGAATGGAAGTAAACCCTAGCATTTGAGAAAACCTATAATAACAAGGGTTCATTATACAAGGTAACAAAATCTCAGCTCTGTTTACCAAACACCGCAATTCCAACTTCATTTGAGATTGGAATTCAACCAAGGCTACCAAGCTTTGAAGCTGTTGTTTTCTTAACTGCAAGGACAAGTACACAAAACTCCTGTACATTCACAACTAATTTCTTTAAAAAAATTAGGAGGCGCAAAATGTTACCAATAGGTAGTTGATGCATTGGTGCCTTTTGCCAATATAAAACAGTTATTATCTTCGAAATCTCGAATAAATTTCCTTCTACATTAGTTTGATTTCGTAACAGCTTGGTCAGTAGTCGATTGTCGCTGTGGTGCGATATTTGTAGTTGGCTAATGAATTACTGACACTCAAAAGTTTTCTATTGCATATAGTAGATTAAATGAATTTCAATTAACTTAAAGGTTTCATATAATACGACCTCTAAAAGGAATTAGCATTTCCTGAGTTACAACGAAACATGTGGTATTCGAGATTAATCGGCAAGTTTTCGAGGAAGAACCTGATTGCTCTCCTGTTTTACAGTGAATCCGGATGACTATTCACTACGAATCTCGGGCCAGGGGAGCCAAATGTTTCCAAACTCACGAGTCGAGGTTCTCTGCGAGGTGCAACCGTTGCACCCGGGTGCTAAGGTGCGGTGGGTGAACGCGCAGAACTTAATGGTGGCGTCCGATGGCCGTCTCATGATCGAGCGCTTCAAGAACGGCAACGAGGGTAGCTACTTCTGTGAAGCCTTCCTTCCAGATGGAAACATTCTCCTGAAGGTGTGCCATCCTTTACATTCTTATCTTCCTTAATCTTCCCTTAGCATTCCTTAATCAGTCTTCAGGTGAATAGCTTTTGTTTCTCACAGCCTTGAAGAATTGCAAGTTTCAAGTTTCTTCCTAAATATCATGTAGAGGTTTTTGCCACATACACGGGGATCCCGGATGAAGTTGTTGTCCATTGCAGAAAGCTTGGCTTCTGAAAGTTAATATTCGACGGCCGCAATTATCACACTAGAGTCATATCCCTACATATTGTCCAAGTTCTACATGGGCTGACTACTTTTCTAATCAAATCTGTCCAGTTGAGTGATGTATTGGAAATGGACGTTGTTACTACCTGTCGAATTTTCAGAATACATTGAGCATTGCCCTAGGAAGAGAATAAAATATTTCGACTAAAAAAATTTCGTCAAATAAGTTAAATTCCGCTTAAAAACAAGTGCTCCATGGTAATTAAGGTGTAATTAGAGACTCGAGCTTGAGGCAACTGAAAATACTTCATTTGGTTGTAAGCAAAGACAACTTCTCACCTGTTTTGCATATAAATTATCTAAAATATGCTTTTCAGGTAAATGAAGGAACGTATTATTGTCTAACATTCCACTAATGATTAATCTACCACCTCATTAAACGCCAAGGAAACAGGTATATGATGAGTCGTGGGAGGTGATTTGGCTTTCTTTATTGAGTTTAGAAAAGGTGATTTTAAAATATAGTCTTTGTTGTTATTTTGACGGATTTTATAGAAAAACACCACCACGTTCAAAGATTGAAAGGTAACACTGCAATATTCTGTTGTCTTAAATTCTCTTACTGTAACAAGTTCCCTCGGGAATCTACGATTCATTTTTGCATCCAAGCCTCTTTAATAATATCTCCCATTACAATTATAAGACATGTTTTGGCTTAGAATCAAAGATAAACAGATAAACGTATCCACTCCGGCGATATTTTTCCCAGTTTGAATGACAGCAGGCGATAAAAATATAAATAGGTTATTGATGGCACACATGACTATAATCTAAAACGCCTCTACTCCTCAACCTCAATTCTCAAGTCTGATTTTCTAGGCACTTAGTCAATAGTTTTTATTTTGGCCTTTAAGTATCTTAAGGAATGAAAAATTACCCAAGACAGAAATCCCACAAATAGACAAATTATTTTAATCAACTTTTCTCCGTCGAAGTTCACCGCATCATCCGAGCCTGTGGATTGGCACGTAGACTGCATTTGTCATAAAGCATATTCGAAGTAAAATTAGCTCTTCTATTATTAAATTGACAGAAGAGAACAATAAAAATGCAGATAGCGTAAACTTGCCTTAACAATCGGGGAGAATTGGCTAAGGTTCAATAGCACATGTCCGGCCTCGAGCGTTCTTTCATCAAGCAAAAGCAACTCGTTTTGTTCTAGTCATACCAATAGAGTCGAAATTGCAAACGGAACTTGTCCCCTTGAACGGCGGGGTCTAGCTGACAGCTCTCCTGGTGATGGGGTTATTTGCTATTCGCCTAACATGCTGCCAAGAATTTGCTGATATCAAATGAGAAGTTCAAATGTTAAATGCAGATAAAATATATTAGAAATACTTAATTTAGAGGTAAAATACACTTGGAATGAAGCTATTGCAAGTTTGGATGCCGTTTTCGGGTCGTAGACTACGTGTATTGAAATTGCTAGATCAATAGACAATTCATTGGATTTATGCACTGTTGAAAAGATTCATTAACGCAAATAAACTTAAAGTAAGGAAGTAATCAGACGTTGTTTAGTGAATGGATCAACTAAAGAAGCCACGAAGTGGGTTGTAGTATATAGGGGAACAGCAGTTGCTAAAACTGCTCGGTCACTTTCCTATAAGCCTGTAACCATGGCACTGTTGCAAAGTTGTATTTATTTTTGAAGTATCAAACCGCTTTGCAATACGTTTCCCTTTATTTTCTTTAAAATCCTTTGTTACTACTGCTCTGTGTGCTCCACAAATGATATTTTAGCCCTAGAGGTAGGTAGCTGATAAAAAAGGAGGGGTAGTATTAATGAAGTTTACCAAAAAGCATCACATGTGAGCCAACGGTTAAATTAGATAAAATCTTTTCTTTTACCAAATAAATGCAATGATTTTGACAAGTAATGGAAAGATCACTTTGGGACATATTGTGAGATAATATAATAAAAAAATCCTGTCCAACTTAACTCACAAAATCTAATCTTTTTCAAGCATTTCTTCAAGTGTCTCATAAATGCACAGAAAGGCTGGTGGGATGTTCACAGAATTGGCATTAACCAGACATATGTCATCAAGGTAGCGACAGAGACCACGGAGACTAAAGAACCCGAGTAGCTAAGTTGCAGTTAAGACAAATACCGCTCTACTACAAGCGAGAGAAGAGGAAAGGTCGAAAATCTTATACAATGGAAATGCCATCTAGTATTATTATAATAGTCAGTATACTATTTACAGATTAATGATATCATACACTTTTACTTAGCAACTCTTCCTCCAACTGGAAAATGGGACAGAAATCGGCGCAGATGGGATTGAGGGTGACAGTGGCAGTTCCTACACTATCCACATTGCGAGCTACCCCTCGCACTTCACCTATGATGACGCGGTTGAACTGCACTGCATTGTGCAACCAGATGCCAATGGTGTGACTTTCGAATGGACGAAAGACGGCCAAGTGATAGGGAACAATCAAGTCCTCGATATCCCTGCCTTCGGTAGGCAAGATACTGGTAAATACCAGTGTCGTGCGACTATCCAGTCCGTTGTCAAATATGCGGAGGAAATTTTGACTCTACCCTCTGAAGATACTTGGGGTGAGTAGGAACTCAGAAGAGAATGTAGCGTAGACACGAAGATGGACTGATGTTCTCATATCAAATCTCGCTTTAGTTGTGCACATTGACTATATATCAAAAACTGGTCACAAATTTCAACCTAACAATATAATTTCCAAATGAGATTTAAAGTCTTGAATGCCCAGCCTGATGGGGATCAAATCAGTCAAAAGCTTTGTCTACAAATGCTCATCTGAAAATTGCACAGCGTTGCACTTCCTTCTGGTTTATGTTAAACAGTCCTTATTTTGTTTCTAGTATTAAAGTCCGTTTGCACTAACACTGAAATCACCTCTAAAATATAATGACGGCACACATTACTACACAATTTCAGAAATATTACTAAGGTGATAGTCGTATTAATAAAAAAGTGCAACATTAATCAACTCTTGGGTCTAGTTTGCACCATAAGGTTAATAATCACGTCTCCCAACTTAAAAAAGCATTGCCTTGGTCTTAGTTAAGCCCATCTTGAGAAGTTGTAAGAATGCATCTCGAATACAGCCTGATGTCTTTAGATAGAATGGCCTGCCTGCATAAAATATGCTATCTCGTAGCGTTTATCAAAAACGTGTTCATAAAATTAGGGGTTTGCCAGTGTAAGAACTCTTAAAAGTGTACAGAGACCGATCTATCATTAATCATGTTGTAGTGGCGTGTAGTGATGTGAGAAGACATTGTACTAGTGCAGATTGATCGTGTAAATGAACGTTGCGATGAGGCAAAGACGCTTACTCCATCCCCCTTCATGATTTATTGATAGAACGGTGAGTGGACGATTTGTCTATGCCTCCGAGTAGATCAAACAGTTAACTCCAATGCATTTTGTCGAAAAGGTTCTACAGTCATTAAGCAAAAGGTTGTTTTCAAGACTCAACTAAATCGGGAAACAGGCTTTGAACAATAAATTACAAAAGAAAAATAGTACATGGTCCGGTAATATTGAGACGCATTGGTCTGCATTTCATTCTGCGTAGGATGCAGTGTTTTATACACTGCCGAGTCGGTAAAAGAGGGCATATATATAAGTAAATATGCATTCATGTTAGCCCAAATCGGGCCAGTATTTCCCTTCCAGGAGATTCAATTAAAAGGGATGGGTGCTTTTCAGATGCAATAGTAAAAACTATCGACCAATTAATCCCAAACCCAATAATTTTGGGGCTAAGAGGAATTTAGTAGGTTACATTTCCTTATAAATATAGTAAACGAACTTTATTTATTGGCTGAGAAATTCACACCCATTGAGGTACAGGTTAACGAATGGACTGCAATAAATTACTTCTTAATGCACCTTGTAATATCTCCTGATATCTTTTAGAACAACTAACACCACTTCGTAATGCAATTAAAATGCACTGTAATAATATAATCCCTTGGATTTTACGTATTCTTCCTGAAAAGTCATCGGAAGTTTCTTCCAGATGGGAAACATAGCATATGGTTTGTTTGACATATTTGAGCGAAAGTGGATAGTGGAGCATGTCAGTACATTTTATGATATCGTAGGTAAGTCGCAGGTAAAATTTTGCACTTACACTTTCTTACACTTTCTTTTTTCTGCATTAAATCTTATTCTCTTTAATGAGATATTCTGCCCTCACTCATAGAACATTAATTCGCATGTATCAGGACTAAAATATCTAGAGTATGCTTGATCAAAAAAGCAAACGATTTAGCAAAGCTAATAAGTACCATAACTTTGAAGCGTAATCCAGCAATGCTGAAACGATCCACTTTAGAGTTGGCTATGGGTCCGAGAGTGGTGAGCGCCGGTGCGTTCAAGCCCTTTCAAATTGAGTGTACCTCCCATCGGTCGGGTGTTCGACCGTCAGTAGTGTTCTCATCCGATGCCAATATCACTATTGACAGCCAGTTCCAACTTCTCTTTCCTGCTGCCCAAAGGGTCATTATCTCCGTACCCAGAGGTCTTTCTACCGTCTACAACGGAATGTCTATTCGGTTTGTTGGGTGCACGTCACCAGTTTTACAACTGCGCTAGCACATTCCGATTTTTGCTATCATATTGTCTTATTTCCCCATTTCCTTACAATCTTTAAGTTCATTTGTTTGATTTATGAATTGTCATTCAAAGTTTTTAAAAAATACGTGGATTCAAAACCTACTTTTGCTAATATAGTACCAGGAAATCGTGCAAACGTGGAAGTAGCCCTGTATAGTTTCAAAAAATAAACTAAAATGCGTTTGATCTTATTTTTAACCAGCAAAATCGTTCAGCTTTAGCTTGAATTTACGTGGCAGCATTCCTCAAAGTTCAATGAAACTGATACTTACTTTCCAATCCGTGAACCTGCCTTATGCTAAATCATTGTTAAAGGCTGCCTACTCTATGAAGAGGAGACGATTTCCTCTTTTTTGATACTAAAAGATGTTTGACATTCTCACTTTAAACCTCTATGAATCTCCATATTTTCCTGAAGAAGACTATTCAAAATGTATGCTATGATTAGTCAGTATGACTTGTGAAAGTGCCATGATAGCTCAAACTGATTCATAATTCTGTAAAATGAATCGAAGTCAACCCTTTGGATGGGGTACAAAGAAACCTGAAGCTCTCGATTAAATTAATAATGAATAGCAATAAACGGTGCGTTGTAGGTCGGTCTTCAAATGGCTCATTTAATGTGCTGGAGAAGACGTGCAGCTAGAAAGGTGACGCATTGTAGCAGTCTGGTTTTTTGTGTCGGAACTTTTCTTCCAAATGTGGTAAATACCAGTCATGCAAAAGTCATAGCACAACAGCAGCAAGCAGCATTATAAATGGCATACTTGGTCCAGACACAAAAGCCCATTTGAAATAACTCTCTCTACCCTCGGATAGACGAGCCTAAACACATTTTCTGAGCATTCAAGACATCCTTAAAAGGCAATTTTCTTATGTTCCATGCTTTGTGTAATGCGTCTAAAAACCTGAAATACAACAAATGATTCAGATACTTTGAACCTATGTGAAATTAAAATGACCTTTCACTGATCCCATTCTTGTGCAAAGTACTTATTGCCCAATTTGATGTGTCGTTTTGCTTCTAAATTGTGCCTCAATTAACCAGAAAACATACTGCTTAGTAAGGATTGCTTTTCGTGATTATTCCCTAGATGCCTTCTGAATAACGTCTACTCGAAGCAGTCGCGTATATTCATTCAAGACTCCTGCCCCACGAAACAGATCAGCTGTCTCAGTGGCGAGTGCGTCCTCATTGACAAGATTTGCAATGGCGTCAATGACTGCAGGGATGGCTCCGATGAGAGCGAACAATTTTGCTGTGAGATTGCTAATTTAACCCTAACTAAACGCATTAGACTAAGTGTTGAAATGCATTACAGCCTCCTTATTATTAGCTTTTGTCATCATCAGCTGATGAATGTGAAAAGACAGTTAATTTGAGTGGGTCCCTGAGTCCCGCAAAAGAACTGCTCCAGTAATAAAATATCGTGAACCTATTTTAGGCACCTTAAACGATTTTAATGAATACCAGGATGCATCGGAGTCGTCTATACCAAGACTTCCCAAAGACGAAGTGATACATAATACTCTGGTAGAATATGCATTGTCGGCGTGGAGAACGAATTGGGGCCACTGGCAGAACTCAAAGGCCAGCCCACCCGACAAAGAAATAATAGCGGAGCCCTTAAGTGGCTCTTACCAAAACCGAGAACTAAACGAACACTTAGTATCACATAGCCCCTCTCCTCTTTTGGTCAACCTCCTATGTCAGCCATCACAACGTAGTCGGTGTTGTAAGGGAACACCCACGAGCCAACCGTGCCAGTTATCAAATTTTCATGGAAATGGGAAGACACCTAATCCCAGCGCCACAGACCCCTCTTGGCAATCCCACTGGATCTGAGTTTAGCCCTGTTTGGAAGTGTGCTAAGAAAGAGAAAACGTGCTGGCTACCTCTCATGTCCACATAATTAGTATCTGTTAAGGTGGACAGCTCCGTAACAAGCTTTTCCAAATGGTTCACCGATGGTTGCCTTTCAGTTATTAACAGTCTTCCTGCAGAACACGGGGCTTGGGTGGCTGCCGAAGATGATCGCTGTTTCGAACATTCTTTTAGGGATTGTCAAAAATTCTCCCTTCCGCGGCACGTGACCTTCTTTCATCACGCTAAGATTTGTCATGCTTCCGTAGAAATCGGGATAGTTGTTCTTTAGGATGAATTCTGCTTTCCGCTACCGCCAATGTAGCTCCTCGAGACATCCCTGAAGACGAAAGAAAACACTACTCGTGCAGAATATATGCATATTTGACACACATTTAGGCTTGGGGCTACTGGTGTGGCCCGGAGGTCAGGACGCTCGGCGATGGCACAATGGCGGAGTCCCTAAATGACCCCTTTTACCAAAGCCGAGGGTTAAACAAACAATTAACAGCTTACATGCGCAAACAGAATTTGGTCTGCTTGCCATTCGGAGACTTAAGTCAGACTTTATTTAAACTCGGTCCCATTGCCAATTTTTCCAGTTCTACACATTTTTAATAAGATGACGCTGCAGTTTCGAAAAATGTATTTTTATTAGCTTGAATGAACTAATTTATGCGTCTGATATATTGAAATTGAACTTAATTAATTGGGGTTAATTATTTTCAATCCAATTCAAAAGATATTACAGAATAAGGTGGCGATGTGCCCACGGTTTGTATTTATTCACATGAATGTGTTTAAGTGATCAAATGAAACCCAGGTAGCGAAACTGACTGGTACCTGCTACAAGAGCTCTTTTGCTAGTCCGAGTGGAATAAACACACTAAGGATTCGCTTTAATTTCCACGTAGTAATGCGTAACAAACGATTTCATTTATGGTTTGGGAACATTCAATTGTCTTTGAATTTATTAGCGTCTGGATATAACCTTAATAAAACCTTGAGAAAAATAGCAATGATCCTTATATGCAATTTACTGCTGAAAAACTACCCATATTCCGCATTTGGAGCTGAATTCAGGTATCCTGTTGATAGCTGCTGTACCTGAAACTGTGTTATGCATTTTCGGACCATTAAAGAAAAAATTTTTTATAGCTGGCTAAAAATACGCCAACGGGAACTTCATAAAATTGCAGCAGTTGTTTACAACCTAGTGATTGCAAGGTAGACCACGTAAAATGCAGCATCAATATGTGCTCCACGAACTAGGCGAGCGATATGGAGGTTGCATTTTAGCGGACAAAGAATCCTAAGCCTTCTCTATATTGCATAAGTTGGATTGGAATATAAGCTAACGTTGACGCAAGAAGTTATGTGACTTCAGGTGTTATAAATAAATATGGACAATTATCGAATGCTACTTGCCAAAACTTACAGGGGTCTTGGGAACCATACAAGGCAACGATCTTAGTGAATACAAAGAAAAATAAATTTTCAATTGCATCAAGGAATTT